CCACAGTATTAGCTCGAGATGTAAGGAACTGAATAGGTAGGAAAATCTGTTCGTTAGTTGTGACTGATTGTAACGAGGCGGGGTAGGAATAAGGATTACGAAATGGGAATTGACTTACAGAGCTGGCAGCGCTTAGAAGAGCTGTCAAACTAGCCTGGACAACGTCCTGGTGGATACCAACGCCCCAGACCTTCTCTGAGCTATCGGCGGACGTACACTCGATGTATGTTGCGGCCTTAGTGTCTCTATGGGCGCCGATGGCGTGTTCTTTGTAGTCAACAACGTCCAGATCAATGCCCAGGGATTTTAGGGCGTTTGCCAGGGAAGAGATAGCACCATTGCCCACACCGACGATGGCGTGTTGTATGCCGTCGATTTCAATAATGCCAGCAAAGCGTCGCTTGAGGTTCTTGGTGTTGAGTGCTTTGCCGGGTTCAGGGGGAGCGGGGGACTGCGAGCGGTCGGTAGTGATGTTATAGTCAACCAGGGAGAAACGGGCCTTTTGCTTGAGATGGTAGGCCTCTTCGAAAAGGGAGACGATTTCTTTGGGCAGGAGCTCACGACCAAGCCTGTCGGCTTGTGTCTGAATGACCTTGCTGAATGCGATTTGTAGTCCGCGGGGAAGATCCAGTTCAAGACTGCGAAGGATAACCCAGGCAACACCACCCTTGCCGCTCTGTGAGTTGACCCGGATGATGGCTTCGTAGTTGCGGCCGATATCTTCTGGGTCAATGGGAAGGTATGGTATCTGCCACCTATCCGCATCGGCTGTCTTGCTCTTTTCACGAACCTGGAATCCCTTTTTAATAGCATCTTGATGACTGCCACTGAATGCGCAAACGACCAATTGTCCACCATATGGCCATCTCTCATTCACAGGGATCTTGTTGCTTGCCTCCACTACCTTTATAACGGAGTTGATATCGGAGAAATCTACTCCTGGGGAGATTCCCTGTGTATAGAGATTAAGAGCCAGAGTGACCAAATCGACGTTTCCGGTTCGTTCCCCGTTTCCGAATAGAGTGCCTTCAACCCGTTGAGCTCCTGCCATCTGTGCTAGCTCTGCTGCCGCGACTGCGCATCCGCGGTCATTATGAGGATGTAGAGAAACGCAAACTTTTTCCCTCTCAGAGATGTTCGTCGAGAAATATTCAATTTGATCCGCATAAACGTTAGGAGTGGACATTTCTACTGTAGCAGGAAGGTTAAAGATTAGCGGTGCTTCTACCGTTGGCTCCCAAGCAGCTTTCACTGCTTCACAAATTTCAAGCACGAAATCCGGGTCCGTATCCGAAAACGTTTCCGGCGAAAATTCGAAAAGCCACTCGGTACCAGCAGTTGAAGGATCGTCCTTAGTGATCGAGCGAGCGTATTTCGTACATCGCACAGCCATCTCCAGACTCTCTTGTTTCGACATGCCGAACACTATTCTGCGGAAGCATTCACTGGTTGCAAGGTAAAGATGGAGAATTGCCTTTTTGGCTCCCTTGAGGGAATCGACAGTACGTCGAATGAAGTCCTCCCGGCAAGGGCAAAGAACTTGCAGCCAAACATCTGCTGGAACCTCGCCAGGGCTTTCGACAAGACGTCGAGTGAAATCGTAATCCGTTTGCGAAGCTGATGGGAAGGAGATCTCAATTTCCTTGTACCCGATTTCTACCAGCATTCTGAAATATCGAAGCTTTTGGTCCCCATCCTGTAAACCGTAGAGTACGCTGGTTAGTCCAATTAAGAACAACTATGCTCTGGAATCAAGCAGCAGCTCGAATTTCAGTCATACCATGGGGTCGACCAAGCTCTGGTTTCCATCTCTAAGGTCAGTAGCCAACCACCTCGGACGCTTGTTCAGAGTTTTTGAAGGCCATTGACGATTGGGAAGATCCAAGGGCTTGAAGGGCTTGTATTTTGTCGAGGGGTCCTTAAGCCTAATTGGGCTTGTTAGCTTCTCGGTTCGCAATAAGCTATAATCGGGGAGAGTGTAGCCCTACATTGGCATTGTGAAGGATTAAATTGCCTTGTCCCGGGGCAAGCTTACAGGGGTGAGAGGATCACCGACAAGACTGCAATGTCGAAGAGGGATGGAACGATTCAAGGATTGGAAGATTTAGTGGTTTACAAAGGATTGATCCACATGAACAAGAGCAGTCATCAAAGGGCATTAGGAATGAATCATTCCAAGCAGACATCCCATTGTTCTTAAATTTCTTTTGCCGCAGTGAGTCAGTTGTCGCCCCCAAAATTTCTGCTGGCCGAAATCGGGATGCGGGGGACACTAAATCACGTGTCATACATGCCCTAATAAGTTGACCTCCGTGAAAAGAACAAAGAACCGATGGATGTTGGTGTTGAAAGTTAGAAAATGAATAAATGATAAAGCGGCTACCAAATAGTATTGTACGGATTATGAGAGGGATTTGGAATACTATCAATCAGTTGCCCAGATGGTGTAAAGTGCTACTATACTATATAGGCTAATGCGAGTGCCCAACAAACAATGCCATGACATGAATATTGACAATCTAACTCTTGTTATTGGCTTAGAAGTGTTCACCGCTTCAAGAGTTTCTTCCCTCCAGCTTTTGGTTTCCCATTCCCTTTTCCTTTGTGGCCATCTTTTCCCTTCGCTGGGCCCCGAACTTGGGTTTCGCGTTCGGCTTTACCCTTCTTCCATACCTTCCCTTCTCGCCTTTCGCGGTTGTCATCAAGTTTCTTTTTATCCTTCCCGCTAAGCTTTCCTTTCTTCTTCTTACTTGGCCCATTTAACTCTTCAAGAGAGCGCTGCTTAGCTTGCAATTTTTCTTTCTCGCTCTCAAACCAAGTCCGCTTGGGCCTGGACATGATCTCCTTCTCGTGATTAAGCAGATTGCTGCCGCGGGTGACTTCCATTTCCGCTTGAGCTAGCTGTTTCTCCTCCTTCTCCTCCCTGAGAATCTCTTGGACTTCCTCTTGCATCTCCTCCACCTTGGCGGCCCACTTGTCGGCCTCGGCCGTTTCAATGAGACGGCTTACGATTTTCGCTCCTTGCGCTCGACCAGTTTTCACGGCAGCTTTGACCACTTTCCTGTCCGGTTCTGCAGCTAAGGTGCATGCACGTCCTGAGCGCCCCGCACGTGCTGTACGTCCAACACGGTGAAGATAAATTTCGTGCGATTGAGGAGCTTCGTAGTTAATAACGGTTTCTACACCTTTGATATCGAGACCTCTGGAGGCGACATCCGTAGCGAGAAGGAAAGATACTTTCCCGTCACGGAAACTTTCAACGCTTTTAATACGCTATTGACTAATCAGATTATGTTTCCAGGTAGTTCTGTAAACTCGATGGGGGTTGACCGCAGAACTTACCTGTTCTTGGCTCATGCTTCCATGAAGCTCCGTTACTTTCAGTCCCAGGAGCCCGAAAATTATGCGCACACGATGAGCCTCCTTTTTGGACCGGAAAAATACAATAACGCGGTCCTTATAAATGTTTTTGCAGAGGACAATGAGATAGCCCAAACGCTTCTCTTCTCTGCCAGGCCGTAATCTGACGAATTCCTGTATCAAGGTGCCCACGGTCTGCTTCTTAGCATCGACCATCAACCGCACGGGTCTATTAAGGCCGACTCGGATGAGTTTGTCGACGTTGTTTGTCATTGTAGCGGAGAAAAGCATCGTCTGCCGTGATTTCGGGATTGTAGTCAAAATTTCATTCAGCTCGTCAGTGAATCCATCCTCCAGCATTCGATCTGCTTCATCAAGAACAAGAATTTCCAAAGTATCGACTGTAAAGCTAGCGGAGTTCCTCATATGATCAATAAATCGACCAGGTGTAGCAATAATGACATCGGGCCTCTTTTTGAGGATGTTCTCTTGTTCCCTCAGACTGAAACCTCCAACTAACTGGCAGAAGGTGATATCTGTGAACGTCGCAAGTTTTGTAGCCACGTTGTAACATTGAACAGCGAGTTCTCGAGTGGGCATCAGAATTGCAACACGACTAGTCGGGACTTTTCGAGGCCGATAGAGTAGGCGTTCCAAAATCGGAATAATAAAAGCACCAGTTTTTCCGGACCCTGTAACGGCACCACCTACAACGTCTTTGCCAAGGAGCGCAACTGGTATCGTTTTTCGTTGGATAGGAGTAGGCGTAGTGAAACCAACGGACGTGAGACCCCGTAAAATCGGTCTCGAGAGCGAAAACGCTTGGAAAGATTTTGCGGACTTTAGGTCGCCGTTGGCCGATGCTTTCTCCTCAGGAGCAAAAAAGGATTTTTGTTTTTCGATTTCAGCGGCATCTTCACTTTCATCGCCGGAACCATCATCTGATGTAATGTCGTCAGGATGCGGCACTGGAGAAGCAACAGAGTCGTTATCAGAATCAGTATCGCTGGATGAATCCGCTTCAGATTCACCTTCCGAAGTGTCATCTAAAACCGGTTTGTCACTCTCTTCCTCTGATTCACTAACAGCTCCCATACCAAATCCATCAGGAGCCAGAAGCTCATCTTCCTCGAAATCCACAGCATTCGCTAGTTCACCTTCATCCTGCGAATCAATCCCAGTAAACTCATCTCTAGACCTTTCTTCCGCTTTCTTCTGTTCCTTCTTCTTTTTTGCCAGTTTCTCCTCCATTTTCTGTTGCCTTCGGGAGATTATATCATCAATATCCACTGCCTTTTTATTCCCATTCCCGCCAATTGTAATACCGGAACGCTCATCGAGTCCCCAACCATCGAAGTCCTCGACCAGCTTCATACCCGCCGCCCCTCCAACATCAAATACAAAATCGGGATCCAAAGCACCATCGTCGTTTTCATTTACGTCCTGCTCAGTCTCGGAATCCCGTTCAAGTCCAGCATCATTATCTGTCTGCTTTTTTGTCCCATCTTTTTTCTGAGCCTTTTTTGACTTTTTATTATGGGCTCCATTGGCAGTAGGTTCTTCATCCCTTTTACGTTTAGTCCCCGAAACTTTCAATTTTGATTTCGATCGTTCCGCGGAAACCAGGTCATGGTCTCCAGCATCGTCCAGGTCGATATCGCCATTGAATAGGTTCGAGTCCTCGTCGTCTGATAGAGTTAGGATAAAATCATCAGTCGCGTCCCTTTTGATAGGAATTGGAGCCATTTAATCCACCTTGAAGGTGCGGTGTTTAATTGTCGCACTCCAAGGGTTAAAACTGAGGATGAATAAAAAGTGGAAGGGCCTTGAGCGCGAGAGCACATAAGTCCAATGTGTATCCCACATTGTCTCACTCAATTGTTGAAAAAAATTCCCCAAGCTCTAAAGCGGTGCGATGCGGCATAATGCTCAGGCAATACACGTGACTTCATTCCGCTCAACCTCGGAAAGCAAAATGGAAAAAAATTCTTAAAAATTCCTAAATTTCGTAAATTCCAGAACCAATTAGAAAACTTCTTCCACTCTTAATATTGGGGAATTCTTCACAGTGTGTATCCTTGTATTAAATTAAAAATGGATTAAAGTATGTAGTTATCAAAAATATTTTTGATAAGTGATAACTGTCCCCCGTCAATTGGGTAGATATTAATGCCCATATCTGGTGAGGCTCCCTAAATGGCTTCTATAATTCACCCACCAACTAAGTTAGTTAGCGGCTATTGATTAATAATCCTTACTTCAACATCGACGTCACAAAATCTCGCGAAAACCTCAAAAGCAGGACATTGATCTAAGACAAAATTATCATCAGTGAGAGCGAATCCAATTCGGCTGAAGAAAATCATTTCCAATAGGGCTTTTCCATACTCTGAGCTCGGTTCAAGATTGGGTCCCAATAACTGATTTTTTTGAGGTGCGGAGCCAGGAACCGTACACCGAAGCGGTACCACTACATCTACGGTGTACGCCCGAAACACTCTTATTCTCCTGTCCAGAGGGCTCCTCGTTTCGTGGCGTTTTGTAATGAGAGCAAAGAAGTTTTGGCATGTGTGATGGATTCATTGTCGTGTTCTTTCTTTTAACTTCGCCGCGGTTGTTCTGTCGGTGTTTCTCCCACTTGCTGGTTAACTTGCCCCAATCTAAGGAACGGATGCGAGTACGTAGTGGCGTGGTAACTACCCAGCACTTCGTGGATTTTGCACACGGATGCTGTGTTTGTTCAAGTGTCATTCCCCTCGCCTTCTTACAAAAGACAAGAGTATTATTACTAAGTTCAACAATCTCTAACAGTGGTCTGACCGTAATAGCCTAGAAGATGGAACTTGTCCTCCTCGTTGTTAGTGCGACATTAATTCCTGTCTGTGAGATACTCTACGCAGGAGAGACAGCATTCTAACTTTTGGATCCTTGCTAGAGCTTGGGTGTGGCGACAGGACTCCGATGGGGGCCTAGACCAAGATCGAGTTCCGCGAGTTATAAACCCGATCGTAGGGCCGAAGAACTGCTGAACGGCAAATGTGACAGGGACATGCACTTATTGGTGGATTCCCCTTGATGAGGTCCTCTCGGCAACGCCTCCAATGAAGCTTATTTTCTCTGTTACTTCCGCCCGATGGTGTTAATGTGGTGGGCAGATTGATCTACTGGCCCACTGCCCACAACGAAGGTTTTTTCGCAAAGCATTGAACAAGGCGTATTTCTTCTATTGACCCCGCCGCAAAAGGTTAATGTGACGGAAGAAGGAGAATCATTGGCCGATTCCCCTTAACGAAGTTCTTGTGCAAGCACTGGGTGAAGGTACATGAATCGTTGGTCCCCAGTGCGAGCCACAGAACCCCTCCGCTCCTTCCGTTATGGCGCGTGGGAGAGGAGCAACCTGGTTACGACGGTTGCGACGGTTGCGACGGTTTATCCCTCATAAGCACGCCGTTCATAACGTTCTATAAAGTATAACTCATAGTTTTACGGCGTCTGGACCTTCTCTTGACCCAAGAAACGTGCAAGTGCGAGATAAAGCCCATGCCGAATCTGATTCCAGATATTCAAAACAAAAGCGGGACTGAAACTGGAATTTCAGGGGACAGCGACCAATCGGCAAGAAAAACGAACCAGGAACAGGAACATGGGTTTCTGGAATTCAATATGGATCTGAGAAGTTTTATCTGTGAGATTTGTGGATACGGCCTCTAGAAACGAATCTCCGGAAACGAATCTCCGTTCTTGCATTTTGAACTTCACCCCCTTCTCCAATTTTCCATTTTTTGTTGCAGTGGGATTTTAGCTCGATGGAGGGGGTTCAGAAAAGGCATAAATAGGAGGCTTCGTCGCCCTGGAATGTTGAATCTGTTTCGTATCACAATTCTCACTATCAATTCATCAACTACATTCTTTTCTCTCATTTTTTTGAGATTCGGAAGCTGGTCCTTCTTTCTTTCTTTTGGATATACAATCCCTCTTTTATTGCGTACATACCTTTTACCCCATCTGCATCATTTATACCTTTCTACTTATTGCAGATATGCATTCCCTTAGTCTTCTCTATCTCATTGCCGCAGCTGGGTCTGCCTTGGGTCATATTGAAATGAGCGAGCCCGTCCCTTTCCGCAGCCGATTCGGCTCTGGTGGGGACGTTGACTACAGCATGACCTCCCCTCTCCTTGCAGACGGTAAGTTAGATATGTCCAACTTTCACATCCACCCTTTCCTACACCTTTGCACGAAAACTAAGATATTCACCCCTAGGCTCCAACTTCCCATGCAAGGGCTACCAACACGATAGCGTCAGCAAGCCTTCAGCCACATACAAGGCCGGAGGTTCTGGAGAGATTAAACTGTCGGGTACTGCCACTCATGGCGGTGGATCCTGCCAGATCTCTCTCAGTTATGACCAGGGCAAGACCTTCAAAGTCATTGAGTCGATCATCGGCGGCTGCCCTCTCCCCATGCAATATAGCTTCAAGATCCCGTCATCTGCACCAAGTGGAGAAGCCCTCCTCGCATGGACGTGGTTCAATAAAATCGGTAACCGGGAGATGTACATGAACTGCGCACCGGTTAGCATCGAAGGAGGCAGTGGCGACAAGGCTGCCTTTGATAAACTGCCAGATATCTATGTTGCCAACGTCGGCAATGGCAAGACGACCATCGAGGGCCAAGATGTCGTATTCCCAAATCCTGGGGATGATACGATCGGGACTGACAAGCCTTCTGGAGATGCTCCTGCTGGGTCTAGCGCTGCCGGCAACGCTTCGGCTCCCGCTGCCGCTTCCGGGGCAGCATCCACCCCTGACGCCTCTCCAGCAGCTTCGCCTACACCAGCAGCCAATACACCAGCAGCCAATACTCCTGCGGCGAATACACCAGCAGCCAGTACTCCTGCGGCGAATACACCAGCTGCGACTACTCCAGCCCTGCAAATCAATGCCAATGCCGCCTCTTCCGCCGCCGAGACACCTTCGCCTTCAGAATCAGTACCAGCTTCAGAGTCCACACCTTCGGATGCTTCCCAGGGTATTGGAGGCTCTGGTAACTTGCGCATCACCTGCAATTGTTCCTCCTTGCCTTAAGTTTGGAAGGTAGTGACATGGATTCAATGTTGTGGGGGATTAACGAGCTGAGGGGGCTTTTCTTTTTCCTTTTCCTCAAGTATTTACTGATGGATTTGATAGTATAGGATTGGAATAGAATACTTCAGTCACTCGTTAGAATAGATAAAGATTAGATAGAACACAGCTACTAGTTCTACTTTCATTTCTGTTTCAAAGTTCGATATCCGTTTCCGATTCTTTCCCTCCTCCCCGAATCCACTTTTATCCCAGCCCTCTGCCTAAATCCACTATAGAATTGCTTGTCAATCCTAGCGCAGAATAAGGTTGTAGAGCATGTTAACTTGAAACTGTCAGCCACGGGGGTTTCTTCGGTTGATTCTAGATGTTTTGACTAGTGGCATGTGAAAAACGTAAATTGAGTTTTACTCAGCACGCAACGAGAAAGTTGGATGTTATTTTTGAGTTTACCGTGTACCTAAGGTTCCGTTCTTGCAAATACTATCTATTGGGAGGAGGCTAACCTCATACGCTTTCCATGCTGTTTAGCAAACCCGACTCTTGTGACAGATACTAGTAGGTAAGAAAATAGACCAGTCTGCGTTGAAGCAGGTAGATGGCCCTGGCATTCATGAAACGAATTAAACTAATCGTAGCAAGTCAAGAAACAAAAAAAAAACAAAAAAAAAAAAACAAGGGCGCATTTCACATGGGTGGATCCAAACAAGCGCTCAGGAACGAACGATCGTGTGGGAGTGCATGGCATGAACAGTGCTGTGAGAGTAAATGACGGATGGATATCGTATTGGGTGATGTCATGACTCGATAAAGTTACAATTCGCCACCTCGGTGTCGTCTTTGGGAAGATACCTGATGTTCCGAACCAAGTAGCTGGAATTTAACCTAAAAGTTTTGAAAATCAGCATGCCGCGTGTCCATGAATAACCGAACAATTATGTCCCGGCGTAGTTGGTTCTCACCATTTCGCTCCTTTTATCCCTGTGCCTTTCAATAGGGCTTGTTCATCAAATCCGAATTTCCGCTCTAGCCATTCTTTCGTCCATAGGTAATCGGAATTGTTGTCGGCAACATGGTGGAGAATGAATATCAATCTGGCGAGTTGACGGTTTTTACCCGCACGGTACACATCAGTCTGTGCAGCAGCGCAGTCGAAATGATACCCCTGGTTAGGGTGGTAGTCAGAATCGCAGATTTCCAGTAATTTGTCAACGAGGCAACTTCCAACGCCTAGTCGGCAGTATTTAGGTTCGACGAAAAGTTCCAATTCTGCGGTGTAGCGGTTAATGGTGGCGGGACCTGTGAAGTCACTTGCCAGGATGCATCCAAAGATTTCTTCTTCCTCCCCATTTAGGGCATGGCCTAGACGTGGCTTCTGCTCGACAGCAACGAGAGCTGGGAACTTATCCCGCTCACATTCGTCAATGCGCTCCTGCAAATTGCCGAAGGAAAGCGGCTCCAGGTCGACACAGCGGACTGTGTTCTGAATATACCAGTTGAACAGTTTAAGCAAACCCTGCAGGTCCTTCTTCTCGATAGGTCGCAGGTATAGATTTAACTTTGGGGAGTGCGGATTCATTCTTATCGTGAGGGTTTGTAGGTATTGTTGGCTGAGGCGCATTTGCATGACCATTTTCTTCTTCTTCCATTTAGCTTCTTGTCGTTCCTTTACGAGGCGAGTATTCCAATTATAAATATATCCACTAGCTGTTTCGTGCGCATGTGCAGCACTTTCTTGATCAGTCAGGTCAAGGAATGAGATAGGTGACTTTTCTCGTGAGGCAAACATGCCGCGTCCATTGGAATGAAAGCGTGCATCGTTGAACTCCGGGCTGTCTGTATCAACCCGGGCAAGATCCAATTCACTAATTGTTTTCAACCAGTTCTTCAACCTATGAGTAAATTCCTGACCTGAGTGGGTGTCCCAAGGGCGGTGTTGCCAGTCCACTACTGGCATAGAAAAATTATCACCTCCCGAAATAAGCGGACTTCCATTCTTTTGTTGAGAAGATTCTGAATTACGCCCTGAGAAACGGGTACGGGATTCAGCCATATCAGAGGAGCCACCATTATCTTGCGCTTCGCCAGTGGGCGAATTCCTGTTTGACGGATAATTTCGCAAATGCGAAAATACTGCATTGTCTCGCTTGGTAAGAGCAAGGGAAATTTGTTTGGCAATTGGCGATGTTGGATCATTTCCCTCTCCCTGGCGAGCAAAGTCAAGTGGGGAAGGCTGTTTCATTGCGTGGAGGTCAATGCCGCGGATCTGCTGGGCAATCTTCAGTTTTTCTTCTCTCTTAAGGCGCTCCAGTTTGTCGCTAAGGCAATTTTGCTTTTCACGACCGGCACCCACGAAAGACTCGCTTGGAGGATCCAAAACCATCGGGCGTTTCTTCTCTCGTGGTTTAGTAAGTGGAGGAAATTTGGGTGGCCCTAGAAAGGTGTGTGCTCTCCGCATAGCAGTATTGTCACTAAACGAGCTAGTGGCTCTGAATTTATTCAGGGGACTGGCGTCAGAGCACTCCAAGGCAGTCGAACTCCTCCCCTTAAATATTTTGTTTAGATTTTGGACGGCTATGCAAGCCTGCTGTCTATTTAACGGAGGAGCTGCACTATCTGGAACAGTTGGGGGTTTGGGTGCATTTATTTTGTATTGTCGGAGAAGAACTTCATCGGAACCACCTGAACAATCTTTTTTTATTTTAGTGAGTTTTAAGGCGTCTCGATTATGTCGATATCAAAGAAGGCAAAGACAATGGGACAATTACCTGTAGGGGACAGGGAGAGAATTTTCCTCTCCTGATTTGGCTTGCTGGGCGTGATTGTCCCTACAATATAACCTGTGATGAGTATGTTGAACAATTTCTGTTACGCATTGTCAATTAGCCTCACCGTTATTCATTTCAGTAACAGGGTCAGAATCAGAGGCAGGCTGGATTTCTATAGCCGGTGACTGCTGTTGGCTGCAGCAGTGGCCAGAGTTTGTCGTGTTTTCTTTTTTGGGAGTTCGCTTTCGGGTACGGTCAGCTGCTTCTTCTGAGGGTATGTCCACTGCAGCAGATTTGACCATGGCTATATCTAATGTCGCAGGGCTTAATTTGCCTGGTTCCTGTGGGCTGAGTGCTCCCAACCCAGAATCACCCTCCTGGTAGGGTTGTTTCTGGACGACGGAAGGTTTGGCCATGGTGAAGCTAGTCCTTACTTCATGTGTTGGTGTTTGTAAACCGGTTTGGGAATTCGCGGAAGACAGCATCTGGGAAACTTCATCGCGAGGTTGCTGTATCGCTCTGTATTTTGAATGCGAAGTAGCCTGGAATGTTCTGAAAGAAGTCAAGATTTCGCTCCATTCGTCGGCGGATGAAGGGTACTTTTCGTCCTTTGACATCCTGAATCCTTCCATTGTCAGCGTGTAATGGCGTCTCCTTAACTTAGTTGTTTCGGTAGGTTACCCATACGCTTCCTTGGGAACCGCAGGGTCAGGTTGCTTTGTTCAGAAGCGCTTGGGTTCAAATGACAAACCCTCCTACTGCCCCTTACCTTTAACACCAGTTGTCGCCAAACTCCTCCCGCTCGCGGATTTCCTATTAATACTCTAAGGGTGAGTAGAGGATAGATAGAGTGGATTCAGATTCACAAAAGAAAGATGAGTGTACCCAGTCGATTCAAGGAGGATCGGTTCCTGCTTCAAGAATCATCTGCAGTGAAGTGGCAAGAAGATGGAATATGTAGAATCCCGAGGTCTCTTTGCAGAAGACATTTAGATCAACAAAACAGAACAGAAGGTTTTCCCAATACCCAATGGTTGGTTGGTGGGTGCCTGGCTGGAGATGGTGAATTGGAGAACAATGTCAATGTAGCTGATATCTGAAAGAAACCATGTCAATGGGGACATGGCTGCGAATGAGACGTAATAAGAATACACAAGACTTAAGATGAAAAATCAATCCAGTTAAATCTTCTGCCGGCTTAGATTCTCTATTGTGAAAGGGAGATATGTTGAGGAAGAGATGGGTATACTGCACATATGGATTTCAGGGATTGGTGGTTGGGATTGGGCTAAGCTTGGAAGCCTCCACGAAATAAATAAATGCTGCTTGAACCTCTGCAACATCGAAACACCCGAGACAGACACCCGAAAGAAAACAATCCAAAATGCTTTCTATATTACGAAAGGCAAGGCTGAAGGACAAGGAGATGAGGACCCTGATGCTGTAAGTCCATTTTCCATTCATCATGCGTTTGTTTAAGCCTTGCTGCTGATTTGAAGAAGAGGGCTTGACAATGCCGGCAAAACAACCATCGTCAAGAGGATCATGAATGAAGATGTCACCACCGTTAGTCCAACACTGGGCTTTATCATCAAATCTATTGACTTCCAAGGGTAAGCATAGCTTGCTATGTCAAGGAGGCAATTCACGGAACCCCAAATGAACTAACCGCCTCTTCTACATACCGTAGGTACAAGTTGAATATATGTAAGTTTCCGTCCCAGGGCAGAAAAGAAAACAGAAACTCTAATCTGACTATCCTTTTATTTTTTCCTATGAAGGGGACGTTGGAGGGCAAAAGACATTGAGATCCTACTGGAGGAATTACTTCGAAAAGACCGACGCTTTGATCTGGGTGGTTGATGCAACGGATCGAATCCGAATCGATGACTGTAGACAGGAACTTGCTGGGCTTCTTCAGGAGGAGGTGAGAAATTTGCAGCCAAGCTGTTCATGCGCACTAGTAGAGAAGGCCCGAAAAGTGCTGATTGAAAATCCAAAAGCGACTTATGGGCGCTAGCTTGCTTGTCTTTCTGAACAAGACCGATGTTGAAGGGGGCATGGACAAAGATGAGATTCGAGAGGTATGTGTGTCCGGGCCTCGCTCCTACATCGTTTAGTGTAACAAATATGAATCTTCTAAATGACTCTTTTACGGAAGGGTAGGCGCTCCAACTTGATGCGATCAAGACCCACAAGTGGACAATATTCCCATGCAGTGCAATGACTGGGCGAAACTTGAACGAGGGGCTCGAATGGGTGGTGCAAGATGCAAAGGACAGGCTTTTTCTTTACTGATCCATTTCATTTCACTCTTTGGGATTCTTCTTATTCCTGTTAGGAAATGGTCTTTATATCGCAGCCTACCTGAAGCTGTCATCGTGGAACCCGGCTTAAAACCGCGCAACTACGAATAGAACGGAGTGGAATTATTAATGTGGGCTTGTTGCAAGACGCACACTCGCCTTTTCTGATTGTTATGTATCACGTTCTATGGACGAAACCAAGATTCGTAGCCGAAGCTTAAAATGAAATGAGAACAAAAATAAACAAACATCGCGTCTCGAAGCACCAAAAGTGGGCTATAACCGTCACGGTGATGACATATAAAACGACGCAGCCAACGCGCTTCATAGCTGCTTGCCCAGACAAGCTTCTTATTGTCCCCGATATTCGGCCACGCCCTGCTAGCTGGCTAATTATTATCCTTACCCCTCGTAGATTTTTGCCAGATCTAGTTATGTCGCGGTTCCTGGCTCTTAGCCGAGCTTTGACGGGGTCTCGAATTCAACATGCGAACTGTTTCTTCAACTGCGCTGCGCAATCATCAAAACAGCTTGCCTTCCCGTAGTATCTGTTAGACAGCGACTGATCAACCTTGACATGTAACTTAAAGCCATGATTTTATAAAGCCTCTAATTTTAACTCCTCGTGTCCATTGGGCAGTTAGCCGCATTATGTAAGACACAGCCGATCCTAAGCACGGAGCAACATGAAATACCACACCCTGCCCATGCCAAACAATTTCCTGGAAGAGACCTGGAAACAAGACAGAATACTGTTAATTTCTGATGCCTCATAGTCAGCGTCTGGTGCAAGACTTTCTTTGTTTTTTCTCTCTTTTGTTGATTTTTGCGGGTAGGTAGCGCGCGCCATGGAGGCGGATGGCTCTGAAGATGTCAACGACTTTCTTAACCGCATCCGTGAGCTGGGCAACAAACGCGACAGGGAGGACGAAGAGCGCACTAGAAAACTAGAAGAAGAGATCATTCAAGGCCGGAGAGAGAGAGAGGCTAGGAGAGCGGGTAAATTTGAATCATTCCTATTTTCCATCCGCATCTATCTAGTGCACCGAGTTTGCGGCTGTATTTACTAGGCGCAGACCGATTATCCCGCTTTTGAGGAGATACATAAAAAAAAGTCAATAACACAACATTTTTCTGGTCTCCCGGCTAACATATTCCATGTTTCTATGTCAACACAGAGCGTGCCCGATCCATATCCCCAACTAAGGACTCTCCTGGCCCCTATGGTAGCCCCTCATTGGCAGGAAGCGTTTCTCACTCCTCTCCCGTACGCGCACAATCAATTGAACCCCCGTTGGCCCTTCTTCCATCCCCCAAAAGAGAAATATCCGATACCACACCAGCAACTGAAGAGATGGGGGATTCAGATATGGCCAAAGCAGATGATCTGGCTCGTCATTCTGCCAGATTATCGACCTCTTCGCGCCCTTCCTCACGAGGGCTGACTTGGCAGCAGCGTCCTGGCTCTCGAGATCTTGATGCTGGTATTGTCCCTTTTCCAACTTTCCCTTCGCCTAAATCTGCAGTCGAAACGCGTCTGGAGTCTACTTCCGCACTTGACGCTGATTCGACTCCGCCCCGATCTCACATCGCCCAGTCTCTTGCTTCGAAGGATCCCACCTGGTTCCGACAGACATCTGATCGCGGAATTGGATCGCCTGCATATAGACGCGCCCAAGATAGCTCAGTGTCGGATGTTTCTATGTTGAGCGGGAACATTAGATTGCCCGGTTTTAGCAGAGACCCGACGGTAGACTCTGAAAAGGTTATAAACAACGATCATACTACTGATCGGTCAGGGTCTCCGTCCAGAGCCAGTTCTACATATGCTACCGGCAGCTCGGGAAACAGGTACTCTAGCGTATCTTCTGTTGTCACGGCTGGGGGATTAGGTTCTCCGGTTCCTCTGTCCAATTCCCAGAGAATAGAGTCGCGCGCGTCTTTCACTGCTAATGACCCTCACCCAGCCGACCGGTTTGCAATGTCCCCGTCTCAAGGTCGAATTGCTGCGGATCGATCATCTTCTCCAACGAAAGGCTTAGGTGGGTTCGTGCAAAGTGCTATGATGAAACGTTCTGATAGCGTTTCAAAGAGATGGAGCAACCAACAAACTGGGCGAGGCACTGCAGTCCCCAAGCCAGGCTACCAGACGCCACCGAGCAGTCTATTCAGAGAAGCAAGTGATGAAACCTCTCACATCTCTAGTTCGCGCCCCGGCTCTAGCCATACCGAAACAACAATTGTTCGCCAGCATACGAAGGGAGAGCTTGAACCATCGAAATCACCTAACGATGTCGCCCTGAAGCAATCGCTTCCATCCAGGCCCTTGTCGCGATCTGATTCAATTAGTAATGTGGGAGACAGGCCGTCAGATTTGCCTGTCAGCCCATCAAAAACAATGGATTCTCGGCGATGGAGCCCAACGAAAGCTACCTGGCTAGAGAGTGCTTTAAACAAACCCGATTCTCCAAAACTCAAGCCGCAGTTCCAGGAGGAACCTGAATGGAAGAAGGGATTAAATAATAGACTGAGACAAAGCAAGGCTAGTGTCGATCTAGGAAGACCTGGCTCTCCAAAATTCTCATTGCAAAAGGAGAACCAACCTCCAACAGGGATCTCAACCCAATCTTTGAGAGAGTCTGAGAATCGGGACTCCGCAAACACAGTTAAATCAAGCCACCCAAAGCTACGTAGCGCTCTTCAGTCTGATAATGAAGTTCTGCGCATTGACACAATGGCTAGCGTGGCACAGACTGCTGAATATCCCAAAAAGCTTGATGACCTGAGGTCACGGCCTATAGCTTCTCCCAGGCAAATGGCTGACAGTCCAGCTTCACCGTCACCCATAGGCTCCCAAAAAGGACTGGGATCCATAACAAAATCGCCGGTTGATGGGATTTCACCGCAATTGAAGCCTTCCACCCCACCCTTAAATAACTTCAGAGCAAACTTGCGGCGTCGCGAAATAACCGATGGAGCTTCCAACAAAGATGAGCCCGAATTCAAAAATGTTTTCGGAAAGCTAAGGAAGACCGAAACGAAAAACTATGTCGCCCCCGATCTATTAAAAGACAACATCTTAAGGGGCAAAGCCGGTCTGAATGCAACGGGAGGACCGAAAAAGTCCGATAAAATAGACGAATTCAAGGAAAGCATTCTTAAACAGAAAGAGGCAATGAAAACCGGTGGAGGTTCGATCCGACGCCCAACTATTGGAGATAAAGGGGCTATTTCACCAGACAAATCATCGCTTGAAATCCCGGAGGCCATTACGAGGCAGAGAACTATGACTAAGTCTGGACCTGCAGTCACTAGTCTTTTGGGGAATGGCAGGCACTTGAAGCCAGCTGAACTTCCCAAAACCGTAGGCGTTCAAAGAGAAATAAAGCAGTCAGAGGCAGCTGAGTCTGATGTTCAGGACCCTGAACTCGAGGCTATCCCGTCAAAAACTTCATCGATTCATGGCCCAGAAGGTGAAGCCTCCGACATAGTTACGTATGCACGGAATTTGCCATCTGATAAACTCGCTGATATCCCCGCAAAACCGGATCAACAGCCTGATGTTTCCTTACAGCAATCAGCGGCGAAGTTGCATAATAATCGAGAGATTCCTGAGCAGTCTTCAAAACTGGCTGGTATTGCGTCGAAATATGACCAAAGCTCCATTCAAACACCGCCCAATGGTCCACGTGCACGTTCTGGTACAGGGAAGCTTGCGGACAGATTGAATCCTGCCCTAGCAGGTCTTTTATCCCGCGGACCGCCTTCTAGTAGCGGACCACCCAGCGGTTCGAATGATAAATCATCACGACCAATGCCATCTCAGTCTGAGCTGTCTGAGTCAATCTTACCAGCAAAATTGACGCACACGACAAAAGGCCGAGCAAAGGGACCAAAAAGGAGGTTACCACAATCTGGAACCTCCGATCAGAAACCACAGAAGAATGAGCACAAAACACCCTTAAAAGTGGAATTAACGACGTCATGGTCATTGCGTGATACCAATCCTAGTGATGATAAATTAAGCCAGGATACGTCGCCTACTAAAGAAGATGTGAGGTCATTGCTTAAAGGGCTTCCGCCAAGCAAGAAGGAGTCCGATACGGCTAATGCGTCATTCACACCAAACGGACTACAAAGGAAAGACAAGCCATCAGTGTCTTCGAAGTCTCCCGATCTTAGACAGTTCACCCCTACTAATAATGGTCCTAAAAGAAATGATTCAGAATACGATGGGACTGATACAAAGTTGGAATTACTTTCTTCGAAGAAATACGCACAAATTGACACTCTCCCTCCCACTCCAATTGCACGAAGAAGCACCTCCAACGAGAGTTTCAAGTCTGATGGAAAGCCGAGTCCTCCTCCAAAGCCTACTACGATTTCAACAACGAATAGCTCTTTATCTCAAAAGAGCCTTCCTCCGTTCCCGCAAGAACGCATTAACTCCCCTCCTGTACCTCCAAAAGCAGCCGGCCCAACTCTCAACAAACAACAATCACCCTCGATAGGCCCCAAGACATCTCCATTTCCTGAGTCTTCCGAGGCAATTAATATCTTTTCAAGTTTTTTTGATACTATGCCAAAGGCTAGTGATAAGGTTGAGGTCGACCCTCAGTCGATATTAATGTCACAACCAGATGTATATCCCAAAATTAACACAATATCGAAACAAATATGGGAGATCACTGGCGATGGCAAGAGGAAGGATCTCCCAGCTAACCAAGGCTATATACTGTTTGAACAAAGCATGTATCTATGCGTACATGTTTTCGAAGAAGCGGGCGGGCCTAAAACCACTCAGGTTCATCTTTGGTGCGGTGATGAAGTAGCCGAGGCAGCTATTGAAGATGCACAACTTTTTGCTCGCAAGGTTGCCCGGGAAAATAGCTGTAAGCTCGAGCTCGTCAAGCAAGGAAAGGAGGCGCCAACTCTCATCCAGGCTCTTGGCGGCATTATCATCACACGCCGTGGCTCGGGGAGCCGCGCTAATTCCTCGTCAATGTATATGCTCTGTGGCCGCCGACATATGGGTCAAATTGCGTTTGATGAAGTTGATCTGACCTCGAAAAGCCTATGCTCCGGTTATCCGTACCTAATCTCCGCTAAATTTGGCAAACTGTACCTCTGGCAAGGTCGCGGAAGCACAGCTGATGAACTAGGCTGCGCCAGACTTATCGGCATGGACCTAGGCTTAACGGGTGAGATCGAGGAAGTCATTGAAGGAAAGGAACCGCCGGGGTTCTTCGAGACCTTTCCGGACACTTTCCAACCGACCCCAGCCCAAACTGCAGACCATTGGAAATTGAAACCCACCAATGGGAAATATTGTTGTCGACTCTACCGCGTCGACCATGAACTTGGACAGAGATTTGGATCTGGCTTCTGGGGTCGTCGCGGGACCACCTCGCCTGTCACAAGGCCGAATGACGTTGTGCAGGAAATCGAGCCGTTTTGCCAGCGCGATCTCGACCCCAATCATATACACATCTTGGATACTTTCTTCGAGATTTTTGTGTAAGAAGAATTTCATTTTCCTGGACTCTGTAATTTTTGTACTTGTGAATAAATGTACATGTATATACATACACATGCGCACTAAATACTAATTCACTCTTTAATAGCATTGTCGGTGATCGAGCAAACGCGCGCTCCGCAGAGTTTGCCTCCGCGCTGATATTCGCCCAGGAATACGGCATTATGGCTGTCTCTTTGCAAGACCGACCATTCCTGCCCAAAAGCAGTGTCGTGATATATGGTCTTTCAGAAGAATGCAAGCGGGCATTCAGAAAGTGGGACGACCGGGGTATTTTATCTCCAAGAAAGACGCCAAGTGTTTTCCCGCTCAACGCTGCTATTGAGGCTATTCGGTGATTTCCTTCTTTCATAAACGCCTTTTACAGAGTTGTGGGAACTTTCTCCTGCTCATTTAGCTTGTTTCTTCTTTTGCGGAGTTTTTCTTTTTCTTTTTCTATTTAACAATTCTCTTGTCTTAATTCCTAATGTTTGGCCATAGCGAAAGGTATTTTGCCCTCGACTTTGATGTGATGCCACTGCTGCATTGATTTTCCAGTATATTTCTCGTCTCATTTTTGCGTTTATTATTGGCTGGCTATTTCTTTCTATACAGTCTATGGACGGTAGTTATCTGGCCATCGATCTCAGCTCTTTCAGACAGTTAGAACGGATGCATATGGTGTTGCTGAAGGTGCAAGGGCGGACTTGAGGCTCCGGTTGAGGAGTTATTTCTTCCTCTACTGTAAGAATTAAGACACGGCTTATATGCGTATAACATATATCTGTCAACCGCATTATTAGCTGTAGACTGTGCTCCTGGACGTGGTATAAAGGCTCTGGGGTTTTGGGAAGTGTAGGTTCGACAAAGTTTTTCCAGGCTAAACATCATTATTAGGTAGTTATAGTACAAGGCCAGGGTGGAGGAAAAAGAAAATAAGAATTAACAAGAAGATGGAATTCGAGGTATCACGTCTCTTATTTTGCCCTTTTGCCCAGCTGTATTTCTCATATTGATGGAGCTTCCAAGCCTTTTCTTTGTTGCTAGCCCAAACTTAGCTTCCCCAACCTTCTGAAGCAAAGAGTTGGCCGAACGCTTTTACCCCCCGCATCATATCTGGATATCGAGTGCTCGAAAATTTGCCGGACGAAGTGCGCATATTCCATTCCAGGGCCACCATGAACTGCTACACGCACGTTGATACAGCTTCAATCTCTCCGTCGAAGACAATGCGCTGACTGAAGCAGCGAGTCTCCGGCAATCACGATCTGATCACCCCACACGATATAATAGCACAGGCAACCCGACCCTACAAGCCACACAGGATACATATATGTCATTTTTATCACTATATGATATCCCCGATCCGTTTTGCTAGGCCGACTGGCAATACGTTGATCTAACAGCCATGTCCAACATGGAACCCCACATCGCCCACGAACTTTCAAAACTTGACCCCGCCATCCCCTTCAGGGCGTCCTCCTCCCATCTGCACCACACCTGGGCCAAAACCTTCTACTGGCGCCCGGAACTCTTTATACAACCCGAGTCAGTCGCAGAGCTTCAAAAGGTTGTCACTCTCGCCCGCCGTTGTCGTCGCCGTCTCGTTACAGTCGGGAGCACCCACTCCCCATCGGACCTCACCTGCACCTCCTCCTGGCTCATCAATCTCGACAACTTTCGTCGTATCCTCTCCTTCTCGCAAGAAACAGGGATAGTGACTGTCGAGGCGGGCATACGGCTGCGCAGCCTTGGTGTGGAGTTGGAGAAATATGGCCTGACGCTGCCGAATCTGGGTAGCATTGACGAGCAGAGTATTGCTGGCGTGATCTCAACGGGGACGCATGGGAGTTCATTGAGATACGGACTGCTGTCACAGTCCGTGCTGGCCTTGAGTATTCTCCTGGCCAATGGACAGGTGGTCCGCTGTAGTGCTGAGAGTAATATAGAGCTGTTTCGCGCCGCCCTCGTTTCACTGGGTGCCATTGGCATTATTACGGAAATGACACTACAGACTGTACCAAGCTTTAAAATCGCATGGCAGCAATCTGTACAGAACCTGCCACGAATACTAGAATTGTGGGACAGCGGTCTCTGGACTTCTTCGGAGTATGTGCGCGTTTGGTGGCTGCCATACTGGAAGCGAGCTATCATCTGGCGCGCGGATAAAACCAATCTACCCCTCTGCGCGCCGCCAGCTAACTTCTACGGTGGCCGTGTTGGTAATTTTATTTACCACAATTTATTATATCTCTCCAATTATGTCCCGCGTATTCTTCCCTGGGTGAGTGGTTCGTCTTCGGTATGCAATACGGTTTCAGGCCAGGTAAACTCATCACTTCAGCAGTGGAACCTGGTCGGACGGGCCTGCTCATGAACTGCCTCTACTCTCAGTTCGTCAATGAGTGGGCACTACCATTGGAAAAAGGACCGGAAGCTATCACTCGACTTTCTGCCTGGCTAAATGGTGACGCGGCTACCGCCAGGATCCCATTCAGTTCCAAGGATGTCTGGGTGCATGCGCCCATCGAAGTCCGCGTCTCAGATACATCCAAGACCAATACGCCGCGCCCCTATCTGGACCCAACCTGCGCAACGGGACCCACGCTATTTCTCAATGCGACTTTATACCGCCCGCACTTGCGCGATCCTCCCTGCTTGGCTAGGTACTATGAGGCGTTCGAATGGTTAATGCGCGAGATGGGCGGACGCCCACATTGGGCCAAGAATTTCAGCTCCAGCACGGGGCAGAAGGAAATAAGCCATATGTACGGACGCGATCTAGAAAAGTGGTTGATAACCCGCAAGTCGGCTGACCCCGATGGTATGTTCTTGGGTGAATGGCATCTGCGGAATTTGTTTGCCGCCCCGACCAATGACGTAGATGATCAGGATGGGGGATGCTCATTTCCTCTCGCGGAGCGCGAAAAGTCACGGCGGAAACTTATGAATCTTCGTGGTGTTGGGGATGCTCTGGAATATATTGGTGACAGGAGGTGGGTGGATGATTGTTCATCTACGACAAGGCCTGGAAGTGGCCTCCGGGAACAAATTAAGGGGACCTTGCTTCCTAAGGAGGGAAATCATAACGAGGTCCAGCTTGATCCCCCAAGCCCGCCGACAACAGTGGCGAGTGAGGAGAGCTTTCATCATCTTGCTCACGGGGAAGCTAGTGTCATGCTTGAGAAGAGATAACGATTAACCGTTTCACCACCCTTCTACCAGTTTGGCAATATAACCGAGGTATATTTTGTTTGGGAAGGCATCGTGCCGTTGATAGCCAGGTTCCACCGATGCGCCGTGCCATATAATCTTCTTCATCACACCTTTATGCCCAGCTTTCTCAATGACTTTCTCCTTTTATTTGATATATTATATTTCTTTCCTATGTTCTAGCTAGTTGAGCACACCCCAGGGAGGAAAAGCTTTTTACAATTTCAAATTCCAACGCATATTCTTACAATTTACAAACACGAATCATTATAAACTGAAAAGTGGTATTGAGCACCAATGAATCCGCGCCGTTTCCAATCTTCTCTCAGCTGTCGAATAGCCTCTCCACCTTCCATCTGTCCTCTTATGCCATTCTTCCGACGGGTGAACATCCTAGATAGCGAATATAAATGTTGACGTGGACGGTGCCAACAGGTCCAGCTGTTTTTTCTCCGCTTAAGCTGACATCGAGTTGGGCACCGAGACCGAAAGACTCACTAACGTGCGTGTGGGTGATCGGATTTTCTTCTTTCAATATAAGGGAGGGAATGGGTAATGACCTGCTGCCAAATTTTACTTTTTTAAGTTCCGCTCACTAGGTGTTTAGCCCGTCCGTTGGTTTGGTTTCTGGCCCTGGGGGGTCCTTTAGTCGTGTAGCGGTCTATAAATGGAACATTGTGACGCAATGACAATTCCATCTGATGAACTATGATAATCCGTTCTCCATTATTTATTCGATTGTTTCATCTTTGCACGAATTGTGGAACCAGCGACAACACCCACGTTTACCTAACTTCATGTACAGTGCAAACTGCTGCAACCTCTTGTCCTATCAGGCGCCCGTCCCTGCATAGCTGGTCTTCCGATTTTGTTTTTCGTTAATAAATCCCCAGCGCCGTATCGACAAAATGCCAGTTTCTAAACACATAGAAGTGATCGTGTTTGCCATGGAGCAGCTGGGCCCAATGAACTCAGGCCACTTTGATTCCAAGCCTCGCGTCTGTTTTTTTTAAACTGCAGCTCTGGCTCCATGACATCCCGAAAACTTGCGAACATTGGACTGTGCCTAAACCGAAAGGTGCCAAAGAAAAGAAATATAAAAAAGAAAATAAAATGGCAAACAAGGACAAAATAAAACAAACGCCCACATGGTTGGTGGATAGCAAGTGTGGAATTTAGCTTCGCGAGGGTCACAGAGAGAAAGGTGGTTCGACAGCCGATGGATAAGGATGCCTGGTCGATCATAGCGTCTGCATCGGCGCCTCTTCAATAGCCGTCTCTCGTATCTCATGATGCCCATGGTTTGTTCATCCATCGTGTCTTCTTCACCTTTTCACCCTTCCCCTCAAATACGTTACAGTTTAAAAGTCATGTTCATTTTGTTTTTGCCCAGACATGCAACCCTGTATGCAGCACAATGAAGCAAAGCTATTAGCTTTTGGTTCAGACCGAAAATTAACACTGTTACACGACTGCAAAAAATATACTGCGAGACATCGCTAAGCATATCATCAATTGATCACCACAGAGAGGCAACAGGACAGTGGAGATCCTGCAGGGTTAGGTTTGTTGGGTACCAGTAGGAGAGCTACCGAAACGAAAACACGATAAAATTTTTAGAATTGCACAATAAACCCGAGCCTTTGCTTTCCTTGGAGGCTCCAATCGTATACACAAGACAAAACCGCGGGCCGCCCGCGGGGTAATGCGTTTAATGAACGCTTTTGCACTGTGTCAACCGCACCACCTCAAGCTCTCTACCGTGAAGGGCTCATATTTTTGGAATTCTCTAGGAATGTCACTAAGACTCGGTTATCTCTGGAGGAAGCAGTTCACAGTGAGAGTTCAGTCTAGTTGGACCATGCAAACCTTAGATTTGTAGATTGATTTGATTTCCCGGGCCTGCCTTAGAACTTGCGGCTTTGGGAAATGCGAGTATAACGTACAAAAAAGCGCCCATGGCCAATACTTGCGGTCTCACATGGATAACAGTACTGGGTGACATCCCCGACGTATGCATACTAAATTAGTAGGCAGGCCGTATTGTTGTTCATATTAGCTCTCGGCTATGAATTCCACCACATTGGCGCAAGCAAGGGGGAAAGGAGAGGGGCGGGGAAGAAAAAAAGAAATAAAATCCAACGCGCACTTCAGAGGCTTCCCGAGTGTTCACCCTGCTTTGTACCGATATCGCGCAGGGATTCGGGGTATCCTGCCAAGGGTACTTAGAAAGCGAACAAGGCGGCATGAACTGTTGTAAAAGGGCGCCACGGAGGGACACGGAAACATAATCTACCCAGGCTGCGTGGTTGATGAAAGAGCTAACAGTTCTATCCTATCGATCTGTTGAGCGTTGTGTTTATATGATGACATCCAGCAACCTGGCCGAAGACCATTTCCTTGTAGTTTATGCAACTAGCCGCTCTCAGAACGACAGCAGATACTTTCATGTCAGCCCTAATGAATCTCATTCGAGAAGACCAAATTTGAGAGGCTAAGTAGGGCGTTAACGCCTTTTCTGTTCTTGGACATTCACATCAATCAACAGCACGTCTTGGGGGTGGAATGGTTACTCCCGCTGCAGCAGAACGAAGACATCAGCACATACATGCAGCGTGCTCGTTGATTTGCAGGTGTGAGTCTCAATTAGATGTCGTATTCCCGATTGCAGCATTTTGGTGCCAACCACATCCTGGGCTTCCTGTATGATGCTGCTGCTGCAACTCCAGATGCCGCCATCGATATATTGCCGTATTCCTGTCATCGCGCTTTGTCGACGAGTGGAAAATTGAGAAAGGAGACGGTTAGACGAGGATACCATGTGACCGGGAGTTGATCCTCCAAAACCCGTTTTGGTTTGTAGAGAATTTATCAATCACCGTGAGTGGAGCTAAGCCATGCAATTTTGCTGTTTGAAGAACTCATACGCCAGATCAAGAACGGTGTGGTCCCTTTAGCCACAGAGCTTTTCGGCCTCTCACTGTGAAAAGATGGTGAATGCTGGCAGTACCCGATTACATATTTACAAATATGCGCGCATACCGACCGGTGTTCAAACGCCTGAGGCCCTCTTTCGGGTGATTTGTCGTGTACCACCGCTTCCATAACGACTCATATGGTTTTCGGGGGTGATATCTGCAGGATTCAGATGACCAGATTTATGCAGATAGATCAGAAAAACACAGTGATAGATGGGAGAAACCACTGTAGGCTGATCCAACCTGCAGCAAGTTGAGGACTCTTTTGGACCAAACTTCACACAGGAAGTCAAGGGCAATTTCGGGTATTCAAAATATGCGCATCTATTGGGGCATGTGTGAAATATCCGTCTGGTTCAAAAGGGTGCGGTGTTCTGCCTGCCTATCACCTTTGATTCAATGTTTCGTGTTAAAAATCTCTGTGCCTATCGATTGAAGTTTAACCCTAAATCCTCTCGTCTGCTTGACCATAGATGATCAGATTACCTAGCACGACAAGCTGCATTAATCGTGTTCCATAGGATGCCTTGAATCATTGCAAGGCAGCCAAGATGGGACCACACCATGAGCACCTGCTAATCCTCGAAGGTTGATGCCCAAACGTTGACCCTAGCACCCTGCAGAGAGATAACATTCGCCCACTAACTCCGATTTTGTCGATAATCTAGCTTTGTTGCCCCGCTTCTCTTTTGGGGGGCCTTTGGTATTCCATCTTCATGCCCCACTCAAAGCCTTGGGTGCAAGTCACGCTGAGACAGAAGCATCATGGCATTAGACCACGACCTTTAGCCCCTTATGAAAGGCGCGCTAATTCGAATTTCCCTGTGCTGCTTCGAATAAAACGGGCGCCGTGGTGGGGTGAGAAACGAAATGTGGAAAGGATAATTCCTGACATCAAATATTCCGATAGCATCACAATCGGAGCTGTTTCCACGTCACAACATTGTACTGTACTATAAGTAAGAAGAGGAAGTGGTGTGGGTAAGAAAAGGAGGGTTGGATGCAAAAAGGAGAACTGGAGCCTCGTCACTCACTGTAATCGCTGTCACCGCTTTCCTATATCTTATGTTCCTTTCTCCCGCAAATCCACCATTTCTGCAAGGTCTCGCTGGCACGGCTTCAGTTCTCTTAGCATCGCCCTTATATCTCGTTTGTACTTGCACCTTATTCCTCAAAACAGAACGCCTCAATGCCGCAACCACCCCCGCTTTTTCCGAAACTCCATGTTTCAACCAACGTTTCGGAGCCTCCCTCCGCTACCAGTACGATGGCAGCATTTTCAAGGTTCGGCTCATCTCAGCATCTTGTTGAAGGCGGGACACAGTATCAAATATTTAGGGCCAAACGGAAACACGTTCTCAAGGCTTGCGACCGCTGCAGGGTAAAGAAGACAAAGGTCCAGTCATACGACGTCACTATCCTTCTTTTTTGGTTGTTTCCAGGCCATTGAGCTCATAATTTTCTCCAGTGCGACGGAAACCAACCGTGTTACCGCTGTGCGACGTACAACCATCCATGCCTCTTTCGTGAGCGAAAGGCGACACAAACAAAGGCATATTCAAGAGGGTGAGAACTTATATTCCTCTTTCGCGCCGTTTGCTCTCTCATCGATGGAGGATTGACATATCTGTTTTTCTTTTTTTGTTTTCCCGTTCCTGCCACAGCTTTGTCGAAATGCTCGAGTCGCATCACGAATTGGTAGTGAAGGCACTGCAACAGCTGTACACCCACTGCGTAAACAATGAGTGTTTTCCGGGGGACCCGATCGATCTTGTGGATGGCAATCCATGCACCCATGCAATTCTGGATCGACTAGGATTGATCAAACAAGCTGAAGAAGCCCGGGAGAAGGTAGAGGAGGAGAGTTCATCTCCGACGTTGTGCTGGAAAAGTCTCCCGAAATCGTCTGGCTCTGCTGTAACGGATGCGTTGTCCCCAGAGCCCGTTAGTTCCCTTGAATTATCTCCCTCAAGTAAGAGCGTTTCTATATCTCCACCTGAACTCGAATGCGCGAAAAGTGATCCGTCGACACGTGGACCGAATGTTCCATGCCCCTTTTATCATGGTAGTGCAGCCGTATGGCCATTTCAAGCGTCTGACGTGGAATTCAACCATTCATATTCATCTACTTTCGGCACGGAAGCTGAACGTATCATTATTGAGCCAAGTGGTATCCAAACTTATCTCAGCATTGAAACCGCAAATTCATTCACACCAACAGGAGCACGTCCTGTTGGATTATCGAGATCGGGTCTGCAAGTGGATGGTACTTATATGTGTCCTCATCTCAATGTACCAGGCCTGTACCATGGGCAGCATGATACCGGCGATATGCAGCCGCAGTATTCATGGATCCTTGGAAATTGGAATCGATGAGAGGATATTGGCCAATGCCACCTGGGAGTATCCCAAGGGAATAATCAAAGTTCTATTTGGGATACGTGCGGAACATCGCGTAGCAAAGCGTGGTAAAACTCCCGGGGCCTTCTGATCATGTGGGGTGACGAACGGACTTTCTCTCTATTTCTCTGTGAACAAATTGATTAAGTATGTTTCTATTATCCTTTCTGTTTTTTCTTTACCAGTTCCAAACACTCCGGTCGTTTATAGATATTCAACAGGAGGGAGAATTTATGGGGATTCTCATACTGTGGATTCACTTTCCGCTTTATGAATGCATCTAGCCGCCCGACCGTCACACGAAATCCGAACCTTGAAAAGAAACAGATCCTCCATCGTGGCTAGATTTGGGTGCGTAGAAGACGTCTGCGCAAGAGGGGGGCGGAAAACCCACGCGAGAGATATTCCATTCATCAGACGAGAACATACACCAGATCTCATGGTATGCATTTGGGAGTTCTGTGGCAACCTGTATACCTTTCTTCATTTGTCCCACAGCCACGTTACGGCAGATTCCTTTTCTCTCTTGGCACAACATTGAAATTGGTTCCTATATATTTTCTCATATTCAACATTTTGGTAACATTGCATATTGCATAGATGAAGGGAATGCATCCGGGGAATGCATTGGCGTTTCTTCTTAGTGATGAGGATGAGATGAGGATCATATATCACCCAAGCAGTAGCAGCTCTCAGGGTGTAACACGGATGTCAGCTCGCTATACATACATACATGCATGCATACATATATATATATTTCATGTCTTATGTGCCCGCACAAAAGCACTCCTATATGTACCTGAAACTCTACCAATGGGAAAAGGGCGTAGGTGTCGAGACCGAGACAAGGAGAGAAATGTGGAATACATGGTGAAATTGATGCGCCTGGTCCTGTTTTGTCAGGAGATGCGGATAAACGTAGAAAGGAGGATATAACCTCGACGGCGGTGGGATATTTTATAAAACCCCGGCTTCAAAAATGGCGGAACGATAACCACAGGTCGCACGCAAAGTTATCACGGGATGTTGTTTGCGCCAAGCCCAATGCAAATCGACTTCCAATTCCATCAACGGACTGAAGTTGAGGGAGAGGGAGAAAATTCTTGAAAAAGATTGGAAGTTAGAAGAGGAGGATCCGAGTCTGAGATAAGTGGAATGGAAGTGAGGTCAAAATTGAGTTTGTGTTGATGCCAATACTGGTCATCAAGCAAATGATATCATGTAAACTAGACCTGAACCCCACTTAGTTAGATAAAAAAAAAATTAAAAAAAATAAATCAATTAAAGAAAAGAATCCTAAACGAAAAAACCCCAGGTTTGAGTTCGTAATCTGAGAACTGATCTGCAGCAACATAACCAGGTTTGCTTCTTCACTCACGAGCAAAGTAACCGGAACCTCAAGGAACTAAAAATTTGCGGGCTTTTGCGGCTTGCATTTATTTGGGATTCGCACTTGATGGTTGTATCCGCTACATCCAGCCTAGGAATCTTGGTTGACCTTTAGCTCCTCTGTGCTGGCTAGCTCGTAGTTGATGTTTCCTTAGTCTCCTCCGTCCGAGATTTCAGCAGGATGTTTGCTTTTAACAGTAAAGTTTTACTTTATTGTGATTATCGGTTCTGATAAACCCGACGTTTTACCCAGGCAGCGATAAAAAAAAGTGGATAAATTCCCAGAAGTAAACAAAATTTCGACAGAACTTCACAGGTAGGATAAAAGGTATTGATATCAAATGGGCCCGCCGGATTACCAAGGAGAGCAACAAGATTGGAAATTTGCTTTAACTTTGAGTGAATTTGGTACATATCGTTATTGGTATGCATTTTCTTAGTGAATAACGTAGCATTAGAAAATATCTTTTGGGCGAAGCTCAAATCTTTGCCTTCGCTATTTCTGCCGGAAAAAGAAGAGTGTCTACAAGCATAATAGCATATTTAGGCTAATTCCGTAAACTTCCAAACTTGTAGGGGTCAATATACTTGGCTGATGCTCTTTTGGGCCGCTGAGGCAATCGGGAACACTGTCCAACAATGGCAACTTTCATCCACATGCTAGACTCTCCAATGCTTGAACAAACCACAAATAAGGAAAACTAGAAAACAAACCAGTGGCGGAAATTCGTTACGTAAGCCCTCTATCTCCGTAGGTCCCAAGGATTCAACTGTAGTGCCTGAATTCAAAATGAATGATTCAAAACTGAACTGATTGCTTCACTATTCTATTCCTTAGTTACGAAAAGGAACAAAAAGGAAACTCGTCTGGAGGAACAACAAACAAATAACAATACAGAGGTAGGCAATGAGCAAGGAGGGAATGCTCCTAGTGACCTAACATGCCAAGGCCCCCAAATAACCACATACATGTTTCGTACGGCCAACTACCTCCACCAGCCATATAAACGAGGTAGCTTTTCTGTAATATTACGTACAATCAATGTATCAGCTGCTTTCTGGAGACTTCAGATAGCCCCCTATTTTTACCCCTGAATTATCTACATGCCTGTCTACCTATCCACCTCCCTCCCTACCTACCACCCAACCTGCCTGCTCAATAACCAATCAATCTCTATGAGAATAAATATTACCATCTAGCTACCCGCCTATCTATCAACGCTAGCTTACTAGCTGACTACCTGCCGTCCTACCTGCCTATCTCTCTACTGAGCTGCTTGAATGAATGATATCCACTGATGATATCTATTGACGACATCCACTAATGAATTCTAGCAATGGTATCTAGCAATGATATATATCGCCCGCACAATCCTCTTTATTACGAAATACCTAGGCAGCAGTTACTTGAGCACACGATCAACAATTTAGAGACAGAAATTCAAAAACCCAAAATTCAAACATCTTCCATGAGACAACAAAACAACACAATGCAGGGCGTAACGAGCGTGTACGGTGGAATAGAGGAACGAGAGCTATTGCCAAGCAATAAAGAGTAACACAAAACTCGAGAAAACCACATCCAACGAAGTGATGATATCATATCAGAAAATAGACCTGATTTCGAGTCCATCCCCAGAACACCCTGTCAATCTCTAAGAATTCAAAAATGGGTTCTACCCTTGAGATGTTCTTCTGTATCCAGAATGGTCTGGGCCCCTTTCTTATTCACTTCTACCATCCCCTGTGGCAGGCCCTTGGCCTGGACCATCCCCCCCGTGTGGGGTGTTCGACGGCCGCTGCGGAATTATTGATCCGCCCCATGGATTAGTAGTAGGGAGAGGAGCTGGAACCAACCCTTCAATCGATTGGGTGGAGACTAATGGTTGCTCATTGGGAGCCGGTGGTGCTGTCGTAGCAGTTGCACCGGCAGGCCATCGGGTTCTGTTCTTGTGTACTGCGGCCTGCCGTGGCTTGTCGCTTGTTGGGTTATCCCATTTAACTTCTTTCGGTACATATTTCCCTGTATTCTGACTGAGATAGATGTGGACAGAGTAGGCCCACGCTGGGCCCGGCCGAGCGCGATCAGCGAATTTACCAAACCGCACAGAAATATGAAAAACGGAATCCGGTGCTCTGTCGGTGGCCGTGGTTTGAGTCACATGACCGTCCTTCCTAGAACAAGACAAAAACACTGGATATGAGTATAATCAACAAGCTAGTTAGTCTGTGGGATGATAACATACAGCACAATGCAGTAATCTGGTAGAAGGGTCTTGAAGGTTTCGCTGGTATTATTATTCACCACATCTTGGGGGTTCTCAATATAGTCCTTGATGCACTGGATCACCACTCCCACACTCCAGGATTTAGGTGTGTGATGCCATTCAAGTCGAAGCTGCTTTTCGACCCCCGAACATCGGTACCGCATTGTATAGACCGGCCACGTAGCTGGGTCATCATCCTTATTATTCATCTTGAATCGGCAGAGGATAACGGTTTGAGCGAAAGAAAGTGTTGAAAAGTCTAACAACCAGTGGTCTAAGGGATAAGATGTATATTTGAATTGACGGAGCCGTAGAGATGTAAAGATGTTTAACAGAGATTTTCTTGTGAATCAGGATGATTGATAGAGGGAATATAGGCTGGAGGTCGCAATGGTTTATATACAACCCAAGCTAGGGATTGGCCCTCCTTATTGTCTGTTTCATACATGACTTCTCTCATATCTTCTTAATATTCACAGGTAAAAGCGCGTGGGCAAATTGAGTGATGTTTGGGATATAGTTGTTTGAGCTGGATGATCAAAGAAGGTTGCTCCTGGCTATTAGTGAATTGGTGGGCAGGGGCAACGAGAAGTGCCCAGCAGCAAGGACTGCTTTCAAGGAAACTTTACAATAATTAACAGTGAATCATATATGCTTTGTTGGTTGGCATCTCCATAGAGCTAACCAATATCTCACGGCATCAAGGATTTGATATTAGCCATTGGGGTCCTTGATGGCTGTTGTTTTGAAGTTCAGTGGCTCTCACCATACTAGTGCATGAGAACATGCACATCACTGTTGGCCATGTTGTAGTGCTGACCGATGATATTCTTGTCATTGAATAACTTGAGAGTCTGGCGGCTAAGCATTGGGGGGGGGCGGGATGGAATATGCATGCTAGTATAGAAGGATTGGCTGCTAATCGCCGGCCCGTTCAATGCGCAAACAAAGCGGAGCGACGTGTTATGCATGAATGAACTTGATAGGCTGTTTCATGGAAATGGTTGGGCAGTAGTCGCTACGCTGTGAGGGCATTCATTGTAATGTAGTTTCTGAAATGCACCGGCTTTGATTACATATATAGTACGCTAGTCCGCAATAGGAAGTGCGGGAAGCCTAGCGGCGCCAACACATTCGCTTGAAACAGAATGGTCCAAGCCGATGAAGGGATTTCCCAATCTTTCTTTTTACTTATCATTTTTGGGTTGGAAAGCAGACCGCTGCCCATAACTATATTAACCAGGTCAGAGATTCAAACTCGAGCACTCAAGAATTTTCTGGTTTAGAATTTAGTTTTCATCTGTATGCTGCGACCAAAATATTCGTCCCCATAGCCACCCCAGCAATGGAACCGACATTGCAACCGAAGCAGTATCCCGTGAAGCGTCAAGGTTCCAAATCGCCTGGTTGGGATGTAGCCTGTCTTCAGGGTAGTGAATGCGAGTTTCTGCGTGATTATACTGACAACGGCCTGTGTCCTGTTTTGATTGATGATGTGCTTGGTGGCTCAGACTTGATTGATGAAGGAAAGTCATGTTCCTTTAAGATCATTGGAAAGCTGGGAAGAGGATCTTATTCCACTGTTTGGTTGGGAAGAGACATGTAATTGCCCCATGAGCCTTTCTCCTGCTATCACCTCAACTTATTAAATTAAGTCCACTGACACTTGGTGTGTTCAGTAATTCTGACGAATACCTTGCCCTGAAAATTCTACGACTTGAGCATAGCACTCCAGACAACTCTGAGATGAGCATTTTACGGAGGCTTGGAAAACTTGAGGTTGCCTTTTTCTACACTCATGTTCCCACACGAAATCAGTTTCTCTGTCTTGGCCTAAAGCCACTTGGGTGCACTCTTCAGGACAGGTTTGAACTCCTACTTTATGTACCTAGCGGTATTCCTGCTCTCACCATCTTTGTGAGGACACTCTTGATGAAGGTGCTTGCTTTTCATCAGATGGGAATCTGTCATGGTGGTAGGTGGTGTTTACTTTCTCATTGTTGCTCAATACTGCCCAACAAACATTCATTAACCAAGCAAATGATTTCACTTAGATATCAGCCACAATAATGTTTGCCTAGGTTTACATTCTGAAGCTTTTACCAATGAAGCTCTGATTAAGAGTTTTGGGGAAGATCAAAAATCTTATATTCAACTTTGGAATGTTTCAGGTTTGACTACACCACCTCCACGCCCAGATTATCTGCCTGAGTATATCATTCGCCGCTGTGGATATCCTCTTAAAACAAATACCAATGATATGTCGCTAGTTGATATAATTGATTTTGGTAAAGGTTTGTCACCATTATTCCAATTGAATATCTGATAGAGATGTCCTTTGCCTATTGATTCAGCTCCTCTGATCCAACCAATGTAGAATAGTTCTACTAACAAGTACTTGAACAAGGGTTTGACACGCCTTCAAAATCAAATGTTTTCGGGACGGCGAAGTACTGTGCCCCAGAGCTGGAGCGTAATGGCACAAATACTGCAACTGTGAAGTCTGACCTTTGGAGTCTAGGCTGTGTGGTAGGTTAAGATATCCCATTAGATATGATTATATCTAAATGAATTTTTCTCCATTTTCCAGTCATGTCTAACTCTATCTAGTTCGTGTATGCAATATCCCACGAGCATCTATTTGACTGGGAAAATCACCTACCAGATTATGTTGGTATGTTCCCCACACCCAATTTAATACCTTCTCTTCCTTCAATTTCTGTGTGAAATTTCATTGAATCTGACCTCAATTGTCACACAGCCGCCAACCATGAGGAACAGCTCTCATTCATTGAGTCTCAACTTCCGAGTAGTCTCATGAAAAAGGGGCCAGAATATTTCCATTCATTTGCACGACTCATACACTCTCTAGTACGAGTCGACCCAAAAGATCGTGATCCGGAAGCCGCCAAGAAATATCTCAAAGAGCTTGAAGCCTGGAGCGCCCGTAATTAGCAGAATTCCCATTTTATGGTGCTGGGTATAAAAAAAAAAGAGAATCTTCAAACCAGGACCTGTAACATGACCAGTGTACCCTCTCATATTGTCGATTGAGGGAAAACAGAGGCAGAGAGATAAAGAAATAAGGGCGAAGAGCCGGAATGAAAAATGAGAAACAAACAAAGATCAGATCAGAACTGCAAAAATTTTACAATCCTCTTGACTGTCCTTTACAAGTAGTTAGTGTTCTCAGTAGTATTCTAGAGATAGAGGAAATCTGGTATGGATATTCTAGAGGATAAGGGATTGTCTAGAAATAAGGTTGCGTTCATTGAGTAAATTTCTGTCGGGCGTCATTTTCGAGCGACCTGGTCGTTTTGCCGCGGCGCTTCCAAGGTTGCATTGTGGGGCCCATGATCTGCGATCCGAAAGCATGATCTCCACCAGGCAACGATACTTCAACGGGCTGGCAAAATTTCGGCCGGAAAAACTTTCAGCGTGAATCTCAATGGTCATTGGCCATCTTTTGATACTACCGCTACCCTATCACGTGCTCCCCGACCATGTTGGAGGTCCTACACAAGCCCTACCCCACGTGACCCACACATACGTATGTTAGTTGCCGCTAGCTGCTAGATCATAATAACAACCAACCAAGGTTCAACCCTCTCACAGACCATACTGTGTTGCTCTCGCTTAGATAGTTAACAATGACAACAATGTTATCCTCCTACATTTGATCTCCATCTTTTGGGTGTATTAATAATGTTGGGACTGAGTGTACTTTAGATTGGATGGAATCACCTAATCTGAACCCCAGCATTTTGAATCCGAATCTATCTCAAAGGTCAATGCTAGAGATACTAGTATCATTGAGCAGATATGTATGTTAACCAAGCCATTTGTGTCATGTTATATAGTTACTGAACAGATCCCAAGTTTTGACCTCAGAGCGCAACAGCAAGACCCAAAACGCCAGTTGCGAGCAGTAGCCCGTCAACAACTCTGGGTGCTTCGCGGCGCAAGTGCTAGACGTTGACCTTTGCTGTTTACTGGCATGTCCGTTGCTACGACATGCAGCTTTTAACGGATGAGGGCAGGTTTTGATACCAGCCCGATGGTGTTACCGGACATGGGGTTCATTCACCTCTTCGGGCCTCGCATGCTAGTCCTCGCTCAAGGGAAATGGCAAAATATTGAAAAACCTGGGCTTGTCATCGGCCGGGGCATAGCCATATACAGTCATTCAATAACTTAGATAGACCTTTCTTGACAGGGTTCCAAATACTCTTAGGGCAGTTAATATCCTGAATGCAGTGTTTCATTGTTCTCGTTCTACGCAGGGGACCAGCAGTTGACTTGATCCCAACATGTATCGCACAGAGTAAGCTGCTACTTAGATTGAAAATCACCAAAACGAAACACCATAATATTTTACACTGAAATTCCACATTATTGCCATTAGCTATACAGAGTAGCTCTATATCAGCATTTTAATGTCAAATGCAGCTGAAGTTGAGTGCTGTTCCAAGTTTGGGTATTATATCATGATACTAGGGATCGCTAAAGGGTTGGAGTGTAAGAGGGTTGATATTTATTGATATCGGCTAAGGCTAAGGTCCTGGGAATGATAAAAAATAGAGAAGAAAAGGTTAAAGTAAAAAGGAAAAATATAACTTCCCAGAAAAGGAGTTAAGTATTGCATAGCTGTAATGAGGTTGATCCGTGAGTAGCATTCCAACCACGTTCAGGTTCTGTACGGCTTCTTTAAGTAAAACGAATTATCCCAACTCCATTATACAGAGTATGGTGAAACTATTTCCTTGATCTTATATTTCTCTCCTTAGCCTTTCATTTACCCATTTTATTGAATCCATGTTCGGACATACAGATTTTGCTCCCCTTCTTTTTTTTCCCTTTCATTTTCTCTGTTTGGGGGCTGGAGGAGGCTTTCGAGCAGAGCCTGATGGATCCCGCATAACTAACCACCTTCGGTCGCTATAGAGTATTTAGTTGACAGGTGCCGAAGTGAGTACAGCCAAGTGTCAATGCACATTACCACTTGGGCTGGATTCTCGCCACACCGATGGGCCTATTGCGGAGTTCATTAACGATTAGGGTTGCACGAACTATCGCCGAAGCAACTACTCCCTTTCTTCTCCTGAAAGGACGTGTCCACCTTATCCTTCTACACGATACTCAGACGCTGTCACTGCAGAAACGACATCAAGTGAATTGAATAACTCTACGCGCGGAAGATTATCACGTTTTAGACCGAGTCTAGCCGCAATTAACGATCACAATGCTGGTAACCAGTTAGCTTTGCAAGGCCAGGCTCGAGCGGACAAGGCTGACAGCGAATTCTATCCTTAACCCAGCTCTATCAAGCTGCGTATGCGTTGAAGATCAGTCTTCCGAAAGACTAATCGAGACTGTAATTTATTTTTAACCTGTGTAACTCTGGCAGAGAAGTGTTCCGGCCATACAGCTTCGGAACTTTTTGTAACGGCCTCGGGGAATGAAATGAGAGAAATGAGGCGTTCAACAAACTGCTTGTCCATGAATAGACACCTGACTCGATGAGACCGGGGCGTGCTCAACATTGACTCATGTGTCGAAAATACAGTGCACATATCACATTCAGGTGGTTATGCTCTTCGGCTGCGTGGCAGGCATGTCTACTGCTTTCGGCCACTTGGCCGGACATGTCACGGCAGGAAATTTTCTCAACCTCCGCGTCAGCTGTGGCATGAAAACAGAGGCCAAAACACTTATCTTGGTGGGTGCGAATTATTCCTTTTTCTTTTTCTTTTTTTCTTCATTGGCGTTCCACCTACTTAGAGCAGTGGATTCCGTCTGATCATGTCCTACTAATCGGGATATTGAACTAATCACGTTTGTGAGCCCAAGTCCGGTCCAAGATATGAATCCGCGGATTTCCTTATGCGCTGGGTTCGAAAGACACCGAGCGGTGCGCGAAATTGACCTGCGCTAGGGCTAATGAAACAAATTTTGCAAAGTCGTTGGAAACTCTTGAGAGGAAACACAGCCGTAAAGACTAGAAACTCTCTCGTGGGGTGTCTTTTCCAGCCGTTGCCCCACAGACGCCGCTATCGCCGGATTGACCGACGAGTAACATAGGATCCTTTTGTGGCTCATTTGGCGCTCGGACTTAGGATGCCCAAGTGTGAGGAGAACAGTCGCGAGGAAGATTAAAAAGAGCCTTCTCTTCCAGTATGGTGGTGTTGAGGGCGCCGATATTTGCCTGCTAAAATCTTGAGAAAATTTAACATGAAGTGCCCATATGGTCCGGGGAAATTAGCAAGTCAACTCTTTTTTCAATGAGGTCATACATTTCACCTGCAAGCTTGGAAGATACGGCCATACACTAACCGTGTTAGGCATCACGCCATTTTTGTCTGAGGATGTTCAAATATTTACCATTGATATAAGTCTTACAATAACCAATAAACCTGACGCTGTAAAATTCCTGGATGTTAATATGTCATTCGTTGGCTTCAGCCAAAATTCGGTGTTTGAATGAAGAGAAAGCAGTTTGCAGGGGAAGGTCCATCGTCCTATCACAGTCCGAGTTATGGTTAGGAATGCACCGGAATCACTTCAGCACATCTTGGGAACGTTCGCCGCTCTCACGAATCAAAATCTGATACTGACCTCCAGTCGGCTAATAACAAACACACAAAACCAACAGCCGAGTTTCTGTCACAGCCTAATATGTGGCAACGCTCAAAAGAGAAGAGTAAATGGACGCTTACGAAGGAAGTTCGTGATCAAAGAAGTGTCCATGTGAACTTGCATAGCCCGGTATTCAATAACGCGGGGCAACCAGAGCGTCAGCGCCTTGTGGAATTTGCAAAAGCTGCGCTTGGAGAGGAGTTTGGAAATTGGAGCACAAACAAAATTGGGCAAAAATGGGGTGTATGAACTTCGTACAGCTCGAACGCTCCTTCAATTGCGACAGGTCCCTCACGAAAAAAAGCAAAGAAATGGAGGCCGTTTCCATATTTTTTCTTTTCTTTCATTCTATCGTTCCTTGGTTCGAGATACGAAATTGTTCCGTCTCGAATTATCGTTGGGGCTTCGCAATGATGTAGGCTTAGCCAGATGTTAAAGCATCAAAGTATATTGCTTGTCTTCGATCCCCACAGTCCATGCCGGAAGATCTTCTCCAACTCCCTGACAACTCGAGCTGTATTAGCCTCTCAGTCAGTAATCGGCCACAAGCAAGAAACCCGATGCCCAGAGGAAAATAGGTTCCAGGAACAAGGATAATCCATGGGTTGCCTTCGTAGTAGGACTTAAGATTTGAATCAACTGGTTATATCATCAATTCGCCCGCTACCGCATTAGGCCACCATTGAATAATTCGCTAATTTCAAATATTGGTATTGGAAGGGTTTGCGTCGGCAAAGGAAAACTTACAAGGCGTCGCTGACCCAGCAAATGTGATTTGGTCTTCCCAGCCAAGTCAACGGAAAACGCCGTTGTCACGCGAACCAACCTTGTTTCTGTGTCTTAGATAGAAGGGCTGCTATGGAGTAGAACCTGTGAGTGGTAGCCGAACTTCTTCGTAGACATCAAAGTTATGAAATATGAAAATAAACCGCTAGATATAGAGGCCTAACCCAGCGTATAATTGTCTTTGCAGTGCTATGACAATAAACGAAGGGACAATTGATAAAAAGGTGGAAAAGGTTTATTTGTACTTGAAAACTGCGGGAAAGGGCGTGATAGTAAATATAAGGGGGAAGTAGACGTTGGGACAAGACACTAGGGTGCCGCACTGATAACTAGACATGGTCAGAGAGCAGGCCGAGAGCTGTCAGTGAATACGAAAAAGAAACTCCAGATTCCTGATTTGACCACACACAGTAATGCAGGCAATGCCATCACTTGCAAGCTATGCTTCTAGATGAGTGGCGCATTCTTAATGTGGGGTGCAACTGGGTGCGTTCATCACTGGTGGCTTAGGCTGCAAAGATATTGTGACATAATGTATTTGAGAAGTCTTGACCAGATAAGATGACCCTTCAAGAAACTCCAAAACACAAATGTTGTGGAAATTCGGTGACTGAAAACAAGATGCTATTTTGTTAATTTACGACCAGGCATCTATCAGGCCTCTCAACGTGATCGCTTTTTGCTGCTCCACAATCACTCCTTTCTGCAATTAATATGGAAGTCCTTAAAATGGTATTTGAGGAGCTGGGGATGTCCCAGTATTTACCAGGGTTCATTGGCAATGGATTCGAAACATGGGAGGACGTTTTGGAAATCACTGAAATTGATTTGTATGATTTCAACTTTCCTCCAGTAATGTTCCGAGTACTGATGTGAGAAGAGACGTGTTGGGGGTCAAATTGGGCCATCGAAGGGTATGTCTTTGTCGACCACAGCTGGCTCTTCTCATGCTCACCCATGCTTTAGAGATTGCAGCAACGAGTTGCAAAAGAAAGAAATGCCCTCTGCAATCAGCCGGCACAGTGTGGCGAATACGGCAATTATTCCAAAAAGAAGAGACAATATCAGTGGCATCCCAAGGTTCGGATCCTTGACTGACCTAAAGCGTGTTTGTTAGCAAGTTAATCAATAGCATCCTCGAAAGAATGTATGAGGTGTCTAATTAAAATATATCGAGCCTACAGCCTGACCCAAATGCCCCAAAAAAGCCGTTGACTGCTTATGCCATATTTGCCAATGGTAAGTTGACATAAAACAGCAGTATTTTCCGAATTACGCTCAAAGCGAAATTGCCATAGAAAAACGCGCAGACCTTCAGTACAAAGGTTTATCATTTCCACAGATGGCGATCGAAATCGGGAAACTGTGGAGAGAGTTGCCCGAAAACGAAAAGAAAATCGCCCAAGCACGCGCCATCCGCGCTCGGGAAGATTATAAAGTTGCTCTTGCTGAGTACGAAAAGTCGGAAAATTACAACAGACATGCTAGATATCTAGATGAATGGAAAGCGAAAACGTGTGCCAGGAAGAAAGGTAGCTAAGCTCCAGTTGAAGGTTGTTTTTATGGGATGGTATAATGACGTACAGTCCAATAGCCAGGAATTGCGAAACGAAGGTTTCTCAGAGCATTGTTAGCTCGCCTCAGGATACCGAAAGAAGTCCAGCATCGATCGAAATTGGCATAGAAAGCCAATTGAGCAACAGGTTAGGGGATGACAGGCTGAATAATGCGGTATCGAGCCAAGGGGTTCCCGCGGTCCCTTGCGAAATGGCAGAACATATCTCCGCCGTATGCGAATGGTCACTGTCTCAAAAGGATACACAGAATCAAATAGAGCGAACAGAACGCCTTTTTGATAACGCTACTACGACTTTAAGCAGCTTGGAAAGGAGCATCGCGGATTGGAGCGTCGAATATGGAGATACTGTGATTGGGTGCAGCGTCTGGCCGGGGGGAAATCATTACTGAAAAAAGCATGTATGAATCGGCCGGGGCCTTGTTGAGTATGAATCGCCTTCATGCGAGGTGATGCAGAGAGTGACCAGTCCGGGTGCGTAATGACCTCGCAACCAAATTCGAATCAGTATGAGTTTTCGCCGCTTTCGGGAGAGAGAGTCAATAGGAGGGTTAATTATCAGTTTCAATTTCCGTCCTACCACTTACCAACAATTAATTGAGTCTCTGGTTCTGGCACTGATGTATGAACATATCAAACTATTTATATATGACCCTCTCTTCGCATCCTCTTTTTGGGTTTGACAGGGATAGGATGGAACAGAAATCTAGGGTAGAAAGGATAAAACCCGGGGGAATGGACTTATTCGTGGCAAGTTTCATTATGGACAGAAAACAGAATTATTCAAATAACCCTTCATAGATCAAAGGATTCCTTTCTTGCTCTTGTTCACACCAAGCATAGTTGATATAACTTGGCGGCGATGTGGAAAAAAGTTTTCCCGGTAGGCCATATCAGCTTCACCTCTCCACGAATAAACAAGTAGATGTCTTTGTGCCCAGGTACTTGTGCTTTTCAAAGCTGTTAACCCACCCTGAATTCCCCAGTCAGTGGTTTCAGGATACCTGACCCTAACCCTAACTTTTCCCAACTGGGAGCTTGCATTTCCCAGCTCATTTTTGATGCTGGTCGATGATCTCACGATGTTGGTAGCTTTACCTCGGCGGGAGCTGAGTCCTCGATCACTCTCGGTACAAAGCAAACAACACTTTGCGGGGCTGTTGGGCCGGGCATATAATGGATGTCCATGCATACGTATGCACATTCTACAGTCTAGGGGATGAAGAACAATCAAATTTGATTCAGCGAGGATCAATATCAAAACTTGCGTCTCCCGGTCAGGTTCGTCGGTCTTCTCAATAATATACGCATTCAACCAGTGGAGTGATTATTGTTGACCAATATGACTACTCTGGTCATACATTTGCTTTTGACGATGCTGCGACGACTTCCCTAACAAAGCGGAGCTGGCATAGCTTTTAGGCATCATTACCACCGGACCAACATCGCTCTCGCATTCTTGTTGACACTGATTTAGCTTCGGCGTTTTGGTTTGTTTGATGACTTCAAGGGTCAATGCACAGTTCAATCCAATGATAAAATCAAATCTGTATTTGCCACAAATTCTTGGTCGAGGTCTTCCCGGGGCTGTTCCCATCCATCCAAAAACATCTGACATTCCACTACCCTCCTCGAAAATTTGACCAATGGTTAATTTTAAATGCAATTTATCGAAGGAATTGGCGAACAAAGCGTCACCATCACAGACAGAATACCTCCAGCTCTGGTAGGGCCTTCAGTTATCAAAAGAAGGTCAAATTTAAGCAAGAAAAATGTTATTTCCTGATGATGCTCTCCCCGGTTAAAACTAAAATTTGCTGCCACAACTTCCTTTGCCTATTTTCAATAACATATATAGTACTGGTGGTTATTTTTGCCGTTCCATAACGTTTGACAAAAAAGAACAAGAAAAAGAAAAAGAAAAGAAACAGGCAATTCTCATCACTCCCCAGTTCTCTGTGACCGGGATCTCCTCACTCAGCCGAGGAGGCGAGCTAAGGTTGAATGGGGGATATTTGACTAGCTTGGTGTTGATCATTTAGGGACAACCAAACTTGAACGACCTATACCTAATCATCATGTTTGGTAACCTTTAGTTGTCCAAATTGTGATCAGCCAATGTCGTTGCCCTTTTCGATGTAACTGGTTGAGTTATCATAATTTTTCAATGAACGTTTGAGTACTTGAATATGGCAAAATGAAATGTAAATTTCCGTTTTTCCAGTGTCCTGAGGAACTCGAAGTCATTGTCGCAGGATATTTGAAACTCCCGTTATCAAAAGGAATTTGTGAGTAGAACAGAGTTATCCCTACACTGAAACTGATAATGCTGACACCTATATATCTACTCGTATGTATATGGATTCAGTTTCCGATATTTAGGTTTTATTGTGTGGAGTCAAGCCCATGTTTCTTCTTGATGTTGGCTCTGATGCGTCGGGGCATCTTCTGGTCTTAGAATATCGGCTACGCCGGAGGGCTTGATGCTTTGGTTTTATTCATACAAGGTTTTTGCATAAATGTCAATTCGAATGATGCATAGTATGCCACATGGCGACCTTGGGTTTGTTCCGTTCGTATACCAGATGGGCCACACCGATCAGGAAAACTTGGCCTAAAAGTCTGATTTTGCGGGGAATCAAATGTGCGCGTCAAATATATCCTTTTTTGTACCTGTACATGGCTTATTAACCAGAATACTGGCCACAATCGAGCAGTGGGATGATTTATCATCATCTCCGGAGCCTTACAATCAGCTACCTGGTTAAAATTGGCGGGCGTTAACTCTTTCATGCATAGCTATATTGTTTTAACGGTACGTCATCATCTGCTAAGCCAAAGCCTTCTTAACACGATTTCATACTTTGTGGCAGTTGCATTGGGCAATCTAAGCTTAGGATAACCTATGTAGGCGGTTTTTTGGGTCAATATACTGCATAACGCTGAGATCGATACAAACGAAAGGGTCAGTGCCCTCGTAACAGATATTATATACCAGTTGTCTTTTGGATGGTGCCAAGGTTATACCTAGTCGTGATATTGGAACCTCTTCTAGCCCCTACCTTCTAGGCCAGCAGTTTGTCTGAGCTCCCAATCGTATGGGTTGGAAACGAAGCCTGGGTCTCTCGCCTTGCTAAATTGCTTCGATGGAAGACAGAATTGTTTTCCTATTGAATAAATAAAACGGAGACATGGCGGGTTTTCATCTAGGCATATTCTTTTCCCCAGGCCTTAGCTGAACGAACACCACACTCCCTTCTTAACAATAAGGCCTGACCCACTTGGCAATGAATGCGATGAATACTAGTGTGCCCTACCAGATCTTTTCTTGACCATCCATGGCTTTTCCGAACTCAACGCAAGGCGGCCTTACGAGCACTCGGAATCCTTGATCCGCAAGGGCCTATGCGATAGGTTGCCAAGTGGCCTGCAGCCTTCCGAGCGATTGCTGATGGACAAGGATGGATAAAGAACAGGATGTCAGCATGATTGACCTAGAACTATGGATTATTACGAGGCAATTCGCAGCAGTTCTGTCATGAGAATTTATTTCTTCATGGGGTTATTTATATCTCTCATCGTACGAGAACTACAATTAATTATGGTCCGAATTTACAAAACACGGAACTTTCAGGCCCGCTGGTTACTCTCCATCACTTCAGCTCCATAAAGGAAATGGATCAGTCAACAGATAAACGCCGCCGAGCGCAAGGGCAACCGCAGAATTTACCCCTAAACACCCTCAACGTATCTAATACTTCCCATTTTTCGACTGCTTTCGTTGAACCAACTGAAGCCTCGAATCGAGTGATGTCTTCTTCTCCTACCCGAGGGGATGCAAAGATTGCAATACCCAGGCTGCAGCGACCGGCTCAAAATCAACCATCTGCTGCTCTTGAAAGGCAAAGGGTGAGCCATGCTTGCGATCCCTGTCGCAAACGGAAATCAAAATGCGATGGTCTCAGGCCCGTCTGTTCACGTTGCAGAGATCAAGAGATAACCTGTGTTTATTTGGATGGCAAACGTGAGAAACTAAAAAGGTCAGTCCTGCCACTGGAAATTTCAAACAACTGACTCTGTGGTGCTTCATGAAAATATGTATAAATTTGGATAACTCTTTTTTCCTCCGTCGTCGCTTTCCATTCCCAAGCTAAATGAGGCCGTGATAGATATACAAAAAACAATGCTGCAAAGGTGGCTGCCTATGAGCAACTTCTTTGCGACATTTTGCCACATCAGACACCCGAAATGCAGCAAACAATTCGGAATACATTACTAGAGGTAAAGCAATAGGTTTTCTCTGAGACTGGCTAGATATTCTCCGGTTGATTCGCAGTTCCCAGTGGTTCTGCATATCAAGAACGGACGTGCTGACAAAACACAGTATCGAAATCTTGCTGAAGAGGATATTGCCACTTCAATTGAAGGTACAGGCTCCGGAGATGAAGACGAGTATGCAGCGTCCGCTAGTGCTGGTTCTCCGCGATTCCAAGATCGCGTCCAACCAAACTCGGCTGGTTTTGTTAGAAGTACAGGATTCCTTGGGAAAGCTTCTGTCGTCAGGTGGATTGAAGAATTGACAACAAAACTGGTGATATACTTTGGTCCAGCGAGTTAAGTTTCCCTTGTAGCTAGTTTCTGATCGTTCTTTCTAATTTTTTGGACTTGTAGCAAGAAATATTTTGAACACAAAACTCTCAGGAGCAAATTTCGATGAATTCCATTACGGTTTGCTTCAACAGTGCACATATTTTCTCGGAGACAACTACTTGTACCATTTTTCGGTGTTCAGGAACGCTGGAAGCTACCCAACAATGTTCGACAAAACCGGTGACCACTCTCAACCCCTCGAAAAAGAAATGGCTGACATATTTGTTAATTCATATTTCTTGACTGTCCACCCGATGTTTCCAATACTTTCGGAGCAAGAATTCAAAATGCATTATGAAATTTATTACCAAACAGCCCATTACCCCAGCGAGGTGTGGCGCAATATCCTCCATGTCATCTTTGCCATTGGTGCGATTCACACTCTTCGTACAAATGCTCAAGCTGGTGTCGTTGAAAGCGATCATGTTATGTTCGCATTCCGTTCAGGAGCGCTAGGTCGGACATCAACATTTCTTGTGGATATTCCATCTTTGGAACAACTTCAATGGGCTGCAATCAGCGGACTGTATTATCTTACGAGTTATCACATCAATAGGTGAGGTGATACGCATTAAATATCCCGTAACAGATAACTAACATCGCATAATTAGAGCGTGGAATTTAATCGGTCTAGCAGTACGTTTTGGGCATACTCGGGCTCTTCATCTAGTCAAATCAAATACAGACCTTTCAGAAAGCGAGCAAGAATTAGAATTGAGAGTCTGGCACGCTATCAGCTCAATGGAACGATTCATCTGCGTCTTCACGGGGCGCCCTTCCTCACTTCAGGATCGTTTTACAAGTATTCGTTTCCCCCGCACAGTTGAACTTACATTCGCAGGACCCCTTGCATATATGGCCTCGCTAGAGACTCAAGCAGCGATGGCAGCAATATGTCCGCCTTCTAATGTCACCCCGAGAACCACCTCTTCTATACCACCATGGACCATCTTCATACGGTGTCTCCACCTAGATTTAATTATCGCCGAGACTTTGGAGGAGCTATATAGTCCCTGCACAGTCAATAGAACTTGGGCTGTCGTGCAGAATTTAGTGTTTGATTTAGACAGGAAGCTCACCCAATGGAAGGACGACCTTCCCCCTGGAGTTCTGGACCTTTCGCCAGCTTCCGAGGGACTGTTACCCATGCATGAACGCATGTATCTTTACCTTCGCTTTTATGGAGCATGCATTCTCATCAACCGCCCATGTCTCTGTGAGGCTCAACAATTAAGCAACGCAATTCCATCCCAGTCCGCTTCTTCGAAGAGAATGGATCAAGACGCCGCAGTCCGCTGTTTATCTGCCGCTCGGAATTTAATTAAACTCCTCCCTCAAAACGTCCAGCCAGTTGAGCTCTACCTCACCACTCCTTGGTGGTGTATACTGCATTATATAGTACAGGCTGGTACTATTCTGATAATAGAATTATCAATGGATATCTTTCATCTGCCCAACGAAACCGAAAATTTGATTGAAGAGTCGTCTTTTGTTCTCAGGTGGTTACAAGCGTTGTCAGGAACTAGCACCCCCGCCCGTCGAGCCCATATTAGCCTAAGTCGTCTGTTGCGCCTTGCACTTTTCAAAATAGGTAGGGATAATCACCCGACTGCAATGCAATCCATGGACGAAGACACGTCAATGGGCCCGTTGTCTGGCCCCACAAGTACAATCACCTTCAGCCCTCAGTCCTTCATACCCAATACAGTATCTGCAGGGTGGCAAGAGTAAGGCCCTAGTCCTATGGAGGCTATATAAAAGCGAAGTGGCTTAGATTTGCTGGCAGATGAGATATTGGCTGCAGGGCCCCCGGTCTTAATGGACGACTCAGAGAGCCAAACTGGCTCTACGCTGGACGGCCCGAAACATGTGCATGTGCACTGCATTTGACTAAAAACGCTAGGCAGTCGGGAGGAATGAAGGAAGGACGTTCAGATATGGAATCGACTTGAAACTCTCGAATCACCGCTCCTCCCTTGAAGCTCTTCGTTATGGATACATGAGCACCTCAACCCTTAATACCCCTGTTTACTTTCCCCATTTTGTGCTCTCTTTCCTCGTTTTGATCATTTTTCATTGCTTTCTTATATTTCAATTAATAATATCAACTACACCCCTGAATTCTGTAATGTTTTATTTGGAACATGTGCGTACTTAAAGTACATCTATATATACACAGTACATTTTCATGATCGTGTGCCCATTAACTTGAGTGGCAAACTAGAATGCCCGCTCAAAACTCAAAATTGTCGAAATTAACATGGAAAATGCTTGAAACTGAAAAGAGAGCTGGAGAATTAGTTGATAAAAAAGAGGATACAGGTTTATAGCTAGTGTACGGAATCATTCATGGGAGTTGACCTTCTTTTCCCTACCCTTTTTATATAGCTAGTACATCTTTTCTCGAACAAGTTAGAGAGTCACATACATCACTGGCCCTAATCGAAATACATGGTTTCGCCTCCATGATTTCTTTTCTTTTTTTTTTTTTGGTCGTCATATCAATTTCCGTCTTCCAACATACATTGACAGAGAGAAGAAACCTAATGTCTTCCTGCGCCCACCCGCAGCGCGGTAGTGACGGTATTTCCTCAAACCTTTTCCAACATGCCTGGTCTTTTTATTTATTCAACTCTCTCCTTTCAGGGATGGAGGCCTCAATTCCCAACCCACACAATGAGAGAGTACCGACACTATGACCAGCAAACAGCAATTATGTAGACTCCGCTGCCCTGCGAATGGCAGCAAGAAAATCTTCGCCCCATTTAGCGCTTAGGCGACTCGTGCAGAGCTATCCTACGAACCCAAGGTACAGTACATATGAACATGTTTCCCCGCTGCAATGGGGTGTTCGCCACGCATAATCCATTTGTAAAGATTTAGCTGCATGTCAAACTGGTGGTCGATGCATGCATCTGTTCACTACAAATGCATGAAACTGTGGGTATGAACACTACTCGCATCTGGGGGACTCTCGGTGACAGTGGCGATCAGCAAGATAAGGTTCGTTTGGCCACGGACGGGCGATTGTTAGGACGAACGTATACATAACGATTTCAAGGTTTTGCAGCCTTATGTTTCATTTCTAACTAACAACAATATAACCTGGTGGAGTGGAAGGCCTCATTACTCCGCCTGGGCTTCACGATTCCCCATACTTTTAGAGATAAAATACGGCAAACTCATGTTGATACAATACATGACATAAAATGAGGGTATTGTTGATGCAACAAAGCTCATCCAGGCAGCGCTTTTGCTGCTTGGAGTATATACAGTGTAGTCATTATTGGCGGGTTATGTAGTTAAATTGACGCCAAGGTTTGGTCCGTCGCCTATATGTATCCACTTCGAAAGCAAAGCGATTCTATTGCTTGAGTCGATTTGCTGACATGGATGTCAAACAGGGTTTCTCTGGCGGGAATAAAGATCGGCCTGGGATTTCGCGCAAGCTACCAGAGTCGGACTAGTCGAGTAAAGAACTCTCGCGTTTGAAACTCGTCTGGTGAGAACGAAATCCGCGGATAATTTGAGAGACTGAGAGATACCATGCATCGTGTTTATTATGGCGTAAAACCAAACCGTTCAAATGGTCATGGTAGGGGAGCAGAGATAAGAATATATGAAACCACAGTTGGCATAAGCAAAGCTAAAGATAAAAAATGAAAATGAAAAACGGGAAGAAGCAGATAGAAAAAAAGTGCAAAATTATCTCACGCCTCTAACAGGGTAGGTATTTGAACTTTGATTTTGACAACAACAAGAATGGTGGATAAATAATAAAAGCAGCACAGAAATATAAAATCGATATTATTTGATATTAAAATCCTTTTATTCCTCGTCCGTATCTGTTTCCGTATCTGTCTCACTCATTTCCGCATTATCACCGTCGGTATCGCTCTCATCATCCTCACTCGACTCATCCGCTTGCTTCTTGGGTACCCGCTTCTTGCGAGGGGCCGTGCCAGTCTTCAGAGCTTGCATTTGGCCGGCAATAGAGTCTAGGTGGGGAGATGAAAAGTTAGCCCAATAATCACACATATGTGTTGTATTGAGAGGCGGGGAACGTGAACATGCATACCTTCGTCGGGCTCGGAAATATCGTCTTCTTCCTCCAGGGCAGCAGCCTTGGCAAAATCCTCAACGTCAAGCGTGGTCTCACTAACAGTATCGAATCCGATGTAACTGTCGCAGACAATGTGAAGAGAGAAGTGGAATTTGCCGACTTGGGGAGGGGCTTGGAATTGCATTTTCAATGTTTGCATGTTGAAGGTGGGCTTTCCATCTTTGTCGAAAATAGGTTTGTCAAATGTGGTGAAGGTGAAGGGAGGGACGGCCATTCTGCCTTGCCTGGAATCAGCGAGGAAAATGTGCCATCTTGGAGAGTGATCGCGAGCATAGTAAGGAGCATGGGCAAGTGGCGGCTGGATTTTGTATTCCAGGTCTTCTTTCCCACCCTTTCCTCTTGCTAAGGATTTGTTGGCTGCTACGTCATCTTCATCTGGGTCAACATATTCAAGGTCACGCTCGTCGACCTCCGGAATATTCTTTGAGCCTGGTGGAATAAACCGCGCCTTGACGATGAGCTGAACTAAGCTACTTGGGGTCACCACTTTTTCACCTACAACTTTGAAAAATGATTTCGAGACGTGGAGGACAGGTATTTGCTGGACGACAGACAGGGCACTTGCGTATTGTTGTTCGGTTAGCAGGTTTTTACCCACGGACAGCTTTCGTCGCTGGTGCTCAGGAAGTGCCATATATTGTGAAATTGACATGTGGCTCCTCGAATCCTCGCCTTCGATCGACCGAACGATTTGCGGCGTAAAATGAGGTAATTGAAGAAGAGGTGAACCACCAGGGCGAATGGCCTGGATGAGGTATTGTGACATGTGGAATGACCCAAGGATTGGCTGTAGGCTGCCGAAAGCAAGCGCAATAGACGAAAAAGAATCGTTGAGGGTAAACGCTGTGGGGGCGACTCCAAATTTCTCTACATAAAAAATGGTTGGAATCGTTCAGCATCAAGAAAAGTTGTGGGAAGATGGAAAATTTACCTTCATTCAGATTGGGATCATCAAGCTCAACTCTACCCAGGTACGCCCACAGTAATGCGAGAGCTTTCCTTCTACTTGCATTTTCCAGATCAGCTAACAACTTCCGATCCTTGGGTGTTAGAGATGTCCCAGGGGCTGTTGAATCATCATCAGAAAGAATTTTCTTTTCAACTTTAGCAAGCCCAGATTCGGCGTTTTCGTCCTTTAGCATCTGCTTATACTCTTCGCCGGAACTAAGAGCGCTGATTATACCTCCGCCAACCAGGTCATCCTTATACTCTCGGAAAATATTGCCAGCACTTGCAACAAGGACTTTCTCTTTCGTATATCGCTGTGTTCCATACCACCATTTACCAACAACATACGGCAAGAGCACGCCGAGTAAGAGACCATATACCAAAAGGACGTATTTACCATTTCCTTCTGTGACGATGAATTTTGGCAGCGCGATACCGATGCTAAAGCTTTGCTTGCCATCTGGGTGTCCGTATTGGATATAGTTGTTGCGGATTTCCTCGTCAGTCAGGGCCTTGTACGCCTTGGTCAATTCGACAAAATGGTCGTTCAAGCTTTCGATGGTTTCATTTTTGTTTGGATCCGGTCTGATTTTGTCTGGGTGAAACCGGAGGGAAAGCCTTTTAAAGTGTCTGGAAATAGCTTTCTCGTTGGCGCTCTACAAAACCAGTAAGAGTTAGCACAGTTAAAATTAGAAAATTTGCCAAAACGCAGTAGAGAAATCCTCAAGATAGTCTGTCTGTTCGCTCGTCAGACTCACTCTTGAAATTCCCAAAATTTCATAAGGGTCCCATATTTTGGGGGAAGTCCGAGCGGTGACGATAATCAAATAGACCATCCATGCCATTACTGCATATCCACCTAGGACAGTGAATATGCGCTTCAACCGGCGTTCCTTCCGCAGGAGTTTCTGCTTTTGTTTCTGGATAATGTCTCCATTCTGAGGACGAAAGTCAGACTTTATCCGCGGCGCAGTATTTTCCAGATCTAGATAGCCATCAGCTTCAATCCCGCGCGGAAACATGTTTTTCGAAAATCACCTTTGTTGGGTTTAAGGAGAGTATATGTAAGTGGAAGAGTTACGAGCGCAGACAGAGTGAGGATGAAGAACGGGAAGAATTGGCCCTGGGCGTATATCAGTTAGCATGCATGTTGCTGCGAAGCGGAGGCATATGTGGCATGGCCGGGCAAGGTCAGGGAAAAGGTTATCCTACCTGTTCATCGTAGTTATAATCCGTCGAAGACATTTTCACGCTTCAGCAGAGAAAAACTAAGATGAGTAGCTCCCGCAGTTCTTCAACCGGGAGGGGGGGAGAGGCCAGCTATGTGCTGCCGGGGAAAAAAAAAAAAATTGAAAAGCTTATATCGGGCTCCGGCAACCAGGAATTTAGAGAGCAAGGGAGCCGAGGACTAAGCACATGGTGGATTATAAAGGAGAGGAAGGAGAATCGATCTAGGACTGAAAATACCAGGAGAGGGAGACGCAGCCCGTCACAGTTTGTGGTTGTGGTGCTCACGATGTTTTTGTGCCAGCGATGGTCAATGCGAAAACCAGGAAAGGACAACATTCGCGGGAGATATGGGACGAACTGGGTTTAGCTCCATCGCAGCTGATCTTGGGCCGAACTAGTGTCATTTGGGACTAGTAGCACCCGCATGAGCTTATTTTTGGCCAGATACCAACTTAAAAATGATGCTTATTTCGATTTGAGGAACCGTAGTAGATACATATATGAGACACTTAAAACAGGAGCAGAGATATGAAGCCCAAAATTGCTGAAACTTGAATTGACACCAAAACTTGAATCGACAAAACATAAAATAGTCTTGTTGCTGCACGCCATCACCTGCCAATGGTCAAGCTGCCATCACTAATCAAAACATTTCAAAGCAGAAAGCAGAAGCAATATCCATCAGAAGCTACCACACAGAACATCAGCCATTTCATTTCCAACCCCCCGTGAATTTTTCGCATCTCTTCCACAGACAGCCCGACTGCACACATCCGCTGCCCTTCTCTTCGTTTCCGCGTCGGCTTTTGATGGAACAACCAACTTGCAGAGAGCTCAAGCATGCCGCAAATCCATTCCTTACGGACTAGAGATGTTTGAATGCGAGCACCGTCTGCTTTCACGGTCAGGCAGTGGGGAAGGCTATCGAGAAACGTCGGAACAAACCGTCGAGGTTTTTTTTTTGTTGGTTTCGGAGGCTTTGTATTGGCAAATCCCACCAAGAGATCAATGGTCGAGCAGTTATTGACCAATCAAGTATCACCTAGCAGGGTGAATCCACAGGCCCCCCCGAAGTTATTGCCAAAATTAAGGGGCAAGGGACCGTTACTGCGTGAGGTTGATACCGTCATTGCTACGAGTCGGGGCGTCGCATAGTCCACGCTCTGGTGTTGGTTGGTATGGACGTGAGATGTTTGATGTTGTGGGGGCATGTTTCAATTTTGTGTACCAAACGCTCTCCAAGTTGGAGTTTCTCAACTAGCATATCCAGGCGCTGGTAGCTGGTGAGATGCCTGTTTCAACGGTTCCCTGTTCTTGAAGGGGGGAAGGGTAGGAATGTTGCAACCACCATCGTCGGGGGCTATATGAGAAATTCCTCCATGAAGAACGGATAAATTCATTTTCTGTCGTCATGACAGGAGGGAACGGGGAGGAACGGACGAGGTGGGGAGGGTCAGCGTGAAACGCTCACCAATCAATATAATCGAGTCCCCCGAAATATTCCAGCATGCGATAGCACAATGTTATATCATCCCCCGGTTCGCCTCCAAACAGGCGGAAATATTCAGCTTCCAACTTCGTAGCCTCCTGAATTTGTCGGCCTTTGCCGTTCTGACACACAATTTGCTGATTTTGCCATTTTTGCGCAGTTGCTGGCGGCTCAGGGTCAGGCATCAGGTACGGGAAGGGACTAAATAGAGGAGGCCTTAAACGACAGGAGTCACAAGGTAGCTGGCAGCCAGGGGCCGCCGCAGGCAAGACATCTGGCTTCGGAAGAGCATTTGAACGATACCGGGAGCGCGGTCTTGTCCGTCGTCTGTTATGTTTTTGGCCCATGATATAGTAGGAGTGAAGCAAAGTGAAGAACAAATGGAGAAGATATATCACATCCGTGAAGTCATGGAGAGTAGCGGGGCAGAGAGCACAAATTCAAACGCCAAAGACGTTTGAAATGCTAGTACTGATCAAAAGAACATTTCTCTTGCTTTTAAATGGAACAGGGGAGCGAGGGTTTATATCGACTCATCCACCTATCAGGTGAGTCATTTAGCCCAAGCACTGCAGCCTTAAGAGTCGACAGCCTCGGGATGGAAGAAGGCTGCTTGCAAAGGGAAAGTTGGGCACCCGAGCACCACACCCCCATCCACCAGAATGAGTCACGACAGGGCTTAGAGTAGCGTCCGCTGATGAGCTGCCAACAAAGCCAAAACAAACACGATTCGCTTGATTGGTTTCCGAATGTTGAGATCACAAGATGATGTCATTGGCCAGCCTAGCGCGTGTTCATGTGACCTGCGGCTTGGAAATTGTAGCTGTGTTAGTGGCAGCTGAATGTACGGTACACTAGTCCGCAATAGGTAGCCGAGGCCTCCAGAAATTTGAGTGGCTTTTTTACCAAGCTCCCTCGTGAGTCAGCAAAACGGCTTTGGTACCTTGAAGGGTCTCTGTGTCAATTCTCGTGTTCTTTCATCCCCAACCGCGCGATTAAAATCTAGCCAGCAGATATTTAATGACTTCAATCGCGTCATATCAATTATTTGTGAAATTAAAATCTAAATCATATTAATTGTCTTCTAAATGATCAGAGTTGATGGCTTGTGAAACTTCCGAAGTTATCTAACATCTCATCCAAAGCTATCTGCTTGCCATCTGGCGGGAGCGGAGGCGATGATAGAGGATATTGAATTGACAAGCAAGAGCAGTGGGTGGGCCTGCGAGTAGTACTCGTACTCGTAACTACGAAATTAAAATAAAGGAACAAAATAAAATAGCCATAAAATAAATATAAGTGTAAATTGATGGAGTTGGAAGGCTGGTTCATTGCAACTATCTAGCAGACGCAGTACTCCCGTGAAATAGATCTGGTCATGTGGCCTTCTAGCGAGCGATCGGGATGCCAGCATAAAATAATGTAAATGCGAAATATAAATAAATCGATGGAAAATAAAGATGAAAAAAAAAAAAAAAAATCCATAGCGAAAGCTTCTAGCCAGTTCTCCAAAATTCTCGGATCTAAGGTACGAGTCATAGTAGGTCGCCAGAGATTTGCAAGCATGGCGTAAGATGATGATATTATAATCTAGGGTTATTGATTAGCAATTGGCTCTCCAAGTGAGCGCAAGGCATCCTTGAATTCAACAATCACCAGGTCGGTCGGTCTACACATGGTGTGAGTCATTTCCCTTCTTCCCCTGTCGAATAATCTCTAACATGTCATCTCCTTTCGGGACCTTGGTCAAATTCTCGTGACCTGTCTTCGTAACCAAAATGTCGTCCTCGATCCGCACGCCTCCGACTGCCATGTAATTTTTGACTCGTGCCATATCGATATACTTGAGTTGTTCCGGCTTTGCATTGTCCAGCGCGAGCTGCGAAAAATAGATCCCCGGCTCGATTGTAATCACCATCCCGGATGTTAAAGCAGGCGATGATGTAGTACATGGCGATACGCACGTTGGCAAAATCAACTTATTGTTGGAATCATCATTGATGCCCTGTGCCATTATGGATTGTGGAGAAACATCGTGTACTTCCAGACCAATATGATGTCCAAGGCCATGGGGGAAAAAGAGGAGGGATGCACCGGACTTCTTGACCTCATCTAGCGTGCCGCCCTTAAATATGCCGAGGGTAAGGAATCCCTTAATGAGGATGTTGTGCGCTAAGAAGTGAAGGTCTAGATATCTGACCCCTTCTTTGACAAGTGCAATACAGCTTTCCTGCATTTCCTGCACCAATTGGTATATTTGTTTGGCTTCTATACTCGGCCATTGGTGAGTGATCGGGAAGGTACGTGTCACGTCACTTGCGTAGCAGTTCCACTCGGCGCCAGCGTCGAGGCAGACAAACTGGCGGCCTTTGAGAGGTTCATTATTCTTCGAGTAATGAAGCGTAGCTGCATTCGAGCCAGAGGCGGCGATTATCTGGTACGCCTGATTGTGCGCCCCTAGCGAGACGCACGTATTCAAAAAGCTGCCCTCTATATGAGACTCGTTGCTCATTGATGTTATTCCGCGGAGAATTTCTAGATGTGCAGCAGCTGATATGTCGTTGGCGCGTCGGATGAGCTGAATCTCATGTTCATCTTTTATAACTCGACAGGCATCCATCGCCAGCTTGAGCGCTTTGCTATCGATAATGACGTTGGGTGGGTTCTCTGCGGGACCTTGTGATCCGTGAAGAAGGTATATTGTTGAGCCAGGGTCTTGATTCTTAGCCCATTTCTTGACATCTTCATCCAGGGAGGAGTGGTAGTTAACCTCGTCGACGTCAAACCTATGTTACATAAAATCAGCCCACGTCTGGGTCCCTAGGCACGATTATATTGTTCCAAGCTCGAAAATGAGAATATCTTTCTGCTCACTTCTGTAATGCGGCTTTTCGTTCCAAGGTGGGCCCCATCCAGATTGCCCGTCTCAAATCAAAATCGGGGACATATAAAGTCAATTTATCAGTCTTGATATCGTAGGTAAGGTCGCAATCGGCTTCATCAACGCCTGACAGATAGAAAAAGTAGCGTCGTTGGCGTAACGACCTCTCCTGGTCGGAGTCTTCGTGTAGTGTAGATTTCTGACCCATCAGAAAAATAAGCCCCTTACCCTGGCGGATCTGAGCGGCAACCCTTCGCGCATGTTGTTTTGCTATTGATCATCCAGTCTATGGATTAGCAAATCAGTACGCATCGGTGCAGAATGGGTTTCGGTGCCCAGGACGCCATTACTTACCAGGATATTTGTCGACTGTATTTTCAGCCCTGAGTTCGATCTTGTATCCATCATCAGGCTGCAGGTTGCTGGTAGCAGCAAGTGGCTGGTTGCAGGCTTGAGTAAGCTCTTGAGCTAAAGGAGGACCCATTCTCTAGGTACAAAGGTAATGTTGAAGGGTTGTAGTGCACTGGGGATGGGGTGGATAAGCTTGCAAGAGCGTTATGAGTCTCCACAGTAACTAAATATCCGAGCGCTAAGTAGGTGGCTAAAAATCCATAAAAAGAACATGAAATGCCTCGAAAAAGGAAACCAGGTATTGCTCTGTCACTACTCTCTCTGAATACATTTGCCTGCCGGTCATCAACTAAGTATATGTATTTTTGTGTCCGCAAGTCAATATATTGATAGGGAGGAGGTTTTTCACCGTCCTGGGGGGTGTGCGCCAGTGTACGTACATGTACCTTCACTTCGAATTTGTATCGCGGGAGTTAAATATCTATTGTTGAAGGCTTTGCCCCCAGCTATATCTTGCCCTTGGCTGTTTACTCTAATTCTTATTAGTGAAACCGTCAAGAAGACTCTTCCATCCGGGATTTCACCAATATCATGCTCTCCGTGGAAACTCTCAAGCTACTGCACATACAATCTTTCCTCGTGCTGTTTTTAGATTAATTCAAATACCCTAAAGAATTACAAGAAATACTCCTAACATATTCTGTTGAATGTACACTTCCCGTTCATCCTATTGGCAACATGCTGAAAGTCGGGTATTAGGTAGTTTCCAACACTGGAATATAGAATGACATGAACCATGCCCTTTTCTTCAGCACGCTTAGGTCCCAGTCAGGCTTGTGAGTTCTGCATTGCTAATGTCTCTTACTGTCCAGGGGACTTGTGAATATATCGCCATATTTCTTCATCATCAAGAACTTGACTACCTCGCAAATAGCCGGCGAAAAAACTCAAGAATGGTTGCTAAATTTCCTGCAGGTGGGGTCCTGAAGTACTACCTCATTTACTGGCTTGCTCATGAAACGCGGAGAGGCCAGGAAACGTACTGGATGCAGCATCAATGGATTCAATGAACACGGTCTCCGTCGAATGGTTTACATTGATTTGTCTTGTCGTATATTGCGAATGTAAGAGATCCTTTTCTCAAACGATGAGTATTATATGACAAGCAGAGGTGCATTGAGAATTCCTAAACCACGCCATATTTCGCTTATTTCGGAGCCAGCGGTAATTGAACTATGGAGAGACATCCCACACGGAAAAACATATGACTGCAGTGGTCGGTTGCAGATGTTCCCTCGATCTTTAAGTAGGGGAAGATGGGAAACGGGACAAGCAGCGAAGTTAAGTTGATGAATTGCCTGAAACACCGCCAGGGGAAAGGGTTAGTTAGAAACAGAGGCCTCAAACACCTTGATGGAACCAGGGCAATCAGGGTACTGCGATGGAGTGAAGCCAAACACTGGCTCCACGGTGGTAGGGCACTTCTCCACAAACAGCAGTGAACCTCAGTTGCTTCAGCGTAATCGTCAATCAAAGAAACGGTCAGCGGCCATAGTTTCATGTCGACATGCCTCCTGTTTTCTGATTGATTCCAAGCCAACCTGGGAAGCTGGGGCTTGTTCCCAGCCAAGCCGCCGGCGAATGATGTCAACCACCGCCACTTAGTCAGCCGCCGCCCCGCCGACCCGAACAATCGCCGCCCAGCCAGGCGCTGATACACTTGATGCACCGCTTGCTGTCTCAAAAGGCATCCAAACCATCCAAAGAACCTTCGCCTCCAAACCTGGAACTCCCACACCCCTTCCTCCATCCGTCTATCAGCCATCATCGTGGTTTTGCTGTCGAGACAGTTGATTTGTGGCCTCAACCATAGACCTCGACCTTCTTTTGCGTGTTTCTCCTCTCTTTCTTCCTCCATCGGGTGTCCAGCCACCTATTGCAAAAGCCTCTTTCAGTCCTCCTCAAATGAATGATGCCAAGTCGTGAGGGCGTTACCTCGCAGTCAACGCTCACCGCCGTCATTCGTCCTCCTTCACCTACGGACAAGCCATCTGCTCAGCTCTCTCTAGGTCCACAGCGGCCTATTATCACGCCGGCTCAGCCGTTCTCAAACGGCCGCACCGCTCCCTTCGCGCCGCACAACGGAGATGTCATGGCTGGGCTTGGAGGGAATGTCGGTTCCACCGGCAAGGGTATCTTGATCGGGATTCTCTCTGCCTTTGGTTCCGCGGGCGTTGCAATCGTTGTGCTTGCTGTTTTCTTCTTTTTCAGATATACTCAACGGGGCCGCATTATACTTGACCGAATCGGAAGGCCCGGTGAATATGATGACGAACAGGCATTCGCAAGAGAGGAAGCGGAGGCGTTGGAAACGATGGATGAATTGCAACAGACGGAATATCTGAGGGCTAAGGGTATGTGTTTACTTTCTGTTGAGGATATGGGAATCCCGCGCATCCGTCACATTAGGTATATTTTTTTCTTTCGCTGACATGGGCTTGAATGCAATAAATAGCCTTCATCCAAGCAAACCCCCCCGAGACGATGCAAACAGATATTTCGCTATCACAGTTCCTGGCTATCCAAGAAAAGGGCGTTTCTGCGTGGGAATTTGAACCAGAGCTTGAGATTGCTAATTGCTTTGTGGAAGCTCGAACCGAAATCGAATTCTTCGATTCAGAATGCAGCGTCCAGAGCAACCTGCCGGTTCCTAAACAAAACGAAGTTTATTACTGGGAAGCTAAAATATACGATAAACCAGAAACCAGCCTTATAAGCATTGGCATGACAACGAAACCATACCCATTATTTCGACTACCAGGTATGAATTTGTTTTGACCTGCCCCTCTCTTGATATCAGCTTTCAGCCTAACATATATGTCTTCTGTGCTAGGCTTCCATAAAACTTCTGTAGCCTATTTGTCTACAGGACATCGCCGCTATAACCAGCCCTTCACTCCTACTGCTTACGGCCCTGAATATGTCCAAGGAGACGTGATTGGTGTGGGCTATCGGCCGCGCACGGGAACGATATTCTTCACCCGCAACGGGAAGAAACTTGATGATGCTGCGCAGGGACTGAAGTCTCAAAACTTCTTCCCTACTGTTGGAGCAAATGGACCCTGCACGGTCCATGTGAACTTCGGGCAGATGGGATTTGTTTTCATTGAGGCCAATGTCAAAAAATGGGGCCTCGCACCAATGACAGGTAGTCTGGCACCTCCACCTCCCTATGGAAGTGAGCAGGGCAGCATTCTGCTGGAGACGGGCCGCGAGGGCCATCACTCCTCTACGCAATGGGGCCAGCACGAGTCGGGCCATTCACGAACGCGCAGCGGCACGATCCGAATGCCGTACCCCGTGAGCCCCGGCCCCGTTCGATCTCCCACAGATATTTCTCTCGCCCAACTCCCCCATATATCGAACCAAATAGATGTTGGTGAAGGGTCAAGTGGAACGCCAAACGTGACATATGAGCGAGACGATCGAACAACGCTACGACCCACTGATGGGGTAATATCAGCTGTTCCACCTCCAGAATACTCCAGCCCGCAACAGAGTCCGACCCACAGTGAGTACGGCGAGCGGCATCCACCTGGGCGCGATTCAAGAAGCCCCCCGATCCCAAGCTACGATGCAGCAGTAAGAAATGACAGAGGCTCACGCGCACGGCAAGATCTATAATTATATACGACCTTTCTCCTTGCTTCCCAGCTTTCTCCCCTTCGATATTATTTTCCCTCATGACAAAACGCTCCTTACTTTTGTCGGAAAGATCCCTACTTTTCCTCTGCCTTGTCCCCTTTTCTATCTATGATTGCTCCCCATTTGTCGATTTAGCGAACACGGTTTGGGAAGGCGTTCTTCGGGTTTTGTGCGTAATTTTTCCTTATGTTTTCTGTTTGGATTCGAACTGGGTGATTACCTTGATCAACAGCGACGGGAACAAACTCCTCGTATATGTTCTATTATATCTTCCACGTCTCCCATAAACCACCTCCATGCACCTGTTATTTCCTATTTCTATGCTTCGAGTTTCAACAGCCGGAAGGAGACGTTCAGAAATATCACAAGAGGAGAAAATGTCATGTTGGGAATGCGCATCGCCTTCTCACTTACTTTACTCTACGTTCCTCCCCCCATTTTTGCGTTGATATAACCACTCCTTTAGGATTGGAGTGGGTGGATGGAGTTGAAAGTTAAGCGACGGGTGGAACTTTTTGCCGGGCGCAAATCAGTCATTTCTGTACAAAGACATGTGTGCGATTGTTTCTCTTTTTATAAATATATAGGCTTTTGCGCATATACCACACTATTATTTTAACCTATGATTCCTCACCGTTTCCCTTACCTATACCAGAGTTTCCTCGAGTGAGTCGGTGTGAGGAAGCTGGTGGCGGTGAGGAGGATGAGAAGGAGGACAGTAACCTCAATATCCCATAACAAAGGCTATTTGATCCAAGCATCGTATAATTAGCAGTTAGCTCAGGAACAATACCATATGCAAGATGAACAAGCCGATGTTCTGTCCATATCCAAGTCCATGATCCAGCCTCCATCGAACCATGAACAGATACCGCACAAAATAAACATAATTATTACTCCACGGTAAACAAGGGCGCAGAACAAACTCAAACCCTTCCAGAACCCTGAGAAATAGGGAAAAAAAACCCGCAGTCGGATTTTGGATCACCAATGATCGGCCCCATCGGCGCAAAGCTTCAAACCGGCCGCATACGCTATTCACTTCATGATCTGTGGGACCATTTGCATGGCATGGCATGGCATCGCGATGAGATGCGATGTGCCGCTTTGTTACCGGCCTCGGCCTCTCGCTACTTCTCTTCCCTTGGCTAGAATATCTCAGGTAATGAATGATAACTGACGGAGTGGTGCTCCATCATTCATGTCCGCATTGTAAAATCTCGTACGTTGCTGCAGCTTTTGCAGCTAGCGAGGAGCAACTTGCGCATGACAAAAGCTAGGCGTCATTGGACATGGATCTCGGCCTTATCGCCCGAAACGATGACTTTCCTTTCGCCTTTTTTTTTAAAATATTACTTTCTTTTCCTTTGGTTCTCCCGGGGCAAAAAGACCCGACGAGGAGGGCTGGGCTGGTGATTGGATGCGACTTCCGCCCAGTCGCATATTCTTGCTTAGCTTTTTGGTTGTCGAAAGCGTTGTCTGTTTCTGTTGGCGGTCGATCAACGGGCTGGTGAGCACGCAAATATGCCTATTTAAGTATGTGTGTATCACCGCTTCGATTCCTCTTCTTTCATTGATAATACCATCACCACAATACTTATACCACACACTCTCGACTCGAGCAGAATTGAAACAGGGGGAAAAGCCAAACACACTTCGCCTCCCAACTTTCTTCAAACTTTACGTCACACCCGGCTAACCTTAACCTCGTGGCAGCCTGCCAAACTTCAACTTCAACCCTGGTGGTCTTCTGAATTCCTGTTGCGTTGAACGAGAAGAAAAACCAATTCCCATTGATACCTATACCTTTGCCTATACCTATACCTATACCCATACCTCCGCAGTACACGGCATATGCGTCCTCTGCTCAGTCCGTCGAACAAGAACAACCTCTGCTGAGGCGACACCGGGGCAACAAAAGGAAAAATCCCGCATGTGGAGAATCGCAACGCGAGCACACGACAAAGACGAGACGAGACGAGCCACCCAGAGCCAGGAGCCGTCCAGTCTTCGAGTTAGTTATCGTTTTCCAGAGTCACAAATATCGACAAGCCAATAATTTCTCGGGCACGGAGGGGAATAAACGGTGTAGGAAGAAACCCGCCGAGCGCGCAACAGTTGTAAAATATATAGTTACTTCAGGCCGGAGGATCAGGAGACCGTGCGACAAACAACGAGTCCCAGAGAGGAGATTGGAAATCGAGGGAGGGGGGGGGAAATAAGAGTGGTGTGGGGTTTATTGCTTTCACCCAGAGAATTGCTGGTTGATACAGGCTAGGAATACATAGAAGCCAGGACGTCCGCCCTCTCCCCCATTCACGTTACGTTCGGAAGAAGAGCCGAGCCGGATTCCATTCGATTTCCCCTCCACTATGCACAGTGGGAGGTGACGGGGCTTTCGCAGAAGAAAGACGCTTGGACATCTTGGCCAGAAGAAGGCTCGGAATTTTGGATGCTTATATGCGTCGTCCGTGTTAGTCCAGCTCGTGGCATACCCCCTTCCCCCTTCCCCTGCGCGCAATGCATCGTGATGGCGGCCAGGGGCGGAGAGCGAGACGGTGTCTCAGTTCGGAGACACAGCGGAAAGGCTTTTTCCATGTTATTGTGCTGGTGAGTGAGTTCGTTGCTTCCTGTTTTGGGAGGCAAATATGGAGCAGCATTTTTTTTTATTTTTTTTATTTTATTTTATTTTATTTTTTTTAGTATCAACTGGTTTTGAGAGTGATATTCTATTTTTTAAATTGACATTATTGTTATTATTTCTTCATATTTGTCTGTGGTGAGAAAATTACCCTCCAATCAATCCCTCTTTCTTTATTTGTTTACCCTTTCTACACGGCCTAGTCATTTCTCTTATCGGGATTACAACGAGTTTTTCCACTATACTTTGATCCGCTTTTCTTCGTTGATTTATACAATATCGAACGATATTAATGCTTCTAGGTATATAGGGCTCCTCAGGCGGACCGCGAGAGGACATAGTTTCAGCGCTGTTAGTTCGTTCGACGGCTACAAACTGGTCGGCAGGCTCTGTCATAGCTATAGACGCGGGCACGCTATTAGCAGGGATTATGCGAACACTCGATTCTTCCAAATTCATCAAAGATGAGGAATCAACGGACGTTAAAGTCCGGATGGTTGACGGACCTTTTGCTGGACTTGGTCTCCCAAATTCTACCTCCGGTGCCAATGCAGCCTATATTTTCCGCGAGGTTATTTCGACTGTATTCATCACGCATCCTCATTTGGACCATCTCGCTGGCTTGGCCATGAATACCCCACTGGTGGAGACCCAATCGAATCCTAAAATTGTCGCTGCTCTGCCACCAACCATTGCTGCGATAAAAAATCACATTTTTAACGATATTACGTGGCCTAACCTGTCTGATGAGGATGGTGGCGCAGGCTTGATTTCTTATCATCGGCTAGTTGACGGAGGAAATCCCAGGCTGGGTCGTGGGGACTGCCGTGGCTATACTAGAGCATGTGATGGGATACTTGCCAAATGCCTAAGTGTTAGCCACGGCCGTTGTGCACAGCGTTTTCACCCGGAAACGGGCCAATACCATCGAGCTGAAAGCACTGTGTTCACTACGGATTCTGGATTCCTTCCGTCGAGGAGAGTATCAATAGACACTCAGGATCTGGCGTAAGTTTTCCAGTCTGATACGGGCCAGAGCCAAGAGGAATTGCGAAATGCTAAAATACAATATCTTTCTAGTCGAGCATGCACCCCAAATCATCAGGTACAGTGTGGGGTTAACCTCAACAGTAAAGACAGGGCCGTGGCAACTCTTGAGAGCTCTGCCTTCTTTCTCCGTGATGATCATTCTGGAAAGGAAATCATCGTTTTCGGCGATATTGAACCCGATAGCGTAGCCCTTGAACCCCGTAATGAGAAGGTATGGGAAATCGCCGCCCCCAAAGTCGTCAACGGATCCCTCCGGGCCATCTTCATCGAATGCTCCTTCATGGACTCGGTCGAGGACAGCTCTCTATATGGCCATTTGTGCCCACGCCATCTCATTGCTGAACTAGAAGTCCTAGCCGGCAAGGTATTAAAAGTCACAAAGCCAAAATTCGGTGACATGGCTACAGGACGAAAGCGCAAGCACGCAGGAGCCTCCTCAGGGGGCCCTGTCTCTGATGAACCCATCAGCCCCAAAACAGTCTCCAGCCCCCTCTCCCAAAGCCAAAGGACAACCTTCTCATCCCGCTCGAAGCGGCGAACTCGCCGTTCTGGCTCCTGCGATTCTCCGGCTGAAGCAACACTAAGGCCCGATGACGACGGGCAATCTTCAACACCACCGGCAACCGGATCTCCCATGGACGATGATCGCGGTGATAACAGAGATACCCTAGGGATAAGCTCGAGATCCACAAGATCTGGTTCGGGCCAGAGACCGTTAGATGGCCTTCGGGTTTACATCATCCATGTCAAGGATGCACTTGCGGATGGGGCATCACCGCGGGAGGTGATATTGGAGGAGCTGCGGGCACATAACGAGGATGCGGCGTTGGGATGTGAATTTTTTGCTCCGTTGTCTGGGGAGGACGTTTTTATTTGACCCTTTTTTGTTTGTTAGGCCGGGAGGCGTGGAATTTTTGCTTCGGAGGTTTTCTTTGTACTTCTTGCTTTTTCCTTTTCTCTTCTCTTTTCTTTTCTTTTCTTTTCTTTTCTTTTCGATTTGGAGCGAGTGGAAACCGTGGGTGTTTCTCCCTGGAGTCTACCTGTATGAGTCTAGTTATTTATCAATTATGGGCCTTTTTTTTTTCTCGAGGGCCATCGCATGGTCCTCTATACAGAATTTTGTTACCTGTGCTTTGTCTGTTGATGCCATCTGTGCCACCTGGCGGATCCCCGGATCCCCGGATCCGGCCCTCTAGCAGTTATTTCTTTATATATCCCCCCCCTCTTCGGATCCCTTCTTGGGATTTAAACTTACAGCTGCCTTAATTGGGGCCGCGTATGACATTGCCTTTTGGCCCTTTCTGTCCATACTCTCGCGACATCTATCTGCCTTTTTTTTTACAGGTACCCCGCCCCCACATATATCTGTCGGTATTTTCAGGCTGTGGCTTCTCATGTCCAGTACTGCGTATATATAATCTCTTTCCCCGCCATGGAAAATACAAAGCCATAGTTGGTCATTGTCATTGTGTTCTTGTCAGATACCCTCGACTAATAAATATTGTTAGGTAGAACAAAAGTAATTATATATATATATGTGTGTGTGTAGGGTCGTACACTCGTGCATACATGGAAATCACAAATAGTCAACAGTAACTCCATAATCTCCCATCTCTCCACCCACCAAACAACAAATCCGAAACGGGTCCCAAAGGAAGAAGCAGCAGCTAGTTATGAGCAGCCGAAGAAGCGCTCGCCTGCCCTCCAGCACCACGAGCGGAACTAATAATATCGACCCATTTCCCTCCCTTCTCGATATCTGGAATTCTCACAACCCCCTTACCAGCCGCCGCCGCTGTTTTGGCATCCACAGCATCCCCGCCGGCATCCAGCGACATCCCCTCCCCATCCCGCGCCCACTCAATCAGCATCTCCTCACTGCACCACTCGCCCATTCCCATGAGACCCACAGGGACCTGAGGTCCGTCGATCAGGCCCATGGGACGTGAAAGAGCAGGACAGCCCGTGAAGTTCGCGAGATACACGTACTCCATCGCGCGGAGGCTGGAGTTCTCGTCGCTAACGCCTGAGACGAGGTCTGCATCGCCCTTCGCGATTTTCCAGCCGGGCATGGGCGTTGTGGGAGTCACGATGATGAGGCCTGGATGCTTCTGGAAGAGGAAGGCGAGGTGAGACATAAGGAGGCTGCGCAGGCGCTGTGCCGCGAGGAAGTCCGGTGCGCTGGCCTGGTTAGCGCCGAGCGAGACGAGGATTTTGTTCTGCGGTGTCAGCTGGCGGATCTGATCGGGTTTGACGGTTGACGAGATCTCGGCGAGGATGGTAAGGCTGTGTGCTTTTTGGCCTTCGGCGAGCAGGGGGATGGAGATGTCGACCACAGTGTAGTTCTTGGTACGGTAGTGGTCGATGGCTTTGTTGAACAAGGCGAGGACGGCGGGATCTGCGCGGTTGACCCAGTCGGGGAAAATGCCGATTACCTTGGGTCGGGCTGCTAGGGCGGAGCTGGATGGAATCGTGGAGAGGGGATCTGGGAAGGAGGAAGATTCCATGGAGTCTGGGTCTGGGCTGGCCATGAGTCGGTATGATAGAGCTAAGTCGTCGAGGCTGGAAGTCATGGTCCCCAAAACACCAGTGGTCGAGGCTATTCTAAGAGTTGGATGTGCAGAGACTCGGCCATGGGTGGTTTTAATGCCGTAGATGCCACAGAAGCCGGACGGGAGGCGGATTGACCCACCACCGTCAGCTCCCAGGGCAATGGGTACTAGGCCTGCGCCAACAACATATGCAGAACCTCCGGAAGAGCCGCCGGTATAATAATCCTGGTTATGAGGATTTCTCGGAGTCCCTGTACAAGGGTTGTTGTTTGTCGTGCCTGAAGAATGGATTCCAAGGCGTTAGCATTGCGATTGTCATGGAAAACGTAAATGATGAGTCTCAATATCATGGATCGACTGAGAGATATTGAAACCAAAGTGGTAAAAAAAAAAAAAGGGAAAGCAAAACATAGGAGGGAAAACAAATAAAAAAAGAAAAAATTACCCAAGCCCAATTCATGCATGCTAGTCTTCCCGACGACGATCGCTCCAGCTTCCTCCCACTTCTTCACACACCACGAAGTGCTGTTTATCTTCCCTGTGAAATCAAATCGACTCCCCAACGTCCTCTTGTACCCTTCAAGATGTGCCTCATCCTTAATTGCAACAGGGACACCATCCATAGGGCCTAACGGCTTCCTAATCTTATACCGCTCAGTCGAAGCCGCAGCCGCAGCACGAATAATATCAATGCGCGACTCAAGAAAGCCAACTGAAAATTCCCCAGGAGGGGTTATATCACGGCGAATGAGCGGGAAAAGCGCTTCCACGACCGCCGTCGGTGTCAATTCGCCAGACAGGTAAAGTGCATGGTAATCAGCTGAGGTGTAGTATCCCTGTCCATCTCGTCTCTGGATTGGCGCAGGCAGGCTCGATGTCTGGGCTGTAATAGGATCCACGATGGGGATGACGGTAGGGTCATATCGGGGTGCGTAATCGGCCAGGGAGGGGATTTCGCGGAGGAGGGAGAATCCTGCATTGCGCCAGAGATAACTTTGAATGGCATTGGAAGAGGAGACCCTGCAAGGAGAAACGCGATCGTCAGAGTTAGCCTTAATGATTGTTTAGAAAGTCCTTTCTGTATCCTTTATTTTTATACATTATTATTATATTTCGCTTCCTACTTCGTACTCCCCTCCATAGATAGAAGGGATGCAAGAGTTATAGCAAAGCAGGCAAACTAAATTGGAGAAAGATGGAGAGCTATTACTGACAATGCAGAGCCAAGGGCCAGCAGGCGGCCACGGAGGAGAGGGTTTGACTCTGTCGGATATTTCAAAGGGATGTCGGGCCCTTCAAGGGCAATTGGATAATTGTGGAATCGACGGGAAGCGTCCGATGCTCCAGCCATGGTTGTAAAGTTCCTTAGGTTGTTGTCTGCGTGGTGAATGAGGAGGAATTACCGCTGAATGGGATGAAGATTCCACGTGTGATTCGCGCTTGTCGGCTGTCGCTCCATCAATTAGGTAGAGTTTGGTTGCCGCGCGTGGTGGCAACCTTATTTGCCGAGGTTCCTGGATGACCTAATCTATTGGCTGCCATTTAGTCAACTATGGGGTACAACAGTAGCAGACAAGCATGGGAGCAAGGAATCCACCAACTAGTCTTTAGCTTGCATATCTTGATGCTTGGCCGAACCTGTTGGATGATCGTCATTGTAGCTCCTAATGCTTCTCCCCAAAGGACAGAGAAAGACAGCACGCTCTTGCAAGAAGAGGGTACTCTGTTCATTGACATCATGTCCAACAGTCTTGCACAACGACGATTTGTTGATATTTGGTAGGTTCTGTGTACTTAGTGCTAGGAGCAGGGAGTGGTTGAAAATAGCAATCCCCGCTTTCATTCTTGGTGGCAGAAGTACGGGGCACGACTATGTGATGGTCTTTTTTTTTTTTTTTTCAAAGACATCCAAGAAATGAATATGGACTCTCCAGATGAGGCATAAATGATGGGTGACACCTTGAACGGGTAATATAAGCCAAGTAAATAATTATGATGACATACATCCGTGGGTACTATACAATGGAAATAAATTTATCCCAAAAAAAAAAAAATCCTGCAGCCCTTTTATAATTTCAACTTCAAATTCCATTTGTCCATGGCCAGGGCTACTCCCGTTAAAACAGCAGCATAACCAACCAATACAGCCATTGTAGTGTTTCTGTCCGCATCCAATGTATTCATCCCCATATTGACCGTACCAGTAAGGAGATTCGCAATTAAGAAAATGGCTAAACCATTGTTGTTAAACGCATGAAGAATTCTGCTCGTCGCAAAACGGCTTCGCTCCTCCTCACTCGGCTTGTCAGTCGCCTTGTACACTGACGGAAAGAATAGCGTCTCGAGAAAACAGAAGAGGAATAGCTGCCAGTTGTTAAATGCGACCACCCAGAAGACATACGGCAGGTTTGCCAGCCGTCTCGAAACGGGAATACCTGCTCCGAAGCCAAATAAATGGAGAGAATTGAAAGCAAACAAAGCGGTCCAGATGATGGACCAGGTTGCTTGGCGGATAAGAAGGGACTTCCGTGCCTGGTAAGGTGTCTTGGTGGTGGATGACGAGGTCTCTCGGGGCATGACTCTTAAACCCGTAGCGCGTCCGGCGAGGAAGATTGCCAGGTAGCCCAAGAGTGAGAACACCCCCTCGCGGTTCTTCGAAAGGAGAGACGGGCCTCGAGGTGAGACCAGAATATACTTCTTTAAATCTGTTGACTCGAGTACAACTTGATATCCAATGCCAATCAGTGAAGAGAGCGCGTCGTAAGAAGGAATGATGGCCGTCAAGGAATGGAAAATCTCCACGAAGGGACCCAAGAACGCCAGCGTGAAGAAAAAGTTCCAATGCACGCCATATTCGGTCACATGCTCTGCGTAATCTAGCCCCTTCACGCTATAGAGTCTGACCAGACCGAGGACAAGAAGCGGAATAGTATGGCGGGCCGAACCGAGGAGCCGTTTTGGCAGTGACCCATTGTTGGACGAAGATGGACCCTGGCTCTTCAGGATGGATCGAGTGGATACTACGCCCCCCGAGAAAACAAACGACCCAACTCCCAGGTCCATAAGCGAAGTGCCCCAGTTTTCTACTTTGGCAAATCGTCGGGGGAAAATGCCGAAGTCAACGGCAAGGATGGCCATGCATGTTGCTATCATCATCGTGCCGCGGTATGAGGTGAGAAACGGGCGGAATGGAACAGGATCGAGGTTATTTGAGGACGCTTTCGCATTTTCCGCTGCACCATCTGACGATTTCAAGGATGTAGTTGGGGGTTTGGCTTTTTGTGTTGGCTGATTTCGTTTTGGGCTCAGCAGTATGAAAATGGAAGGGGAGATAAGGAGGATGTTGAGGAGAACGGGGGTGGACGAATAGAGGGTTGTCGCAAAGAGAATTGCCACGACATTAAGGAGGAAGTCCGTTATTAAGGATGCTGGTAAATATGGGGTGAAGAAAGACTTGCGGGACTGGAGAGCGGACCAGAGGAGCACCGCGGCCTGGGTGAAGTTAGCTTTCACTCTTGGATAGTCAAGACCAAACCCAAATCCCGCGACCAAACTCAACGTACCGGTGCGACAAGAGTTACGGCATTGATCTCTAATATAGTTCCGCCAGATAGATTAGACACAAAGGCCTCCTTTCGCTCTTTGTATGTCTGTGGTGTCCGCGACATTTTCCGTGATTTGCGGTTGGCCGCGTCGATGTTTTACGGATATTTCAAAATCAAATTGTCATTGTAGATTCTGGCATCCAGCCCACACCCATATAAAGTATGTGAGATAATAAAAACATATACACTTGGCAGAAAATGCCACGATATCGTGGCTGTATCAAAAAAAAGGACACGATGGAGAAAAAAGTTGCGAGGGATTCTTTGATGCTGACATCAGTGCCAAGCCATCGGATTGCCGCTTAGATCCTCCGTTGAGCCATCCACGGGCCCATGAGATCTCATTCCACTGTTTCAGCACAGCGCCCAAACACAGTCATATTCAGAATTTCTTTCGGTTGAAGCATCACACGTTCTCAAAATTACGTGGAAGTAAACTGCTAGTATCATCTGGCTTCTGTGCACAAATATTCGCGGTTTCTCTGGGGGTGCTTCCAAATCTTTCGCATGAACTCCAGAATGGGTAAATATAAATCTATCTGTGCTGTAAACACAGCTTCGGTATGACATTTACGAGTGATAATGAGTGCTGAATTGTTCCTGCAATTGCCCCAGAACACCTGTCCGTTTCGTCAATTTGCGGGCGGTGATTTGCAGGCAGAGGCATAATCTAAATAATCCTTAACAAGTTCCTGAGGAGGGGTAACATGTTACATGGTGCTACGGCTACTGCAGTCACTCGCCCCCAACATATTGTGTTGCCTTTTTGGTTTTTCTTCGACGACATCTACCATCATCTGAAAAAAGAAACAAATCTGCCCATCCTGTTGAAACCAGTTAAAGAGGGGAAGGAAATGAATACTCGCGAAATGTCCGACGAACAAACCCCTCAACGTGTCATAACCACTCATGATGCGTCAGCTGCCTCCATCTTCGACACCTCCGTCCCTACCACTGTCCCCGTTGTAGAATTCCCAAGCGGCCTCGCCACGTTCAGCACCCAATATGCAACTGAAGGCTTTCCAGTATCCCTCTCCGCCAATACCGATATCCAAATCTACTGCAACCACCTCGCCAACCCGGGGGGCATCGTTATTAACAACGGCACCATCATGCGGACCATAGTCATGAAACCGGGAGGGCTTTCTCACATGCATCGCACAATTAGCGTTGACACTGGAGTGGTAATTGATGGGAGCCTTGAACTACTGCTAGACTCGGGCGAGTCCAGGATCCTAAGAAAAGGCGATGTCTTTGTCCAGCGGGCGACGATGCACATGTGGAAGAATACGAGCTCGACAGAGCCCGCTACGATGGTGGTTTTTACCCAGCCGTGCGCGCCGTTAGAAGTAGCTGGGAAGTTGCTGGAAGAGGAACATCGCGTTTGAGGGAAAAACAAACAGTCACTGCGTATTGCACTCTTGCTTTGGTGAGGGGGGTGGAGGCCGGTATGTCGATGTCAAGCTTAATGCAATACGCGCACAGCGGGCAGGAGTAGACCACACGTGTGAGAAAGATTATAACTTGAGACGTCAATGCTTGTTGAGCGGAACAGGGCTAGGAAAATTAAGGATATTTGATGGGTTTTGGCAATCGCAATTCATTTGTAGCGTTGATGGAAGGAATTTTCGCAAGTCCGAAGCCCATGGGAAAGGAAAATTGTCATTTAGTAGGCTATCACTGTAAAATTTACTGTTTTTCTTTTACCGAAAGCTGACAAAGTCGCTGTGGTAAGGTAGATTTTTCTTCCAACCGTACGATGTAGCGATAGTTGAAAACCTCCACTCCAAGCAAATATTAACCAAAAAGGGGACGTGAAAATAAAAATAAAAAGCAAATGGTAAACGATAATTGGACATCCGAATGCAAGAGAAGGCGCAAGACTCCACAAGCAAGAGCTTAAATTATGAAGGGACGCCGGAATGTATCAAATAGTAATGTCGGTGACCACCCTTGGTAGCTCACATCACCGTCAAATATTGCAACGGAACCATGAGGAACATCACATAGCAGAGGACGAGCAATGCGCGATGGACAAACTCAGGCATGCCGACTTCTTTTTCTTTCTTTTTTCTTTTCTTTTTTTTTTTTTGGGATACTGATTTCATTATTGGATAGCTTGTATCGTAGATATGTCATGGCATATTTGACAAGGATCACTTTGAGATGAGGACTGGCACCGATCAAACAGTTGATGTGTGATGTCTATGTGCCTTGCTCTTCGTGAAATACGGAGTCTCCCCCACCTGCGCTGGTCTTTTAATGGTCAATGGACTGGAAGTAATTGGAAAAAGGAACCCTTTTCTCTGGGCGGAGGACGAACCGTGCGTCTGACGCACGTCCGTTGAAGAGTGCGGTGAGATTTCAGCCACGTTGAAGCCTCTACTGTTGCAAGTCGACATCGAACAGCGCGAAGTTCGGTTTCCGCGGATAGTACTTCCCACTTTCCCCAATGGAAAGGAAGATGATATTTTTTAGCTGTTAGATGGACTCCAGTTTCCGGTCATGTATACGAGAAAGCGAAGCGCTTCGCTCAACAAGATTTCGTGATGACATCCCCGACGCTCCCGACTGGACACGTAATACGAAGTATTCGCTGCGGGAGCTAACATCCGTAGCATACATTGTAACAGTTCCAAGGCCTGAATGTCAGAACGAAGCCATTATCAGGGTAAACGTATCAAAAGTTTAGCAGGCAAACATAAGACTTGAACGTAGATAAAATAGAGACCGCTGGAAAAGTAGTAAAATGAAGAACAATTGGTGTTAGAGTTTTTAGACTATCTGGTCTTGAGCGCGTTATATGGAAAAAGGAGTTACTGCATCGGCGACCTTCATCAGGATGCGCGAAGAACATGGCACCCGGATAGCCGCGCACCCGCTAGAAAGGAAAAGACCAGAAAGACTGAAACATTGAAGACCAATATTTCTTCAATTTTTGTATATTTCTGAAATGGATTTGAAACAGCAAAACCGCGAGTGTTTCTGCATATAGAACAAGCACACGGTATAGTTAAGTCAAGATATGAACTGGATCTTCTCGCACGAGTTCTCCTAGGCAAACGCCAACAGCAATCTTGAGAAAATATTCTCTAATAGCAAACCAACGCTCGGAACATCGTAGCAAGAGAATCCCCTCGCGGAAACGCCCCAATGAATGTGCAAGTGCAGAATAGACGACAAGAAGTCCTAGACACTTGTTTGAGGTTAGTTCCCGTATAAACGGGATCTAATGGATTTCCTAAACACAAGAAGTCCATTCCACCCTTCAGAATCAATCCAAATTAAGCCAGAGAGCGGGTGTCCTGTAGTCGACGATTGCTCAGCGTGCGCTTCCCTGCCATTCTTGAAACAACTGGAGTGGATGAGAAAGCAGGAAGGGGAGAACTGAGGATCACTAAGATATCGAACGAAGGCCATGCGATGCGTTTCGGCTACTTACCTGTAGAAACAAAGGCAGAGGCGGTAAACCTCCATCGATCGCTGAGAATCAGGAGGCTGTTGAGATATCAAATGCTCGTCCAGCGACAAACCTGCCCAGGATGGGGCTGAGGTTGGAATCTGCCAATTAGAAACTAGGAAAGTAGACGACACTAAGATAAATGCGGCGTAGTGTCCTTGTGATTAGCTGAGCTTTTTGAACCAGCCAATCAGTTGTCCACACTTCTCTTTCCAGACAAACAACTACCAGGAGAATTGTGGGAGTTCGATACGGGGCGCATAGTGACGCCTCAAGAGAACCCTCTTGATATCCATGCAAGCCTCAGACGTAAGGCTTCCCTATGATTACGCACTACTGCTGACCCCTGTGAATAGATAACCGATTTCAGTAAAGGATTCCAACCATGCTATGACTTGGGAATGATGGCGGGAGATACCACAGTTGCGTGACATTGATGCGGGATGACAACCACGCATGTCCGCAATCCGCGCTGACAGCTTATGCAGTTTTTTCGGCTCTAAAGTGGGGAGCGAAAGTGAATGGGAAGGTTTGAAGCCGACTAGCCAACTCATCATCCCCATAACTACCCACTACACCCAAGATAACCAGGGGTTGACTTGCGATACGGGCATCTCTGCACATATGTCCAGTGTTGGGATAAGAAACAATGGCAAGGGATCCTTTGATCCGTTTCCCTTGAATTTGTTTGAACTCAAATGTCGATCGTTACAATGAAGATACCCAGCCACTTCATTTTCTCGGGGAAAAAAAAAAAATTCATAAAAGCACCTCACCGCCATCTTGTATTAGCCTTTTCTTGGACTCACCAACGCCTGACGTGAGATGAAAAAATCACTCCAGAGGGACCAAAAGTCTGATACTCTCTAGAGAACTGCAGCTTCGGATCTGCCATGGACGATCTGCGTAGTTGAGACTGCGTAGAGCTTTACGAGACGTCAGATGTCTTGAATTATCTCACAGCCTCCGAGCTACATTGCCGCCCTATTTCCTGATATTCCATTTCATTTCTTTCAGGTCCCATTCCATGCAAGCGTCTCGCAGCTAGAAAGTCAAAGGAAGGGCAAGGAAAGGTACCAAGCATACAACTGGCTGGTCCACACACCAGCAACAAGCCAATCAGGCTCATACTTTCTATATATCCTTGCGCAAGACCAAAGGCAAAAAGGAAGCGCACATATACAAATTCGGAATTTTTATTGCATAATGACATTTTTTGTCGGGTTTAAAAAAAAAAAAATCTTATATGCTCTTTGCTGGCTGCGCATTTAAAATTTTTTTTGGAGGGGTTCTCTTCTTACCTCTTTCTTTGGCTTCCTTCTCACACTACCTGTGTATTTTCCTATGTGTTGAGATTGAACCAGCACGGCGCGTGCATGTGCATGGCAAAAAAGCAAGCCGGCTTCTGTGCTGGTCGCCACCATCGAGTTCCTCACGATTTCCTGGCATTTGGCATTCAACCATCCAATCACACCATTAGCCGAGGAAATCCGACGAGAAAGAGGAAAAGAAGAAAAAAAGAGAAAAGAGAAAGAAAGGGAACATCATATTTTCCATAGCCTTGTCTATATACATTATTTTTCGTTAGCATCACACGTTAAGTCAATCATCTAATACCCAACAAACGCGGCGAGCGCGCGCGAGAAGTCATCTTATCATCCAATCCTTCATACCTCTGCTGCCCTTCTTGCCTTCCACCTCCCTTAACACCCATCCTCTGAACAACCAGGACGAGTTTTCCAAAACCCTGTCTCCTAATAGGATCGAGAAAGCCGTTGATAAGGAAACCACAGAGAGCAGACCAGGAGAAATCGGAGGAAAGGAGGGGATCGGAAGAAACGGGACGAGCAGATATGGCCTCCCTTGTAATCCTCTTCATCCTAGGCGGCTCCTGGTTCCTGCTCGTCACCTTCCTTGTCCTCGGCATGTGCCGACAGAAGTATATGAGGCGGGCCAGTTCCAGTTCCAGCTCCACCTTCAGCAGCGGCAATGGCAGGAGTAGCAGTTCTAGCGCACTGGGTGCAGCTGCGCGAGCGAGGGATCTTACAGCTACATCGTCGGTGGCATCAACGGATTCTGCTGGGGCAGCGGGAAAGGTTGGGACTCCGAAGAAGGCTTAATTTGCGATAGAAGGAGAGAGCTGTGATTTTGTTGTCCAATTGATTTTGTGAATTTTTTCCAAGCGGGGCAAAAAAAAACTTCGTCGAGTTGTTCTTGCCCGTGGCCCTTTTTGCGCTTCACTCGGCGGTTCCAGGTTCTTTATGTGTGTGCTGTGTCCTTCAAGGATTCAATGAAGGAATGTTCTAGGCATGTGTTTGCCAATGTATGCTCTATCCCTGCTCCCTGCGCTTTCCCCGCTCTCTCCACTGCCACTTCGTATTCCAGTGACCAGCTGGGCTGATTCACAACGCAACAGGAACCGGGTTAACGAACCCGCTAGGACGCCCCTTGGTTTTTTTGTTCCTTAAGCCCAATGTAGCCCAGAAGCTTCCAAGGTTAAAGGCGGTAACGTGGCAAGCCATGCGATCTATGTTGGGGAGGAAAGCTCATGTGGGATGCTTAAGGAACGACCGGACGGGTTGACTAGGGGAGGGAATCAGAACCTTATTTTCGGATTTTCGGGGGACAGTTTTTAATTTTGGTGATATTGCGGTGTTAAGCTGACACTTCGCTGTAAATATATACCTATATAAATATGCACTTATGCTTGCTAATAGCCATGTATGTAGCTTTTGACATGTTCATTCAATCAAAACAGTTTCATATCGACTTCCCCACATATTCATACTTATTGAACAAAAAGTATATGTCCAACAGAGGCAGCATCTGAAAAAATTTGAAACCGGTTTGCTTCCCCCGTATTCCCCCATAGGCGTATTGATTTACAACAGAAAAATATATTATATGTATCTATACATAAAAGCTCCTAACCTGATATCATCTATTGTTTCCGTCCATCATTCATAGACTTATCTTCACATTATCTTAAATGCTCTTGTTTTGTTTCTGCATTTCCTCAGTTGATATTATAATTCATTGCGTATACTGCTTCTGCAGCATCTTAGCAATCGTCTGGAGCTGGATATTACTCGTTCCCTCGTAGATAGCTCCGATCTTGGAATCTCTGAACATCTTCTCAGCGATGCCCTCACGGACGAAGCCCATGCCGCCCATCCACTCGACCGCGGAGCCCGCAACGCGCCCAGCAACCTGAGAGGCGTACAGTTTCGCCATAGCGGCGTCCTGCACGAAGTCTTGGCCGGCTTCCTTCTTGCGGGCGGCGTTGTAGACGAGAGCACGGGCAGCGGCAATTTCAGTATATGCCTGTGCGACTTGGTGCTGCATACCTTGGAATTCACCGATCAGTTGGCCGAATTGGCGGCGGTCGTTCCAGATGTATCTTTGTTTTTTTTTTTTTTTTTTATCGTCAGTTTTGCTGATTTCATTTACCCTGGCCTCCGATTCATGGAAGGACAAAAATTTCTGTGGGAAATAGCAAGGATGCAAAAAGTAAGTGCGACGTGCAAACTTACTTGGCAGCGTTTTCCCACGCACCGAGGGCGAGACCAGTCATTTGCGCCGCGATACCAATGCGCCCCTCGTTCAACAAATTAATGGCGTATTTGTAGCCCTGGCCTTCCTCGCCTAGGAGGTTCTCCTTGGGGATTTCCACATCATCAAAGTTGAGGACGCAGGTGCTACTGGCGCGGATACCGAGTTTCTTCTCCTTCTTTGCGATGCTGAATCCTGGCGTACCTTTCTCGACCATAAACGCGGTAATTCCCTTGTATCCCTTGCTAGGGTCAAGGTTGGCGAATACAATGAAGAACCCGGCCTCTATTGAGTTGGTGATCCACATTTTTGAGCCATTGATCTTGTAGCCGGAGGGGGTCTTCACGGCCTTGGTTTGTAAGGCAAAAGCATCGGAACCGGAGACCGGCTCGGACAAGCAAAACGATCCGACAGTATTCGTGGCGAGTTTTGGCAGCCACTTTCGTTTTCCCTCCGCGTCGGCAAATTTGAGAACGGCAGTGTTCACCAGGGTGTTGTGGACGTCGCACATCACGCTGACACTGGGATCGACACGAGCCAACTCCTCAATTCCAACGATGGCAGATGTGAAGTTCATGCCGGCTCCACCATATTCTCCGGGATCTCCACGCCCATTAATCCTTGTTCGAAGAGTTGCTCAACAATCGCGGGGTCCATAGTTTCGGCTTCGTCCATTTCTCGAACTTCGGGCCAATTTGCTCCTGGGAAAACTTGGCTACAGATTCGGCCATCATGGCTTCGGTTTCGGACAGGAGGGTGATAGGGGTGGGGGTGAGGGAGGTAAGGTCTACATCACGGCGACACGGGGTGGCAGAGAACGGGCGGATGCTGAAAAGATATTTTCACAAGACATTAGGTCCATTGGTCTGGATATATGAAACTGCATTTTATCACAAAACAATGAAAATGGATTGGATTCTCTCCGGTTTCTCTTTGAGGCTTGAGGGGCAAGGAGGTCTCATACCATTGGAATGTCCTTGAGGGCACAAACTTTCGTGCTGTGTGGAGAATGTAAGCTGGTCTTCTTGCTAACGGCCGCAGCGCTCGGGCAGCTGTCGCCATAATGAGTTGATATTAAAAGGATACAGTGGTTAACAAATTCGAACGCCAAAAGAGTACAACGTGAAGCAGTCCGTGGTAGACAATACAGTATGGTATGGAAACTTGACGAGATGAAAAGTCGAACGTCGATGTTGAAAATCGGATTGGCCACTGGTCAGGGGTTGCGGCTAAGCCTCGGCTACTTGCGGTGGGAGACGTCACATGACCATCATGCTTGGCCAGATGCTCCTCTTGGGCTTCAAAAAAAAAAAAAAAAAAAAAAACTTGATATAAAAGAAAAGGATAAATTTCCTTTGCCAAACGAGGCCAAAAACGATGGAAATGAGCTATGAGCATCTGGTGTAATACTATGTGACCCGCACCACGTATCTGGGCCAGACATTGACAACTCTCAATTCTATCTCCCAGTAACCGATAGTATCACCCTGACGTCGCATTCGATCACCAAGCATTTCCAAGGCTTGGAGACGAAGGGGAATAGCTGCAATACAGCCAAACTAAAAATGATCACTGAGGGAAACCTGGAGGCTTCTTTCTCCCAGCCAGCTGTGTGTATGTTGCCGTCAGAGCTGCGCCTCCCAGAACTTGATAGTTTGAGAACTGGCCCTGCCACCAGCCACAATATGTGGCGGCCACCCGTTGGTGCGCTGTGATTGGTGGCGGTGACATCATCAGCATCTTCTCCCACCAATCTTCGCTGATGATGCAGCGCCAAGCTGCGTTGACGCCGTGATGGTCACTGACGGACGCAGGCTGTGCCAAATATATCACCTGCAGCAGATTCTAAAAATTCTAACAATTCCTGGATTCTGGAGGTTCTATGGAGAACAACTGCCAAGCCCCGCCACGAACGGTGCAGATGTGCTGTTGTGCAGCTGTGGCCCAGTGAAACCCCGCTATTAAAAGCTTGCCCTCGCCGCCCGTCCCCCACTGCTCCCAGGATCAAAGCACGGATCGAGGAATTTTCGAGCAACCTTGGAAGAATCTTTGTCTTCCTTCCTCCTTCCTTTGTTTCAATCCAAAGCGAAACGGGCCTATTCCATTGTGCCAAGGGGTTTCATCTACTAGCCCCTATCCTCATTCTCACTTGGCGTGGCAGTTCCGAATCCTCGCCTGCGATAGTATCACCACCCCTGCTGACATATTTATATCTACCCTGTTGTCTTCAGTCTACGTACGCACGCCATTAAATAGCAACTATTCCTCCCCCCAAGTTGTTATTTGCCCTAACCCTTTATATACACTCAGAACGAGCAGACCTTGGAGAAAATGTCTCGAGGCCCATACGACCCTCGTTTGTTCTTCAGCATTGACAATATTCGGGCGTTCCACATTCAAAATGGAGAGGAATCAGAACTCACCACATCGGGTCCCCAGACCCTTTCCCTCTTGATGGTCCCGACTTCCTGTCCCTCTACAGATCCTGAATTAGCCTCACAGCCACCAGAAGATGACTTTTACCTCCACCTCCACCTCCCACCGGAGTTGGATCTGCCCTTGCCCGCAACGACCCAGATATACCACCAGCCACCAAACAGCTACCTCATTCCACGCTGGGACCTAGGCCCAAACGCAGGCGCATTCACGCGGATCCAATTCCCGTCAATTGGCAGTGGCCCAGGGAAGGTGTCTCAGGAAGATGTGGATACCTTCGAAACCATTCTCGCCCAATGTACCGCATTTCTCGAGCGATCTCCGCCCCCTAAGTTCGCTCCGTATAACCCTGCCACCTATGCTCCTGGAGAAGGATATGTCGGGTCTGGCGGTGAAAAACAGCCTGCGAAACGCCAACCTGGCCAAATTGTCCTCATCGATGAGGAGAACGGAAGTGTTGTTGGTGAGCTGACGGATAGTTTCAACATCGTGGAAGATGCAGATGTGAAACATGGTTCAAAGAGTATTGTGACCCATCCCATATATATCATCGACATATCCCAGCTGGTAAATTGCTAACCATGACTGCGATAGATCCCGTTGAAATACAGCTCCCAACCGAAGGGCAAGGAAACAATATATCTGTCCATAATGTCTCTGACGAATATCTGCAAACAGCAAGGCATCCTGCCTATGCGAAATCTACCATTGTTCAGACGTCTGCAACAGCCTCGCGGCTTCTGGTTGCTGGTTCCGCATATATTGCCAAGTCCATACAGTCAGGAGCAAATACCTTCACCCAGAAAACGAAACCAAATTCCAAGCCCATGACATTTACCCCTACAGCGCAAGCACGTATGAGGAGAATCAATACATTTTCAAGCAACGCTGCTGGGTTGTCATCCAAAACCGTCAATAAGGTTACCAAGGTTGCTCAAAACTTCGGCGCCACTATTGCAGGCAAGAAAGATTTAGATTCTGGGCCCAGAGGTTTCGACGAGAACGGCCGACCGATATACCACTCCAAGCCCGGGATTTTGAACAAATCTTTGATCGCCTTCTCGACGATTGCAGATGGCATTGACCAAGGTGCCAAACAGCTTCTCCACTCAGGACAGCTCGCTGCGACTACGGTAGTCGGCCACCGCTACGGCCCAGACGCGGCAAAGTTCACGTCGGAGCTCACTGGTGGCGTCAAAAACGTTGGTCTGGTGTACATCGACGCGGCGGGAGTGTCTCGCAAAGCAGTCCTCAAATCTGTTGCGAAAGGAATGGTTGTTGGGCGCATGAAAGATGGACAGCAGATTGTCGTTAGCGACGGCGATGCGCCCTCTGTGAAATATCCCGGCATTCCGGGGCAAAAACCTCCGCCGTTCATGAGATCCGGGACCAGCCAGAGTCTTTCTGGGCTTACCCCTGGAAACGCTTATCTTCCTCGCGGTTCGTCTCCGTCTCCTACTCCGCCGCCTGCCTATGGCTCGCAGAGCGGGCGATCCCTTGGCGGGACTACGTTGCGAAATGGCAAATAGCCCGGGCTTGAGGAGCTTTTTATGTCATGAGAAATGTTTTGAAAAATCGGGTCGATAATTCTCCTTCCCCTTTTCCATCTTTTTTTTTTTTTTTTTTTTTTTTTTTTTTTTTTTTTTTTTGCCTCTTGTCCGTCTTCTCTGTTCTCCTCGCCAGACGTTTTGGTAATAGCCCGTTTTATGGTTTCATTTCGTATTTTTACCGGGTTTTACGATTTACGATGCTGGCTGCATGTCCTCCAAAAGCTTATATTTTGTGGAGAAGGCAGTGTTTGGGAAACTTTCACTTGATATTCTGTTCTTATTGTAACGCCCCCCATAGTTATGTAAATGTTTATTCTGACTTTCGCTGGGCTTTTTAAAGTTTCAAGAATTTTTCTATTTTACACCCCATCTTTCATTTTTTTTTTCCGTTTATGGTTTCAATGTGTCCCTTCTTGCAGGTTTCTTTGACTGGTCTTTTACATGACCCATGACTTGACGATACCCTCACGCACTTTCTGTTGGGCCCATAAACTCGGGTTGAGAATTAACGAAACGATAATTTTATTCTCCTTCAACTTCTTTTTCTTTTCTTTCCTTTTCTTTTTTATTAGTAACTTCGTGGATGATGCCTATAACTGTCACCCGAACCGACCATACATGGGACATTCAAATGGAGTTTCACAATCTAACATACAAGTGGCATGTCAGAAAGGAAGCTCGGTCACCGGGTGGTTGATCTGGATGAAAACCACAAGTGCCAAAAACACCGTCAACTAACTAGCCTTAATACCCAGGCCCTCATTGTCCATCTCTCTTTTAGCTTAGTGTCAAGATCTGAGCAGCCGTAATGACCAGTTCTGGGTCGACTAGGTAACTAAGCCGTCAGTTTTGGGAGGGTGTCTTTTGTCTGCTCCATCCTGTTTTCTTCGGCGTTGGGCTGGGGAAGATCATCTTCGACTGAAATCTCACCCCAAACTGCCCTCCGCCGCGCGAATGTCCCCCAAACGAGCGCCCGGCGGCGGGACCCTGTGCAGAGTTATTTCCAATCGGATCTCTCCAGCTGGTGAAATTAGGATATTACCCTGATGCAAGTCTTCATGGGTCAACTTGGTTGGTCCCATCATCTGGAAGGTAATGTTGATAGAGATCCTAATATCTCTTTGAATCAGGAAGCCAGCATTGAGGTAGAGAAGAAAACAAGTCGTTGAATGCGTTTACATCTTTATCAGGTCCTGATTAGAGATGGTTTGCAAAAGACATAATCGTGCAAACGTGCGCAGTGGATGGATCCTATAGTTACTTAATACAAAAACTCAACTGATAGACATTGTGGAATACATGCATCCTGATAAAAGAGTCACTGGGATCTGGCTCAATTTGCCGAAACAAAGAAACAATCTTCCTTAGCTGATCACAAATGAAGTTTCCATCCCGCTCATTTCTCATCAATCATATAGCCATGTCTCCCAGAACAAGCTCCATATAAATGAACACACAATTTTGATAAGCTCTCCATCCATACACTTCTGAGACATCTTCTCAGTGAAAGTTGTTTGAAGGTGAAGAAGGAGGAGTCAAGGAAGTCTATCCTCGTTTGCGTTGCGTCTCGAGAGTTGCGTCTGAATTTGTTGTTCAATGGACATCTTAGTGACAAGGCTTCAGTGCAAGGGAAGAAAGGAAGAAAGAAAGAAAGAAAGACACCATCCCAATGTAACCTCCTGGCCAACGAGGCGGATCTACAGATCTATTTTTTTGCTGTGCTGTGAGGCCACTATCACCAACATGTTCTAGATTGGCAGAAGACCAAGGTCACATGACTCAGGCAACCGACCCCTTCTTGGGGCTTCCCCTTTTCGTGGACAAGCTCCGATTCCACACCGACCGACCCATACTGCTCGTATACTAGTTGGTCTCTTGTGGGGGAGTTCGCCTGTTGGCTTACATTAGTGGAAGGCAACAACCTCCCTAGCGTTGTTGTCACAATGGCGGAGGGGCAAGGTGTCTGCCGGATCTCTGCCCCTCTTCACCAAGATGAAGGAGTTTCATGAAGGCTTTTGTCAGGGTTCATTAACCCATCGGTATACCAAAGTACCCAAAGTGGTCCTGCTGCCTGCTATCCCCTGATTGGCCTTGGAGCTCCTCTGATTTCGAAGACAGCAAAGCTCTTTGAGAGGGCATTTAAAAAGCACCTCGAATCCGTGATTTTATCGCTCTTCTCTTCTTTTTTTTGTTTGTCTCGTTCTCTGCCACAACTTATAACAATAAGAACACAATTGATTGATTGGCAGCGTGTTCAGAATTGTCTTTTGACCAAAACTTCAGAATCTGTTTGGGAATTCATATCCATCCTATAACTTTCACTTTCTCTACTTGTTCATTTCCTTGAATCCCCAGCCCGTCTCCCAACCATGGAGCTCCCATCGATCCCCGTTCCTCTGAACGGCTTTGTTCCTTATCTAAATGAACACAGCCGCGATGAGGTTCTCACCGGCAAGGCGATGGAACCCTTCAAAGCTTACGAATATAAGCTCCGTGAAATCTTTGCTCAAGAACCTAACAATAAGGCAATTGAGAATCCCCACGTCAATGTCGTCCCCCTTTATCTTCAGCCTGATGTAGATGTCAAAGTGAAGGCGCGGGACCTCGTCAAAGAAAGCCCAGCGGATGCTGAAAAGTATATCCTTCCCCTGGCAGCCGAAGCGCGGAAAAATGATTCCACTGCTGCTGTGGTTCCGACTTTCAATCAGTTCCTCGAGAATTTCAGGATCTTTTCAGAATCGTCTCTAGTTGATATGGACTGGAGCAATGTTGTCGTTGCCGGGAGTGCGGTAACTACTTGTCTATTGCCAGTTCCTGATAAATTCGGGTCGTCGCGCAAGGCTCAGAGGTAAGTTGCTGCAAATTTGGTCATCTCTCTCTCGTGCTTGATAACTACATGTTCTCTGTTGATTGTTCTGATTGATTGAGCAGGGAATACTACCACGAGAAAATTGCTCCGTCTTCGGATGTCGATCTATTTCTCTACGGTCTTGACGAGGAGCAGGCAATTGAGAAGATCAAGCAAATTGAGAAATGCATCCGCGACAGTATTCTGGAGGAAGTCAGCGTATGTCTAGTTCTGTTGGATATATTTATTCGGCGTCGTGCCTGGAGAACTCTAATTGTGGGAAACAGGTTATTCGGACCAAAAATGCCCTGACTATTGTTTCGAAATATCCTACTCGCCACGTTCAGATAGTGCTCAGGCTTTATAAGAGCGTCTCGGAAGTCTTGACCGGTTTTGATGTGGATTGTTCCTGTACTGCGTTCGATGGCCGTCAAGTCTGGGCCAGCCCCAGGGCCGTTGCAGCTTTTGCTACTCAGACTAATTCCATCGACCTTACCCGGCGTTCACCTTCGTATGAAAACCGTCTTGCGAAATATGCCCATCGTGGATTTGAAGTGTATTGGCCAGCTTTAGATCGTTCAAGATTGGATCCTACAATATTCGAAAGAAGTTTTAACCACGTTGTTGGTCTTGCACGACTCCTGGTCATGGAGAAGCTTCCCACTCAGCTCAACAGAGAAAACTATCTTAACCAACGACGTGAGGAGCGCGGCAGAGCCACTCCCAGTCGTACCAGGGCTTATTATGTCAACAGAGAGAATCTAAAAGAAGTACAACCCGAAGATGTTGCGGAATGGGTTGAAGAGGAGGATGTTTCTCGGTATCATACGTTCACAATTCCCTATGGCCCAAAATATACGGCAAAGAAGGTAACTTTGATTCAGAGTGTCGTGATGATGCAGGCATGACCAGATGCTAATTTTTATCAACAGATCGAGAAAATGGTTTACAAAAATGATTTGTTGTTAAATGCGGAATGGAACAGGCCAAAAGACCGAAAAGTGAATTTGCACAGGCATCCCGCGTTTTTCGGCAGCGTGAAACATGTCATCGAAGATTGTTGCGGCTACTGTCCCGCTCCTAGTACAGAGGAGGAAAAGTCCATCGCGGCGGACGAGGGCAAAAAATATTTGTCGGGCAAAATCCAATTTATGAAGCATGACCCAGGGAGACAAACCATTGGGAGCTTTAACCCTATTACTGATTCAGACTGGACTGAATTCGCATACACTGGCGGCACGGAAAGCCTTTGCCAAGCTATTGTTGCGGGCGATCTTACCCACGTTAAGAAATGCTGTGCCCAAGAAGACTTCAACATTGACCAGCGAGATCATACTGGTCGCATGCCTCTTCACTTAGCGATCAACTGCGGAACCCCCGAAATCGTACGATGCCTCGTACACCATGGGGCACGCCTTGTCAGTCGCGTCGCTGGCGGGTTTACCGCTCTTCACCTTGCTGCAGCCCGCGGGGATGTGGAAATCCTTCGGGCAATACTGAGGAAGAGCGAAGCGAACCAGGTTGAATATCTTGAGAATTCGGGCACAAAACAGAGAAATGCGAGCCCGTCAATTGCATCAAATGAGGATGGCGATGAAGAGGCAGAAGAGGATGACATTTCAGTAATAGAAAGTGGCGCAAAGTCTCCATATGCTGTGTCTCAAGGGTCAATGATTGTAGTCACAGACCCATCAAAAACACCCCAGGAGGAACAGGATGAGGACGAAAACGAACCTAACTTCTACGATGATATTGGGGTGCTTTCGTGGGATCATCCAATTAGTCCACTTCATGTGGCGATCTTATACGGCCATACGGACATTATCACCACCCTCACTACAGAGTTCGGTGCAGACGCGAGCCAACCTTTTGTCCAAAAGGAATACAATAATTATTACGTGATCTTTTCCATGATCCTTGCTATGCACCTTCCATTCGAACAGTCCACAGATATGTTACGAACTCTCCTCGAATTGGGAGCTTCCTCGACGCAAGCCAACAAGGATCATATAACCGCATTCCATTCTCTTGTAATAGCCGGTGAGCCTCGCCATATAGATTTGATATTCGACATCGACGCAGCGGCTGCCCAACTTGCAATTAACCATCCTTTTATAAGCACGTCCTGGCGTCCTCAAAGTGCGTTGCCTCTTAATTCAGCAATTAGCTATAAAGGAACCGGGATGGTTGAGAAGTTATTGGAGAAAGGAGCAATCGTGTCAGGATTTTTCGAACGTTTGCGGCGCATCTGGGCACGTCGAAATAATCAAGGTAATAAGATTGAGCATATTCTGCGTCAACCGATTATTCAAGCAGCTGAGTTTTCAACCCCTGCTGTTGTGAAAACACTTTTGGATGCTGGAGCGGAAGTTAATGCAATCACGACGGGCTCTCATCGATTGATTGACAAACAAGCCTACTATTCTAGTGGCCAGACAGTCCTTGACCTCATTACAGCGCGCCTGGATTTTCTGAAATCGTTGGATAAGCCTCAACAAGCTCCAATTAGTATTGTGGAGTTAAAACCCGACGTTGTTTATTTAAAGGACCTAGCGGAAGGGACTTTCGAACATTCTTTTGTCCAGAATGAGCTTGCAATCGCGAAACTCGCTTCGGAGGTCATCCAAGATAAACTGAATTCCGAAGAATGCACTAAGTTCAAACAGCAGCAGAGGTTGAGGGCGGACTGGATTGAACGTGAAATCAAGGAGCTGGAAGCACTCGAGCAGACCTTGAAGGCTAAGGGGGGTAAACCTTTCGCGGAACTGTACCCAGAACACGCGCGGGCTGCAGATAAAACTCAAAAATCGTCATCAACGGCTGAAGCATCGAAGGAATTTGAGGTCGCATGCACCTTCACCGATCAAGACGTAGGGGACGTAGATACAAAAGAGTATATTCCGCTGTACGTTCTTCTGACATCTCACCCCCGTAACACCCACCTCATACAACTCCTACCATCTTCTGTCTTGCGTCTCTGCAATAGCTAAGTAGTTGTCTTTTAGGTTCCAAGCCGCATGGGATGGCAATATCGGCAAGGTTAAACAGCTAACCACAGAGCCAGCCACTGTCAAGAAGCCGCGTTCTTCGCTCCAACTTACAGCGAGGCTCAGAGAACGAGAGGTGGATATCTTCACCATTGCTGTGGTTCGCGGCCATTTTGAACTGGCTCGAGGCATTCTTCAGGATGTAGACGCCCAACAATGGAAACGGGATACCAAAAAGTCAACCCGTAAAGTATACGAGGTTGTTGTCGACAATGATAATGACTATAATAGTTACGATTCTGACTCCGAACCTGATGCGCCGGATTCTGAAGGTGTCAACGTTCGTTTTGATATTGTTGACGACGAGCAAACCATTGATGATGTCCGGGAGCTGGAAGCTGTGAGCGTCGGGAAATACACTACTTCGGTGTCCCACCTCCTCAACAGGGAACGAGACATGTCTATGTTTTTAGGTGATGAAAATAAGGATACTGTGAAAGCTGATCATGCGACATTGGCTGATACTCACCTGTTAAACTGGTACCGGGATCCAATTGTAAGTAAACCCTCTCCGGCTTGATTCCTGCCGTTTCTTAAACGAGTGTTATACTAAATTACTAAATTTACCACTTCACTACGAGTAGACGCAGACGGTTGATATGAATGCATTCAAAGCAAAACGCCGCATGGACTTGATGAGTCTTGCCGTCCAGCGAAATGATTTTGCAGCAGTCAAATTCTTGGTTGAGCAGAAAACACACTATCTGAGACACTCTAAAGAAGAAGACAACAATAAATCTTCCGATGAAGACAGGCATAAATTTATCACTATTGGGAGCGACATACTCAACATGTGTCTTAGAGATGGCTGCACGCAAATCTTAGGTTATCTTATGTCGACAACAGGACTTGGATTTCCGTTTGAAGCTCTGATGAAAGAGGCAGGCGTCAAGCCTGAAACTGAACCTAAGGTATGTAACTGAGAGCAAGTATTAGCTAAATTATGGAAATTTCGCTAACCCACAACCAAGTTCTATCGCGGATTATCCGTGTATGGCAAGAAACGAGCGAATTGGGCTGCCGAGAACAGCTACCGTTACTTTAGGCCGATTTTTGGTTCACACTCGTTACTCTTGCTTGCCATTAGTGAGGGTAACATTGACGCTGTTAAGTGGTTCCTTACCGATGCGCCCGAGCAGAAATATAAGGAATTCCTCCATACACATAGGGATGACGCACGGCTAGCACCTCTCTTTAAAATGGAGGGTGGAATTGATGATATGTTAGCATCCTGGCTGGGTGCTAGACGTAAGTTGTGCAGTTCAAGCCGGCCTTGCCTGACACGTACATCACCAGTCCTGAACTAACATTGATTTTAGGAAATCTGGCTCTTCATTGTGCAATACTTGCCTCACCGTCAGAGAAATCTAGCGCCTCTCTGGTTCAGTTTATCCTGGAATCATTCCCGGATTCCTTGCACACCAAAAATATTGAAGGTTTCACACCTCTCCACCTAGCATTCAGTGGTCGGAGGATTACGGCTGCCAAAATGCTCGTTGAAGCGGGAGCAGACCAAGCCGCTCGGGATAACGATGGCCGCAATATGCTTCATCACATCTTTGCGTCTCACCGTTCCACTGTCGAAAGTTCCCCTAAGCTTCTCAGAACATTGTGTGATATCCTAGATCCTGAAATTGTTCCAATCCTTGCGCAACAGAGGTCCCGCTTAGAGATTGACATTAGCGGTCGTATTGGATTCGGTAGGCAGATCCCATTGTCGCAATGGCTTTCGCATGGCCCGGAGACTGAAACAGCCACACTGGAAGCCATTCTTGACATCACAGGTGGAAAAGAGCTCTATATCTTGAATGAACAAGGAAATTACCCCATCCATGAGGTTATCAAGGATCAGAAAATTGATTTTGCACGAGTTATGCTGGAGAGGGATCCTCGCCTAGCTGTTTTAGAAAATGCTACAGGAACGACTCCTTTGGAGGTCGCGGAGAACAGGCTCATATCTTACTTGGTCAATCAATATCGCATGGTGGAGGAAAACATCGGCGAATCCGGAAACTCGAGACACTCTTATAGCTCATCGGCTCCCGTGCCCTACCGTTATTTCCTTAACAGGTGGCGGAGAGAACCCGAAAAGTTCGACCCTTCTCAGATCTACAATCTCAAAGGGGATGGACCATTCATCTCATGGGATGACTGCAAAGAGGGCAAAATTCTACAGTTGCTACGTAGCGCTGCCGCGAAATCGGACAAGAAGAGGATCCTCATCAGCTTGCAGGATTCCAATGAACTTGTGAGGCGCCTCTCTGCTATTAAACCAAATACAGGTGATGCTGGCCGGCGCGCGAATCGGAGTGGTTACTACAACGAAAGCGATGAGGAAGAGCGTGCAAAGAACGACGCTAAGGAACAAGATGAAGTAAAGAAGTGGATGGGTTATCTTTCCAGGAAAAATTTCGAGGTGGAAAGGCTTCTGGAAGAAGAGAAAAATGCCGTATCGAAGTGAAGAACGAAAGGACCCGAGTTGTTTGTTGTGTGGCCGGCTCGGGGCTTGTATGTATTCCACGTTCACCGGATTGTTTAGAATCTGTAATGCTTCTCGGGGATTCTCATTCTCTGCTGTTTTAAACCTGTTTCGAGAACTGACAGCTTCCTCCTCCCTTATTCTCATCCTCCCCCTGATTCACTATGAAACCTTGGAAAGAGACACGATTTCAACGCATGCATGCACGTTTCACCTGGTGAAGAGTTCTAGAAAAAATAAAATCACTAATGGATGAAACCATTATACATACCTACCTATATATCCTGGTGCCTATTCTCTGGAAAATAGCTTTTACGAGCACTCACCGTGGATATCAGTCAAGGGATTTCTTGCAACGTGCCGCAACTCAGCTAAACCGAAATTGTTAGTTCGATGCCGCCTCAAAAATACTAGTACTATGAATAACTAGTTAACTAAGGTTTAAGATTAGTTACAATAAGAATAACCTATTATGAGAGTCACGAGGCGAAAGCTCTCTGAGTTTTTTCAGCAAGATCAAGCGATATCGCATAACAGAGTTTTTTTTTCCCGATGATGCATGTGAATAGTAACTGCTCTAGGTTCAACGTACCTAGGTTGTAACGGGGGCGGGTTGAGTTTGCGGCCGACAAAAGGCACAGGCAGCTGACTTCTTTATCTAATTAATTAATCAATGATGAGTTGAGAAAAATAATTAGTTAGTTAAGAGGACTACTAAGATTCATAAAAAAAAAAAAAAAAAAAAAAAAAAGCCCATCTATGACATCAGGGGGAGAGCTGCTTTTCATTTTGCAACGAAATTAATGCCAAATATAAGGCGTGTGTTATGGATGAAGACCAAACAGAAAATGAACGTGAGAGTAACGGAGTAATCTGACGCGGGATAGAACCCCAATGCAGAAAAAACTGAATTACATCGAGCAGCTGATGCAAATCATCTAACAGGGTATATCCCCGGATATATTTATTCATATATGATGATTTATTAACTAGTTATTTGTTGTGATGAGTGATGATTATTATTATTTTTCATGCCGTTAAAAAAGGCCCGCTTGTTCAAACACGCGGCGTAACGTCGCATCAAATAGCAGCAATTGGCTGGGGATCGGGGCCCGCCACCAAATCGACTTTTCGATTGCGGATTACGATGCCAACAGATCCCCCCCGTATCAGATTCGCAAAGTTTAACCCGTAATGGAGCTTCCATTGTATGCAGGAGTTACCTGGGTCGGTGGCTTTCTTTCGTCATGGCTTGCTTGCTGCTCCCTGCAGCGCGTTGCTGCCGGTCCAACTTTAAACCAGCATTCCCCCCAGTTTAAAATATCAAACCAGCGGAGCAGCTTGCTTGGCTAATTTCCTGCTTAAAGTACGTTTCAGAAACGCGCCTGATATTCATGTGTTTTTTTTTTTTTTTCGATTTTTTCTTTTTTTTTTTTAACAAAAGGTAACTAACTAGTTAGCGAAAAACAAATATTAGAAATCAACAACAGCTTGAAAGAAAAGAAAATGAATGAATAAATAAGGACGAAATAAACCTTTATGGAATAAACTGAAGAGGAAGAAACGCCTTTTGCTACAGTAGTAAGGCTCATACGAAGTGGATGATCACCTCACCCGTTTCGCCACATTGCCACGCTGTCATTCTTGTCTCCGAGTCTGCTTGTTTGCCCGTATCAGTCAAAAGCCAGACAGTTTGGTGAGGATTCAGCCCTGTAGCAGGAGTGTCCTACCGCCTATCGCAGGCGACGGTAGTTAAAGGCAAAGGCAGCCTCGGGCAGGGATAAAAACGGTTTTTTTGTTGCCTGCCAGCCTTCAAGCATACCTAGAAGAGTTTCGGGCAAGGCAATAAAATTTAGGACAACAAGATTATGTTTTTTCTTTTGCTTCTCTGAAAAGCATGTTTCCCGAGGTTTATGAGGGAAGATGGCGAATCAGAAGCTGGCGCAAGGCTCCATAGAGGAGCTTCAACCAAGAAACGCGAGCGGCGTGGATGTTGCTTCGCGGTATTTATTTTGATTTTTCCTTTCAGGAGCATTTTTCCCCTGGCGCCAGAAAACTTGAAAGAGACAATAAGAGCTGAAGCTTGTTCAGCGGGAACTTCCGCTGAGCTACGCGTGGATCATCATCATTCTTTGCATTTGTGGGATTGAATAGTGCAGCTGGCGTTGCTCCTGGAGTGGTTGATGGTTGATATTCCATTCAAAAAGGACTTGAGTATTCGTGAGCATTATCAGTAGTTCGTTAAAGACAGGGGTTATTTTGTTTATTGGTGATGGGGATCATGGACGGTGACCTGGCAGAGGCTGAACGGCTTGATCACCCATTCACCCACTTTCGCTCTCTCTCTGAGCTCGCTCAGCAACCGTTGTAGTTGTTGTTCCAGTCATTCTGCTCCCGTTGTCGTCGACGCGGTGGTGGTGTCGAATATAATAAATAAGTGGCGGTCGATCCCCTCTGTGCTAGTCCTGACTAACCCGCCCACTGCCCGATTTGTTGTTCTCCTCCACTTTGGCTGCGACTCCATCCAACTCACAACTCACCCTCGTTTCCTCTCCACCTCCACCACCACCACCACCACCACCACCACCACCCTCCTCCTCCTCTCCTCCTCTCCCTCTCCTCCTCCTCCTCTCCTCTTTTCCACCCCTCTCTTCCTTTTCCTCCCTCCTCTAGCGCGCTCGTTTCTCTCCTTCCACACCCAAAGACCAGGCCGCCCGGTCGGCTTCTCCAGGTCTTACGGCCGTTCCTTGTCAACCCATGACCCCTTTCCCTCCCTCGGTCCTACCGTTGATCATGCTGTTTTGGTCGACTCCATAACCAATCGCACCCTAGACCAACTCATACGCTCCCCAATCTCTGGTTACTGGAGCTATCCTGTCACGTCTGTGTCGTCGTTAAACCGTCTCGTCGTCACTCCCCTCCCGGCCTGTCAGCCATCACGTCAGTCATTGCCGCGCAGCTTATCCACCAATTTGTGCCGTCTGTTCGCGCGCTGAGACCACCGGCATCTGCTGCCATCGCTTGTCGACCTACCAGTTACACCAAGTAGGACGCCTTGTCAGTGTTCCTGGTGGCGCGTGCTCTGTCTAATCCATCGTAGCGGAGGTGGGAATAACAAATCGCCATCGGGTTGTCTTGCTGCTCCCTATACCTGCGGAAGGCACGTTTGGCCGCAGTTCACCAACACACCAGCAAACAACCTCTCATTGTCTCAATTGCCTCTGCCCCCGCTGCTGATGCATCTGTTACTGGTCTAACAGAACTGTGCAAACGCGTTGCTGGTCGATTACTCTTGTTGTCTTTCCTTTTTTGCCTTGTTTTTGTTTTTTGTTTTTGTGGTTGTTGTTTCCCTCGAAGCTGGGTGTGTTGTCCCTCCCTGCTTTCAACAGACCTGCTGCGCATCACTCTTCATTCGAACCCGGATTTCCAAATTGCAGCGCACAATCGGTCTTCGCGTTCACGAAACCTCAACAACAGTATACAACGACAGACAATACAACGCTCAATCGAGTTCACAGCTACCGTTTGTGAACCCCTTGACTACAATCACTCTCGCGGGACACGTTGAGAAATCCACTACTACGGCTTAAAATCCCTGACTAGATGATTTGGACGACTGGCTATTATATTTTATAGAAGTGGGTAAACAGATATTCGGTTTTCAGGTGTCTGTGCGGACAAATGTTCAGAGCCTGAAGTACTAAAGCACATCCAGTTCCTTCGAAAATTTAAAGCAATTTGGCGTGAAGGGGAAATTGACTTCTGGAACACGAATATTTGAGTCATCATCACTTCACCCTCTTGCTGCTTTATTCTCTACGGGGAAAGGCATGTCGTCTGCTATGCAGACAGTTTGCCAGCATAGCACAACTCAGTCGCCTAGCCAGTATGCATCAACAGGATCTCCGAGACAACCACTTCGCGAACCATCAGTTGGGCCACGCCAGTCGAGCAGGCACCAGACTGATCATGCTGGCGCACTCAACCCTCCTGCTAGCCCTGACCAATTCTACTCCCCTCCCTCCGCCGTTACTTCGACAATGAATTCCCCACAACATCTTCCATTGCCTCCCTCCACTCGTGGCTCCCCTATTACCCCAACTCCGGGTCAAGCGTCGAGTAGTACGCGGCCACGCCCGACCCCCACACTATCTGATGGACCTGGTTCTCCTCCGATCCCCCCTCCTCGCACATCATCAAACCAACGAAGTCGCACATCATCAACTGCGCCATCTGCCAATACCTCCACGGAACGAGTAGCGAACTCCAAACATTCTAGGCGAAGGGGAGATGGTGCACGAGATCGTGGGGACCGGGACCATGCGCAGACAAACGGTAGGGACAAGGCGAATGATGATGCGGAATCATCCGCTGTCAAGCGTCGAAAATGCCCACATTCGCCGGATGTTCCACAACGAGCTGCGAGCACACGAGAGCCGAGGGATCACACCTCGCCTTCTGCGATGGAAAGTAGATCTGAGGCTACAATGGGACCAACTTCGATTCCCACTGGCGCTGATAAAGAGCCAAGTACGGTGGTTAATCGAATGGTCATCACAGACCCTGCAGTAGATAATGCGCGAGAAAAGGAACGCCAGGCGGAAGCTCAACCTGACCCAGAAACCTTGTCAGGACTGGGCCTTGTTAGCAGTGAAGGGGTCGACGACGGGGGCCGCGGTGCTCGAAGCCGGCACGATTATTCAAATTCCTCATCAAGGCGAAAAGAAACTACTTTTGGTGACTATGTTCTTGGTCAAACCATTGGTGAGGGTGAGTTTGGAAAAGTTAAACTTGGTTGGAAGAAAGACGGCAGCGTGCAAGTCGCGATCAAATTGCTGAGAAGGGAGAGCCTTGGGAACAACCCCAGCCGCCTCCCGAAAATATATCGCGAAATCTCGATTTTAAAAGAGCTTTCACATCCAAATATAGTCCGACTTCACGAGATGGCAGAGACCGATCGACATATTGGTATTGTTTTGGAGTATGCATCTGGGGGTGAATTGTTCGACTATATCCTTAACCACCGGTATCTGAAAGACAACCCTGCTCGTCGATTATTTGCCCAACTAGTTTCCGGCGTAGGTTATTTGCATAAGAAAGGTATTGTTCACCGAGATCTCAAACTCGAGAATCTAATGCTCGATCGAAACCGCAATATCATTATCACAGATTTTGGTTTCGCGAACACATTCGACCCCACAGACGAACTGGGCGAAGAAATTGAATATAACCTGACAAATAGAGAATTCGTGAAAAGGATGAAGCTAGATCGGCCCAACGCAAAGGGCTTAAGGCGCGGTGACCTTATGCAAACTAGCTGTGGTAGTCCGTGCTATGCCGCGCCAGAACTGGTCGTCACTGATTCATTATACACCGGGCGTAAGGTTGACGTTTGGAGTTGTGGAGTTATTTTGGTGTGTCTAATGATCCCTTTTATTTGTGCAAATTTCGGTTTTGTTTACTAACATGCGTTTGTCCAGTATGCAATGCTTGCTGGCTATCTCCCTTTTGATGATGATCCCGCAAACCCTGAGGGCGATAACATAAACCTTCTTTACAAATATATTGTAACGACACCTCTCACTTTTCCCGAGTACGTCACACCACACGCGCGAGATTTGCTGCGGCGCATCCTTGTCCCGGATCCGCGAAAACGGGCAGATCTCTTCGAAGTTGCGCGACATAGCTGGCTTGCAGAGTATGCACATGTGGTATCGCACATTACCAGCAATACTACTAATGTGGCTGACATTGCAAACACCACTGTTCCTGCTGGTGAGTCCTGTTTATTTTAGATCACATAAAAGAAAACAGATTCCCGGAAGTTTGACTCTCAACTTTTCCTTTATTCCTTGAAAATCGTACGATTGCTAAACCATTCTACAGAAGACCAACAAGAGACCCCATCCCTTGCTCGTAGCGCTTCTGTTAGAGAACCACCCAAAACTCAGCATCACAGCAACGCTTCACCTGTGGGAGGCCTCAGTCACCATACAGGGAAAATCTCTCAAGAAGATGAAAAACCTAAAGCAAGGGATGCGAAAAGGAGAACAGTCCAAGTCGAATACGTGCCCCCTCAGTCTCAAACTGCTCGTGGTGACTCAACCACCGCCTCTTCTCCTCTGAGCCCAATATCAGGTCCTGCAGGTTCGTCGCAGGTTCAACCAAAATTTAATAACCAAGAACCCCCAACTTCAAGCACAGAAGGCGCGGCCGCAGCCACAACAACGGCCGCTTCACGGTCTAAACCATTGCCGAAGGACCCGCCTGTAAACACCCATTCTACCAGTCATAACACAACAGATCGCCTTCAAGGTAGGCCGCATTCGCAATATGGAAACTTAGCGCAATCGATCTCAGACCTAACTGGTACGTACTCTGGTATTCAAGGTACTTTACCCCAAACAACCCGACCTCGAACTGGCGGGTCCCTGGCTTCTACCGGCGCCGGGAGATATGACAGCCGTTTGCCGTCCAGAGGTTCTTACAGTCAACCCGCCGCCCCAGCGGTCGCAACAACCAATGTGCAGGGTCGGCTCGCTCAGCCCAAAAATGCCACAGCCTACAGTATCTCTCCGCCTACCACCCAGCAACCTGCAGAGAGTTCAATTGATCAGCCCAGTACAAATCTGGACTATAGCGTTGCCCAGCAACAAGAAGCACAAACCAAGAGCCATAAGCGTTCTAGCACCGTGAGTAGCATTGGTGAGAAGTTGTTTGGGCGATCCGGCTCTATATTTGGTGGAAGATCATCTCAGCATGGGCAACGACCAAATAAACGCTACCCTCCAACTAGCATGAAGGAACCGATTGTCTCGGATGAACCGCGAGCGTCAATGGATTCCCGTCGATCAATTTCTCATCCTTTTCATCGGAAACTGGTGGATTCCAGCCAAGAGCATACTACGAAACAACGAAGATTTTCTCTCTTGCCTGCGTCGTTTTCTATGAAAAACTTCTCATCCAGCAAAGAAACGCCCCCCGCTGCTGACTCTCACATGGCCCAGGTTAACGATTTTCTCCACCCTCCAATGAGTCAAGGTCATCAGCAGCAGCCCCAACAGGTATCAACTTCCAATGCTACCTCACATTCTCACCATCCGACCGCCGGTCACCACACCCAAGTCGAACAAGGCCTTACCAACGCCAATGACCAATTGGATATGATGAATTACTCTGCTCAAATCGACCAACAGTTTGCGACCCTTCACGCTGAATCGGACCCCCAACACCAGAGAAATCCATATGGATCACCTCACATTGCTGCTGAGCAATATTACCAAGAGGAACCCCATGCTAACTCTTCTTCAGCGAGATACCTCACTGAGCCACAGAATTCCGGTTACACGGAGCAGTTTATGCCCAGTTACCCGGAGGGATATAATCCGGGCCATAACAATGACAATGGTTCTCGGCAGTCAATACAGCCTAACCACCAGTCTGGGAGGGTCTCCAATGTTCTCCAGAAGAACAATCGCAAGTTCGCTGATGCCTACGAATATGAGAAAGATCCGTCACATCATTCTGGTAGCTCTGGGGCTGCAAGAAGAGTTATGGACTTTTTCAGGCGAAGGGGCAAGTACCGTGCTGGCGATCATCAGTGAAAAAGAACACCTGTTTGGCTAAATGCTACAGTCGCCAGGTATCACCTTGGGGAAACTACATGCCATACAAAATTTCAGCAGCAGGAGAAAAGATAGAAGACCAATGAAAGAGAGAACGCTTTGTGGTTGGCGGATTGGTGCTTTCATTCTATTGGGGATTATAAGAGCCACCAAGGTTGATGGTGGGAAGCAAGCGGAAGAGAATACGACGGAGGTTTTATCTTCCCCGTTCCCGCAACAAAAAACAAGTTTCCCCATCCCCGATTCATCGTCTCCTTCACATACACACAGACGTCTAAATTCTATTCGTGGGGACGACCAGAAGGGCGAGACAAGAGTCCCTGAAACGAACCTATTCTGAGTCGAGGATCCCAAATTACCTCACCGGCGCTTGTATCATCATCACATTTACCTTATTTTCTACCACTTGATATCCTCTTCGAAACTTGTTTTTCTCTAATATGAATTTATTCCCCCTTAGGCGTGTTTTCTACTTTGATTGTTTTCTTTTTATCTTATTTTTCCTCTTTCCATTGGAAAACCGATTGTCTCCGCCGTTGACCCCCCCCTTGCCCCAGATTTTAAAGCTTGAGCCTGAACTATTTTGGTGAATGAAAACAAATTCCCCTCAAAGTTCTCTATTTCATTTGTTCTTTTCTTTTCCTATGTTTAGTCCTTTGTTTCAACTTTTTTCCTTTGTTCAAAATCCTCTTCTGTTATGTTTATTCTGTCTGCTGTTGTCTGTTGCCCTCTTTCCCTTCCTGGGGCCTTTTTTTCATGCTCTTATATGTTTTCCCTCTCTTCTCTTATCATCTTACCTGGATTCCTGTCTCTTTTCTTTTCGTCTTGAAACTTTGTGTCAATAAATATCCAAATGTGTTTTTCTTAATTAGGTTCTAGTACTTTCTCTTTTCTCTTTTTTCTCTTTTTCTCCTCCCTATTTTCGTTAAGATTCATTATTTATTTCCTTTGTCAATGCTATTACAAGTGTCTTTGTTTTTTCTTCCCTTGATTTTCTCATTCATCTGGATAAACTAAACAAAGCTCATTTTCTACATCATTTTTCTTTTTCTTTTCTTTCACGTCCCTTTTCTCTTCTTAAACCACTCCTCGTGGGTTTTCTTTTTCCCTTTCTACAACTTAAACAGATTACTTTAAACACGGTCAACAAATGAACTGCCGTATTTCTTTTCTTTTTCTTTTCTCTCATTAATTGATTGATTTGTTCATCAATCGCTAAATCCCTCTACCTTTCCGGATTGTGTGACCTATTCCCATTTTGTCCCCCATCCCTTTGTATCTCATACGTGTGCTTTAAACCTCATTCTACTTCCTTTCTTCTCAAGTATGTTTTCTCCACATATCAAATATCAAACAAAAGCTATGAACATTCTTTTTATTTTCCCTTTTTTTCATACTATTTTTATTTATATTAGTATTTATTTAACTCCCGGTCATTCGAATTCAACTAAGGTTTTCTTTCTTTTCGTTTAATTTTACTTATCTACTTTGTAGTTGATTTTTATTAGGCTTAACTGGGAGAGATAATCATCTCCTTTTTGTCATTTGTTTGATAATAAAGGTCGCAGGGTCGTGACTTGCATTAGAGCCCTCGCATTTTACAGAATAACGATTGTCTTCATATGATGGGTTTTACGCTTACTTTTCCGTCCTCACTTATGGACGACTACATTACGCTTTGGTGGATTAACGATATTCCCAGTTCGGTTCTTTTCATACATAAACGAGCGGCAATGCGCTGGTATGATCGATTATTGTCGTAGGCTCCTCAGCATGGCACGGCTTCAGTGAACTTCTCACCCTTTTTCTTCTACCCACTATATAAATTTCTTCAATGGAATTACTTTTCAAAAAGACAACTTTCACTAACCCAATGGAACCCTAACATGTTCCCATGTGCCAGAAATCAGAGCATCGCACAGGGGCATGATCAATTTTAACTACCGCCATCAAGGCTCTTCGAATCAGGAGCTCGCTACTCGGCACGTCGTCAAAGATACCAATCATGAGAAAACGCATCTAACAACGAAGGGAAACACGAGAAACTTCCTCAGCTCTGGGCCGCCGCCATGTCACCCATTGGGATGCCAAGATGAAATACAACTTCTGCAATGCACATCCCCCCCTCCCCCCTTCTGGACTTCCACTTCCTTTCTTCTCACAGAATCTTGAGCAGGAATGCCGATGCGGGTACAAATGTGACGTAAAGCTACTACTAGGGTACCAAACGCGATGTACGGACCCGCGATACACTGTCTATGGTGAACATTTCGAGTGTACTCTTCACAAGAACAAAGAATCAGCGCTGCCGTTCCTTAGAAGCTGAATACATACATAGCGGAACGGTGGGGGGGTGAGGGTAGGACAAGACACAACGTGTGTTACATACACCTGGCTGCCGGGAATTCTTGAGGTTTGCTGTTCGACAGCTCGTGTAACTTAGTAGAAGAGCCAAGAGGGGCTCCAATGGCGCATTTTTGGCAATTGGCACAGGTAAGCATTCATCTTTCTTTCTTTCTTTTTTTTCCTTCTCATCTTGTGATGCATCTTGCAGGCAGACTACTGCTGTGTGACGGCCTTTAGTTCATTCTAGACACCCTATTTTTATATAACCCCGTCATTTTATTGATTGACGTGGGGTCTGCTCTATCTCAGCTTATCGGATCACAACCGAAGCCTAGGCCCATCATTCTGCAGTCAGAATTGGCTCACAGCTCACAGCTCACACAACCTGAGCCCTGAGAATCCGTTTCCAGCCTCCGCCTCCGGCTTCCTGTCCCTGAAAATAATGTTCATCATGTTGCTCGACCGTGGAAGCGAGCTGCAGCTCTCAGTAGCACTCAAGCCAGGAACAACGCGGGGCCAGCCAGACTCTTTTACAAAGGAGAATCCTTCCTCGGCACAGGTCAGACAACAAAGCTTTTTGCTCAGTGTCCGAAATATGTTGTGGACTCGCGTGAGAATTACCTCCTCAACCATCTCATCTGATGATGCGGACCTGAAAGCTTTATTTATTTTTATTTTTTTTGAAAAGTCAAAAATCAAAGACACAAAACAATAGAAAATAATCCCAGCCTTGCGATTTGTGGGGGAGTTAAGTTAAGACTTTCCGTTTCTTGCACGAGTAAACACCAGAAACTTTCGCCTCCACGGAGTTCCACACTAGTGGGCCCACGCCCGAAGGCAAATTACTTTAATTCGCTGGCAGGCAAGCCTGATGTTTACCTTGTTTTGTTGAACCAGATAGCGTCGAACCAAGGATCTTGACGGCTTTGTATTTACTTTAATTTTCCTCTTTTTTATGATTGGTTATTGGAAGAAATTGAGACTGGCTTTTCTCACTGAAGTAAAAGAGAAAAGGAAAAAAACAAAGCTGGGACAACTGCACGAGTAGTTATCTGTATGTAAACATTGGTGCATTCTGTTGAGAATTTGGCACGAACTAATAATGAATTAAATCACTATCTAATATTATTTTGCCTAGAGTAGAGGCGAAAACAATACAGGGAAGAAATCGCATGAGACGGTAGTGGCCCTTGTCTTGTTATTGTTATCTTGACCTCGTCGTGATTTGTCTAGTTCTAATTTTTGCTGAGCTGTCCGGAAATATCAAATTTCAGGGCAGGTTCTACTGTCAACGAAAAATTTCGGCAGGCTTCACCCCTCCATCTCAGGAATGAGAAGAGACAACGAGGAAAAGAAAACGAAAGGAAGGAAATGATGAGGGGAAGGAAAAACGAAAGGAAGTTGACCGGCCGTTGTGAATCATCATCCATCTTAAACGGCACGATCCGCATGTCAAATATCCATTTCAGTCTGTACTTAAGACGTATGGGTGCAAACACAGTCTAGGAGAGAATAGCTCAGCTGAATGACAGGGAGGGAGGCGAAGCCAAGGGCAGGCATTTAAACCCCTAGCCTGAGAAATCCGCTTTTAATGTCGGTCGACGCAGTAGAGCTGGCACTGTTGGAGCGGACGGATTTTTGCGGCAGGTGCGAGGCCAAGATTCCATTTTCATCTGATGGGATCTGAGGAGAGGAGAGCGGGGTCGGTGTTGTGGAATTCATTCCTTGGGGTCGGGCAGTGGGCGTTTGCTCATGCGGTACGAGGACAAGAAATTTCTGAGTTTCGGTGTGGGAATACATGATGAGCGGAGATGTGTGCTTATATGAGAAGGGAAGGATTAAAACAAGCTGTGATTTTCTTGGGGCTTTTTGGTGGGTATTTTAACAAGGGAGACAGCTGGTATCGAGATTCCTGTGGTATGGATGGTATGAGAGAAGACGATCGAAAGCCTGTTGGAAGACACCGTAAAGTTTAACAAAGAGCGTAGTCTTGAGGGGGGAAGTTGGATTTTCACGGGGACAAGTTGGTAGAACACATTGGATTTGAAAAACGAGTTCAAGGGAGTTTTTCTCCTCGAGGGAGAGGGTTCTTTATATAGTTAGGGACCCTGGATTCAATTGAAAGTTTCCATGTCCGGCGGGATGTCAGATGATTAGGACCCTCAAAGCGGGGCCCTCGTTTTCTCGAAAAGCATAACGGGGAGTATCGGGATGGACTTCCCATATGGTTTCTACAAGCTCGCAATTCCTGTTCTATCATCTCAGTGGATAAAATGTGTAAAAATGGCGAATTTACCCCGCGTACAACCGAACCAGGTGATGTCCTGTATCCCCAGTGGAAGATGTTTGGCTAACCTCGGATGCTGGATCTATGCCAAGAATTTCCCCTGGCTGAGACATTGACAACAAAAGCTGTGATGAAGAAAGAAGGACATGAGAACAGGATGCAACATGCCCTCCAGACACGATAAGCCTTTAGGTGATATCCTGGAGCGGGAGGCAGGTATGGGTAATTAGTTAGCAGGTACTGGTAGTTATGTTATGAACAACTACTCGTATACTATATGCGTCTGAACTAACCCATGGCGATCTATCAAGGACATTATGGTCGATTCGCCTCAATCTTTCGGTTTTAATTAAAATCTGGTATCCCTTGTATCATTGATATCCTTTTGGTACAGGTTCAAGAAGAAATTTGAACGCATATGGGTTTTGTGTTTGTGCTAGTACTGGAGTACTCATTGATTTATCGAGTCCGGAACCCCAAGTACAGACAACAAAAGCGATTGGTATCAGTTTGACGAATGATCGCGATTGAGGTAGGAAACGATTATCTGGCAACTGTGGGTGCCGCTGTGCGGAAAGTCACTGCTCGAAAGCGAAGATGAGGGTTGTGCAAGGACATTGTCGATTGATCTGAAAACCAACTGGTCTTGCGTGGATCACCTGATTCCTCCTGACAATTTTGAGCCTCAGGCAATAGGTTATTTCAACAACAAGAGCAGCAACGGTTGATGCCCCGGGTTTCTCTTCCTCGATAATCCAGCGCTTGTTCGACTGTTCGGCATACTGTTAGGCATAATTGCCATCTGCTGCGGTGATCTCCAGCTTTATATTTCTTTGTGCGCCTTGCGGAGATCTGAAATCCCTACATCACCTATGCGCCTCTCCTATTCCTTTAAAGCCGGTCGACTACAGCCTCAGCCTCATGAACAGCTTTGTGGCGTTGATTTACGTTGTTTGCTCATGGGTATTCCGTTAAGACAGCCAGAGGCTATTGGCAAAGACGATCAAAGGATACTAGTAACAGGCTTTGGGTTAACCCCATCAACCAACAGTGTTTTTATTTGATCCAGCGTGAAGAACACTGAACAAACCATCATCATTCGAAATATGCTTAACCAGGGGAAGACCTTCCAGCCCATTTTTCTCTGTTGTACGCACATGCGCCTCTAGATGAAATTGATATGAAATTTCGTTTTATTCGTCTCCAATTTTCCTACGGCGGTAAAATGTCAGGTCCAACCCCAGTTGGGGCCCAGAAGGAAATCTATTTGACCCAATGGCCTCGTACAAACTAAAGAAAGGCACAGGCTACAACAACTTATGAACTGCAGCGGATCATCAACAAGGTTGAAAGGCCCTAAAAAATCCCCATTTCGTTGGCCTGTTCTTTTGGGAAGCGTGAAACGATCCCTTGCAGACTCTTCCTGCGCCAAGCAATTTTTATGGCCCAACCGCGCCAAAAGAAATTTGCATGTTTGCGGCTCTCAACTCCAGCAATCGTCATATTTGCTCTTTTATTCGCCGTTGGTGGCACAGGTGCTAATCGTTGCGTCTGTCTCTTCTATCACTTCTAATTAACACTATTTTTGCCCTCCACCACTCAAGTTACAAAGTTAAGGTGTCCGATCGATTTAACAGATTACATCTCCATTTTGTCTGGCGCAGTCGTCCTGTCCTCATCTTGTTCTTCCGAAAGAGCTATCAATGGCCTCCATCCGCGTACTCTACAACTAAATCACACTATTGCCTTAAAATTATTTTCTTGAATAATGTCGATTGCCTGCTGTTAGTCTGCAGGGGAAATCCACCAAGCTTCCACGTACGGGAATGATACAATGAACGCGGACAACAGTCGATGCCCAATTTAGGAGATGCTGAAACAGCAACTCCCTGGTTTCGCGAACGTCGTAATGGCGTCTATATTTGCAGACGTGCACGTTTCTTCTCACTAGTACATTGTTTCACAGATGACAAGATTATCTGATATTTTGATATTGCGCGGGCAATATATCTATTTTCATACCTCCAAGCCACATGTCAGTTTGTTGACATCCAACGAAACACTCCTGGCCAATGATCCCAATAGCTCATTTGTCCTCATTGCTCAAACGCCTCTCATCTTCTCTTCGAAGACCCGTGTGGGCCGCTGCGGTCACCACCGATGTGCCAATTTGTCGCTGTGGCACCATTTCCGGATGCAGTAGTTGCTCTGCCTTTTTATTGGTCAGAAAACTCCTCAGTTTTCTGATATGCCCTGAAGCTTAAAGGACTTTTGATAGGTGCTGCCGTTTATGTGCGACTTCTGTCTAGCAAGTTGCTCCGAGTTGGTTTGAAGCAGTTTCTATCCCTGCAGAACGTTACTTCGGCTGTGCCGTTGTTCATATTCCTTAGAAGTCTTGAACTTCACCACCAACAATTCCACAACCATCTCATACCTAGAGCCTTCGTTTGTCCTGGAATCCTAGCAGGCAGCTGCATGCCGCCATTCTTCTGAGAAGGCGTGTTCGCTGCGCTCTCTTCCCGGCGATATCCTATTCCAGAATCTTTGGTCACTGTTGGACTTTTAAAATTGCACAGCTGAACATCATGCTTGTCGAGCGGAAGCCTGGAAAACCGCCTTAAAATAGGAGATTTCCCGCATATTTCTGCATATTTAAACAACACTCGACCCGCTGATTCTCATTATTTTTCAACGATATCCATCTCCATCTCCATTTACACATCTTTCTGCCTTGGGTATAAACAAATTTCATTTTGGTTATCTTTATCCGATTCTCAAGCCTACGATTAAACTTGCCTCAACAACTATGTGTACTTGCACTCAATGGTGGTACGAATACACGTGCGGGTGCGTATTGCGCGTCGGCGTGGTAGTGTGCCCAGAATGTAAAGCAAAAGAAGGAACAGACAAGGAGGGAGAAGGACAGAAGATGATCGACAAAACGAGAAAGGCGCCTGGGAAATGCGAAGACCACGGTGGCTCCCCGAGGTAATCTATTCCCAATGTCATCCCAGGCTTATCTTGAAACAAAGGTCATTCGCTGAGAATTGTTTAGCACATTGAAACTCTAAGCATTCCATGATCTATATCCAAACTTAGCCCAGCACCATCTGTCCCGGTCGTTTTACACTTCAACTATTTCGGCCTTTTCTTGATGCTCTCCCTTATCGATCCGTTATCATCCTTTTGCGTGGCGATCGAACAAACGCGGCAGCCAAATCGGCTCTAGGGCCTCAGTTATCTCTTCCAAACGGCTATTTTCAATACCCCGTGCAAGCCGGCCCCCTTTCAGTGTTTCTAGCAGCTGTATCCGCCAGTGTTATGAGTGAAAATCTTTGAGAATTAGGGGAATTCCATCGCAGATATCTTTAATTCGAATATCGCCAGTTTCTGCATAGCATCTATTCTCCTCGCTTGTTGTTCTCCCCGCCTCCCCTAGCGAACCAGGGCGATATCACATTTTCCATTCCACTAGCGAAAATGCCCAACCCCTTGTTCTTCGATATGCAGCTCAACTTTCTTACTCCTGTACCCCACTTTTGTATCGGTGCCTTATGACTGAAATTTTCGGGACAATGTTGCTTTTGAAGGCTAAATACCCTCTGCTTGGTAGCATGCGCATGCACCCATCTAGGAATGTATTACTTTTTTAAAATTACAACTACGTTTTTTCTTCGGCTATTCTGTTTACCAGCGCATGCGAGCAAATTCAGCATTGAAAACTCCAGGGCAACGCAGTGTAGGAAAATAAAGAATTTTCAAACGACGATCGTTAAAATCGTAATATCTATCCCTTGCAATCGCCGTTTTCGTGCGACTGGATGCCCTAAACGATTGGGCGTACTGCACATACACACACACACACTCTCTCTCTCTCTCTCTCTCTCTCTCTCTCTCACTCACTCACTCACACAACTCTATTTCAAAGCCCAGGTCAAAACAATGTATTATGCATTCGCCGATAGATTTAATCTAAGTGGGTGCGGCGCGTGTGCTAGTATAGTACCGATCCCACGTCACATTTATTCCTATTCCTAAACATGAATATCGGCTTGACGACATTCCCCCCGACCTCCTTTCTTACGTGGTACAAGTAAACGTCAACATCCACATTCAGTCGTGATGTTGTCAACACCAATGACAAGATGAAAATTGACCAAAAGCCGTAGAGCGGCACGGGCCGTGGTTGGTTTTGAAAGCGTAGGCCACAATGAAATTAACAAGCCTGAGAATGTGTGGCATGGAGAGAGAGATCATATGCCGAAGTCGTCAAAAGGCATGTTCTTGTAGAATTTTGATTCATAGATATCCCCTCCGTACTCGAACTACAACTCCTCGTAGCATTTTTGGCCAATGGCGAGGTGCTTGAGAGGGCTAGCTAACCAGCGAGGGCTGACCACCGGCCAAAAATAAAGTTTGCGGCAAATCAACTCTGCCAGCCTGTTTCGGCCGGCAGCCTCTTTGAAGCAGGTCTACAGGTGGCCTACACGTAGATCGTGCGGCACAGTGTGCGTTTTGTGCCGGTTCCGCGAATACACGCCGCATTAGCTTGTTTTAAAAAATTGATGAGAAGCCCATGCTCCGGCCACTGAGCGGCCACAGCTTTGGAAGGGGGATGTAGTCCGTTTATTCTGCCTTGTTTTAGGTTGGTGTAGACAATTTCTTTTTGATCTCCTTCCCTTTTTTTTCCCGATCTCCTGCTGCCCAACATCAAGAACAGGAACAAATAAAAATAAAATGTGAACTGACAATTTCACGTTCTAATCGCCTTGGCGGTTAAACTATATAACTTTACCGTTTACGGACGTGGCCGCAATTCTGAACCCATTTTTATAGTTCCCGTTCAATTTATCGTTCTGCACGGGATTTCGTTAAACCAGCCCGTCTTCAGAAAATTGAATACGTTTGCGCTTTCATTTGGACAGCCTGTTGGGTCCATGCAGGAAGATAATGGATGAGCTAAATAAGGCTCTCTTGCAGGAAGGTAAAGGGATGTTATGTGTCAGAACAAGACGAGAAACGCCGGATGGGGTAAGATTGATCGCCACGATGATATTTAGTGCAAATCTGCCTTATTCGGCCACTTACCAGCCCGCACTCGGCTCTGAGAACGTTTCCGGAATGCCGCCAAATACACCGTCTGGTCGAGGAGAGCCTGGGAGATAGCTGAACTGCTTGGGATCGGTCATTCAGGATCGAACCCACGTTGAAATCATACGGCACGAAAGCGGCCAATTCGAGGAAGAATTTTTCGCAGAGGTCCAAAACCCCGTTCGCCTTCAGTTGGTTGGTGAAGTTCGGAGGCTATGCTAGTTGAGGTACTTGTTGATACGAATGTGATGACATATTGTAGCTCACGGGCCGTAAGCATGATCCTTCGTCCAAACTCCTCTCCGCGGCGGAATATTCTGGTCTGCTTTGCTCTAATCTTCCCAATAATCTCTGTAAAATGTACGAGTATTGTACGGGCTCCATTAGTTTCTCCAAGACGCGCGTTCCAGTATGTCAATCATGTGAAATAAACCAACTGAGGACAATGCAGTCTGAAATCGAGGAACATGCAGAGTTGCGATAGAATTGTGGCAACTCCAATAATTTCAAGCAGCAGGAAAGGGTTGGCTGTGGAAGCAGGATACGTTCAGCGCATGAACGAAGGTTGACAGGAGTTTGAATTAGGCATCGTCCTGACCCAACGATATCCCCAGAGAGAGTCTGGCCCCATCGCTCAGAGCCAACTGTCGCTGTGTGACAGATCGGCTGCTTTGGTCGGGTCCTCACTAACACCCTGCATCAAAGCCGGCATAGAATGCAAGTCATGTGATTGTTCGATGATCTATGCGAATTTATTATTTGAGACGGAATTTAAATTGATAATAGTTGAATGAGATGGAAAAGAAAAACATAAAAGCTATTCTACTGAACATGACTCTAGTAGCTTAAAAGATGAAGTGAGCAAAACAGCAGTATTAACTTGGAAGTGTTAGGAGACTCATTCAGAACTGAAACTTCACTACTCCGTAATACATCTAGAGGTTATATTAAGTACTCGGTGGCATTATGCTACTTCTATCACTAACAGGTGTGATTTGGGCTTGTAATATCTTATCAATGGGCGGCGTCACTATGACATGTGAAGCATTGATAAGAGGAGCAAATATTCATTTAATGCATGCAGTAACAACAAGCAAATGACAATAGCACACCTCAGACACCACAATTTATCCAGAGTTCTAACTGGATGGCAGTGGGCACGCTGCGCATTTGAATACTACTAGTCAATTACCAACACCCATGATGATCAACCTTGGAGGAGAAAGCGCACTCATGCCTCTACGCCCAATATTACTGTCGCACCAGATTGCAGCGTGCATTGCAGGTGTTGGTGGATTCCGCAATTGCGAAACTGAATGAACCCGTGGATCAGATGTGTTTTTCGCCGTGTAAACCGAGGCGGACGAAGCTCCTGAGAAGGATACCAGATCTGCTGATCCCCAACTAGAAAGCTGTCAACGCCATTCCAGAGCTTAGATAAATAATGTAGACTGTTTTTTTGAACACCAGCTGATAATAGTACTTAGACGACCATTGTTGAACCTAAATCAGGCATACATTTTGCGTCATATCCGGAGTGCTTCAGGGTTGTTTTATACATGGAAAACGAGGGCTACAATTAACTATATAGCCTACCATTGGTCAAAAGCAAGGGGGTAAGTGATCGGCTTCTACTCCCGTAGTTGGTTAAGATCAAGCCAACTGGCTTACTAACCGCAGGAACTATTTTTCCGTCACTACGCCAACTGAACGGGGGATTAATTCCTTACAACTTCGCTCCAAGGGGCGACTTATACAGCGTTGGCCCAGCCATTTCACGGAGCCAGAATAAGTTTATGGACACATATTCTTTTGTCAACCAACATAATGGCATTCTCGATATCGCCCGTCGAAACTGAGGACGTGGATTCGCTCGCCCGAAAAGTCGAATTTCCTGCTCATCAAGGCAACCTACTCTATCGCTTGATGTTCCCGCGCTCGAAGGAGCAGAGAGAAGACCAAATCAGATGGACGATTGATGGGCTTCCTGAGACAGTTCATCAAGAGGATGAAGCTCTGTACAAGGCGTGTGGAGAAGATGGATCGCCTGTCGGACTTATAGGCTGGACTACTAGTCCAGGAGCCTTTGCAAAGGGAATGAAAAGTAGGGATCACATTGACAGTGGCCGGGTGGTTAGGTCTGGAGCGAAGCAAGGACCAAAGCCGAAAAAAAGGAACAGCTTTAATCCTCCCTCTTTGGATGTAACATCGTGGCTTGTTATTTCAAAAAGGCTCAGGGAAGAGAGGCAAAGAGTTCTTCGGGGCTGCCAAGGCAATGCAATATGCCGTAAGCTATCAGTCAACTTGGATTCCTATGGCCTTGCTCACCTGTCTCCATTAGGAATCACCTTCATGGCTGTGGATCCAAATCATCAATGTCAAGGTGTTGGGTCTATGCTCATGCAGAGTTTCTGTGGCTATGTCGATGAAAATGCACTAGACGCCTTTGTTTTATCCTCGCCTGCTGGTATTCCACTATACTCTAAGTTCGGATTCAAAGCAGTCGGTGTTGTTGAAACAAAGCAAGGAAACTTTACTAGCATGCTAAGGACTTCAGGCCTTAGCCTCTAGGAAAACATGGTATTCGCCTTGGTGAAGAATCAACCAGGGTAGCAAAATTTGACAACACAGTTGCACCACTCGCAGAGATCAATAATAAATTTGGACTGTCAGGAAATAATAACAAGAAGTTCGTGATCGCCTATGTACAGTATCAGGAACATCCATGGTCATTCAGATGATTTCCCTCAGTGTCCTTTCAGCAGTATTCTCTGCAATCGCACCGCTGGTCATCATCAGTACTAACAACCCAAAAAGCTTCAATGAGCTCCAAATCCTTGACCGACCCCCGTATCATGATGTTGGTCTTGCCCTCCGTGATCTCCACGGATAACTCCTGGTCATATCTGTCTAGAGAACGCACGCCAAGTACATTCTCTAACCGTGTTGATGAAGAAGAGCCGAAATTCGGTCAAAGAAGTCACGATCAGGGTCTTCATGGGGCGGACACGGCGAAAAATCAAATTCAAACGGAGCCAAACTTCTGTTGAAGATCCTGAATGTTCGCGGAATGATAAAGCCTTCATATTTCGGCAGTCCACAAGCCGCTAGTTGGTCTCCATCGAAAAATGCTTATGCAGCAGAATGACCCCATACCGTTCATGCATTCCGGAGTCGAGGAAAAGCTGTCTTATAGGACCCTGTAAGAGGTCCTTCGCCTGCGTTTCCTTAAATAGGTTGGCAGCCCCCTAAAGGGATGGCAGCGATTCGTAAGCTTCAGGGATATAGGGGCCCGTACTACAGTCAACAAAAGCTTAAGTTACCAAATGCAAAGGAAGGATGGTTACATCTTTGACGGGCGTAAACGAGTTTGATTGGTTGAGGTGCTGTTTTGTAATGGTTGGATTTAGGGAAGAAATATGGAGAGGATTTGAATGGCATTTTTGGTTATAGTTATCTGACATCATCTACAGCCCAAAAGCCGACGAACTGAAATTAAGTTAGCTTTGAACTATCACTCATATCTAATCATGCCTAATGGCGTAATAGGCATTGCGAAAACCAGAGCCTTCATAATGGCAATGAGGGTAAACCCTAACCGGTCTGCCATAGAATTCTCATGCATGTTGCGAGGACTTCAGTGCTTTTTCTTTTCTTTTCTTTTTTTGGGAAGACACGTGATATGCTTATCCAGAGTCAAACCAACCTCACAAAAAACATTTGGACACAGTCAAACGCAAGAACGATCGTCGAACCTGTTGATGCTTATTGCAGAAATTCGTACGAGTATGTACAGAGACCCTAATATCGTCAGAACTTTCCGGATGGGCAGTGTCAGGTGATGTCCATAGATATTGACTGGGAACGCGCCACCTCTGGCCCAGACGGCGAGCTTCTGGCAGAGCGCATTCGCTCATTCATACATGACAAATTTCAGCAGATAGTTCTGCCCAGATTCATTCGCTCAGTGCAAGTTACCTCCTTCAATTTCGGTACGATACCTCCAGAGCTTGAAATCCGCGATCTCAGCGATCCGTTCCCGGATTTCTATGAGGATGATGACGAAAATTTCTCTGACAGCTCGGAGGAGGGGTCGCCAACGAGGGAGCCGGTTGATAGATATGGGAACAGAGTAGATTCGTGGCAGGCAAATTCTCCAGGAGGACCTGGAGGGCAAATGTATGAATCTAACCAACCTTTACGGATGCCTGCGTGGGAAGAACATACCGGAATATCCCCTCTACGGGGGCCCATGAATTTTGGAGATATAAACCCGTATCTATTTCCCAGATCAGGGACACCGGGCATACCTGGGGGTACCTCGAATCTAGGTTACTACATGCCGCTGAGTGGACTTTCAAGCTCACAAACACCACTGGGAGCAGTAGCTCGTGGCAACCCGTTTTCGGGCGGATGGCCAGATGCTCATGGAGCAAGACCGTCCCGTCGCAGATCAGAAGCTGAACCAGACTCTGCGCAATCTCGACCGTCTACTGCGAATACTGGGAACACACTGCCATCGCGCGACTCAATGAGTATCAGTGATCCACACCATTCCCATGCTTCGCAAGGAATGCCAAATAACCAAGGGCAAGCCCTTGAACCCAACATCCCACCTACTTCTCCTAACCATCCCCTCGACGATACCCCACCCCGGCGAATGCGCGAACAAAAAGCGGAGGATTTCCAAGTCTTCTGTAGGACGAAATATGCAGGCAATATCAGTCTTTCATTAACCGCGGAGATCCTCCTTGACTACCCGATGCCCAGTTTCGTTGGACTACCCTTAAAACTTAACATTACAGGCCTTACATTTGACGCCGTAGCTGTCATTGCGTATATTCGAAGACGAATACACTTCTGCTTTCTTTCACCAGAGGATGCTGATACGCTAATGGGACCGGAAACTGCTGGCGGCGGCGGCGGAGGGGATACGTCGGAACCAAATTCTTCACGACGGAAACCTTCTAGTCTGCTGCGTGAAATCCGAGTGGAAAGCGAAATAGGCAGAAAGGAGAATGGAAAGCAGGCTTTGAAGAATGTTGGGAAGCTGGAGAAGTTCGTGCTTGAGCAAGTGCGCCGGATTTTCGAGGAGGAATTTGTATACCCGAGCTTCTGGACTTTTCTTATTTGAGATATCCTGCGTTTGCAATTTATTCAGCTTTCGATGATGTATTCATATACTCCGTATTTCTATACGTAGTATGTTTTAATTCATATTTGCTTCCAGGGTTCGCCCTTACGTGTGGACAGGAACATTTTAAAATTCTGAGTAGTATCTAAAGGAATGGATTCAGCAAATATAGCCATAATTTTGTTTGAAGAAAATACAACATTTTTAAATGATATTTCTGCCATTAGATTCACAACATACACCTCAACAATTGCAAAATTGGAACTCTCACAACTAACCGCTGCATATGCATCGTTCGACAGCGAAATGAAACAAAAATGTAAACCCCGTTATAGTTCCCTGCGTGATTAGCAAAAACCACACCCCCATTTCTATCGGAATCCTTTGCGTGCTTTCCTATCATCACCAAGCCAAACCCGCAAACGCAATGAGGTCCTAGGCGTTATAATCCATCAAGGAAACGTCCGACTCTCACAAGCCAACTAATTCATATCACCTACCCGCTGCTCCTTCATATCGGTGGAATCTCAACATCTTTTCTTTGAAAAAGCCGTCAACAAATGCTCAGGCCGACCAATCCCCTTGACATTTACCGGTCCTTCTTCGGCGTCGGATCAGGGTTCTGGCTCGAGACCTGATCACTCAACTTTTCGTATTCCCTCGACAAGCCCTCAGCCTGTTTCTTGAGCGCATCGATATCTCTCTCTCGGGCTGCGAGTTCCTTGCGCAGACGGCCAATTTCACCAGCATCGCCCGCCTCAGCCAATTTAGCGGACTCCTTGCCACCAGCCCTCTTGTCGCCTTGTAGTTGTTTCACTTTGTCCTCCAAGCGCAGTACCTCGAGGATCATTGTATAAGTGCGGTTGAGGATGAGGGAGAGGAAAAGCGTAAACCCGCAGAGGTACATGTTGCGCTGAGAGTAGAATTTACGTGCTTGGACCTCCATCCGTTCAGATCCTAGGGCGGCACTTCTGCGCCTTGGTGTAAAGACAGTTAGACATGGGTGAGTTGGAACGCGTTCGGGTTTAAAGGGCTAGAAATTGTGACATACCCGGCTCCACCCAGTTCCTTTGAGTATGCGGATAACTCGAGTTGCACACGGTAGACTCTGTTAACGCTGTCGATGAAGAGGATGAGGATGAAGATAAAGGTAATCTTGTAAGGCACCATGTGTGTCAGTTCCTGTCCTGTTTCTTCCTGGTGGATAGACAGAGAAATAAAGCGCCTACCTTCATGCCATACTGGAGCTTCGCAATAACTGGGCTTTCGGAGATGAAAGTAAACAATTTCTTCTTCACGGTGAAGGGAAGCGGGATGATGAGGCCAACAAAAATGACCATCTCGACGACCAGGAGAAGAAAAACCTATATAGCGGACAACCAGATATTCATTAGCACTCGTTCACACCATAGCAGCTTCCCTGATCTTCAGCAAGCACTTCTCAAACACAAAGGGCCGATCTCCTCAGTTAATACGAACGAGGCTATAATAGAGCGTCATATTTGCAGTCCTTTTGATCCGTTGTACACAGTTTCCTCAGCCTTCTTGCACAGCGGAAGCTCGCTTTACGGGCAAGCTTTTTCTCCCTTTCTTTCTCTCTTTTCACTGCTGTTAACTTCTCTAGCCAAACACGACGGACAAAGTGAAAAAAAGATCCACCAAGCTTAAATACAAAATGACAGAAGAGTCCCCTCGTTACCTGCGTTTTCTTGCTGGCTAGTTTGCGTGAGGCCGGGGAGATGTGGTAGCAAAAACAAGCTTAGGCCAACAGACGTCATCGAGACGGATTTTGCTTTGTTGATAATTATTGGGCGAGCCCATGTGACTTTGCCTACCCTACTCAGCAAGCTAACTAGGCAGACATTTTTAATTTTTGAATATAGAAATTTGAAGAGGAAACGTGGTCAGAATCTCGACATCTACAGAAATTGAATTGCTCATCTCCTATTTATACATATCACGATGGGATATTTAAATGCTCGCAATATACATGGCCAGTAGATCTTACTTGTCGCAGGTCAACCTTCAGCAACGATTTCGTAGCTATTCGACTTATGCTTCGGCTCGAATTTGAAATCTTTATGAGCTGGACCCAGGAACATTTCCCTGTAAAGGATACATACAATTAGTAAAATGACACATCCGGAAAATGAGGAAAGTTTGAAAACTCAACAGCACTCACGAAATTTTAATCCAATCTTTATAATTATCACTTCCAAGAAGAGTCTCCAATTCATTGCGACCCTTCCAGGCGGGTGGGCGATCCTGGATACTCGGGGGAAGATACTCGAGTATGCCCACAGGAATATACCGATGGGTAAAGCTCAAATATTCAAGCAAGAAACGGCGGGTATTGCCAACACCATACTCATCAGATCCCCAAGCCTCAAGCCCATACCGTGCAAACTTCTCCACGAGGGCGAGCCTCTCAGAAGCTGACTTGTCAAGATACTGGCCCTTTTCGATTTCCTCGAATATCCACGGTTTCACTAGCGCACCGCGGGCAACCATGACAGTGTCGACGCCCGATTTTTGAATCCCACTGAAGTAGTCTTCATGAGAGTAGCAGTCGCCGTTTCCGAGGAAGAAAACTTTACCCGCAGAAGGCTGGTCTCGCGCATCAGGTTCCTTGATTGTATCAGTTCCGATGTCGGTTTGTTCGTTAAGTCGTTTGACCAATGCCGCGCACTGTGAAATATACTCCCAGTCTGCCTGGCGCGAATATCGTTGCTGACGACTACGGCCATGCAAGGTGATTGCGGCAACGCCAGCAGGACCCCTACCAATTTCATGAGATTCGACACCACCCATAATTAACCTTTCGATCAGCTTTGTGGCTGTAGGGTTTGAATCCTTGGTACCCATTCGGATTTTCACAGTGATGGGGATCTCGCCGGACACGGCGTTCATTCCCCGTAACATCTTTTCCAGTTTCGAGGCATGATCCAGTAGCGCGGATCCGGAACCTTCTCTAAAGACCATATCGATAGGGCATCCACAGTTCATGTCGATGACGCGAAGTTGCGGGCATAACGCCGTCATGGCCTCAGTTGCTCGGAGCGCCACCCATGGCTTGTTGCCCGTGATCTGGGCGCCGAATTTCAGATCACGAGAATTGTCGTAGTCCTTCACGATGGTCTGTTTCGGGTTGACTGCCGGAGGCAATGTCTCGGATTCGTGCGCTTTCATAAGCGCCCACTCAGACTTGGAGCCTTGAACCAAGCTCATGCTCATTGCCATTTCCGAATAGGTAAGTTGGGCACCAAGATCAACGCAGAGACGTCTGAAGGGCAAATTGCCTTGCGTCGTCAGTGGAGCCAAAACAGGTGTCTCCGGGCCAAAGTAGAGCCGCCTCTTTTCAGAGGGAAGAAATGGAGGTTCTGTATACCGTGCCCTATTATCTTCTTTTTCATCTTTGGAATCAGACGTTCCCTGATCATCAGCATTTCCAGGGGCAGAGGCAAGTTCATCCTGGATGCGCCCATGGAGATTCCTCTCTACTTCTCTGGAGACAGTGTCGATCCAAGTTGTGTAGGAATCAGCCTTAGGAGTTTGGTATCTCTTTTTCGCCAAAGCAAGCTTAGCCTCCGTTGTAACAACATTCACAACCCCATCGACTTCAATTCCGTTCGCTGACGTTGGGTGTTTCATGCGTGAGGCATCTTCCACCAACACCAACTCCTTCCGCCCATCCTCCGTTTCCCTTTCAGCCATATGTGATCCCACAAATCGGCATTTCCAGCCAGAAGGACACCTTCCTTTAGCTCCCCATACGGGGCAAACCCCACCAAAAGTATCCAAGTCTGCTCTCCTGTAATTCTTCAGGTATTTGCGGATGTCATGTTCGAACTTGCAGGATTTGCCAAAGGGGCAAGCGTTGGGCGAGAATTCGGGATAATACGCAACGGTTTGGCAAAGCTGCTTCTCGTCTTGAGAACGGCCGAACGTACGTTTAATATTCTGTCCACCTTTCTTCTCACGTCTCCCCTTTTGTTTGGCACCGCCGCCGTCTTGCTCGTGATGTTTGGCCGCTTCTGCAGCATCGTCATCCGCGATAGCCCTTGGGGAAGCTTGGCCCGTGCTCTGAGAAACCTCGATAAGGTACCTTTTCCAATATGTATTAGCAATAGCCGTAAGCCCCTCTAGACAATATTCAATTTGTCGATGAGGGTGGTAGCTAAAAAAGAGAGAAAATGAAAATTAAAGTGAAGAATGAAAAAATAAAATAAAATAAAATAAAGAAATTAATACACAGTAAATAAGCTCACTCTTTCTTTATCGGCGCAACACCTTTCCTCCTTCCAACCCCGCCATTCGCCGCCGTCTGCAAACCAGAAACAGGTTGCTCATCTAATTTTATCCTTTTCGCTAGAGATTCTTCAAATTCTTCAGCCCGGACATGGCCGTTCTGTTTGTACACCTCTGTCCCACTAGATCCCCCCGTCTTAGTCTGCGACAAAGTCACATCGTTATCGGGGTCCATTTTCCGAATTGCTCTGTTTTGTCTGTCAATGGCTTTGCAGCTGATTCCGCAGGGCAGAGCAGTCCGGCCAAGTCGCTTCTAAACTGCTGCCCCGCGCTTTGCTGAGCTAAGAGAATTAAATAACTATCTGTCTCTGTGCGAGACATTTTCAGAGTGAGGGCTGCGGGAGCGGCGAAACTTTCTCCCAGCTGCTAACGTGATGGCACATTTCGGAGTAGAAGCCTTGATTTTCCACAATAATTGAGATCCTACATGAATCCTACAGGATTTTGCCGCCTTGATAGGAAAACAATGGGTGAGATGTACAGGGCCAACACTGGACGTATCTCATCTTGGAGTTTGTACCTCGGACTCGCGGGTTCCGGTCTTGAGAAAGGAGATCTGTGGCAAAAGTTTACGATTTCCTGGCACTTCAGAGTCCTTCGCCGCCTTACAGTAATATCAAAATAGGGGCTAGAAGCAGCATATCCTGCCCCTTTTGCTCTTATCGCAAGTTCAGAGATCCTACAGAGCCTCTGTCGTGATACGGTATTGCACTCGATTGTCTCGAAATCATTGCGCATCTCAATTGGCATGAGCCAACGGTCAAGTGCCCTGAAACGGTGCCTATTACGCAACGATGACACAACTCCAAGTATTCAAACTTTCCACGCCTTCCCGAACAGATCCTCCTCTTAGCCATCGCCATTTCCCGAAACTTGCCCGAGAATGATAGTTTCACATGCACATCATATCGTCGTCGAACGTGGAGCTTGAAATGTTCAGACGCAGGGAGCAAATTGGCCTCATCGTTGAAAGCATCCTACGCGTTGGGACTCCTCAGAAGAAAATGCGGTGGAAGTGCTGGAGGGAGGCAAGCGGACAGCCCAACTCATTGGCGCCGTTAATGACCTCCCATTGATGATTTCAACCATGAAATAAAGTAATACCAGTGTATATACCTTAAGGTTTTCCCCGTTCTCGGGGCTTGGGCAGTAATTATGATGTATCAAAAGTCCTAGTAGGTTTCGCATAAGGCGGATGGATATGAGCCACACCGACAAAGGGTATGCCGGCCCAATGCCAGTCCTCTGGGACGAAACTTGGCAAAGGCAAACAAAGGATGGCGACTGATCGAATCTAGTAGCGAGTGCTCGATCTCCGTCCATAAATCCATCCCTACCGAGCCGCTGCAACAGGAACAAGGCATTTTGACTTCTGGATTTATCACATGTTCTTCCTGACCGCCTCGAAAGATACATATTCAACTTCCCGGATTTATACGAATTATAGGCCCCTGAACACCAATTCCCTATGGTCATTGGCTACAAACTTCCCAGAATTAGCGGAGAGGATTAAATACTCGTAAATCAATTGAATCATCAAGCAAACAAGACGTTTGTTTGGAGGACTGGCTGGTGAGGGAAAGCTGCACTTCCCAGCGGCAAACCACAGCGCATACTAGACAGAACTTTAGGGTGATTTTCAGCAATAAAGGTACCACAGCGCACAGCGTAGGAACAACAGCCAGAATGACACATCCCTTTCATCGAGCCCACTGCCGGCAAAGGCCCTGTCGCGGGATTGGCTTTCCGCTTCAGTTCGGAACCAGAGGTCGATGCCAGCCAAGCATCGAGGAAGAAGAGACCGAGCAAATCAACAGGCGTCATCTTTCGTACCCAATGCACCTAGGAGGCGCCATCGCCCTGGCCAGTGCCGGCTAACCCGATCCAGTGGTCGGCGCATCCTCGGCCGGACTCGAGCTAACCGCCCTGGGCCAGCCGCCTTACTAAGAAATTAATTAGTCGGCGACCCCCTTCATCACCCACCACCACCACCACTGTCTTCCCTCGTCTTACTGTCCACATCGTCGAGGAG